AAGCCTGGTCTGATTCGGAGAGACGGCATTCATCCCACTTTGGATGGTGCAGCTCTTCTTTCTAGGAATCTGGCCACATTTATTAGTCCTCCAAAACCCTGATCACCCAGGGTGCAGAACAGGAAGCAGAGTTGTAGTTTAACACACATCTCTGCAGCTTCTCTACTGTTACCCACTCTTTACTCCATCCAGACAGTGTCTTGTCCACGACCAAAATCTAATAAATTAGCAAAGATTCCCAAAGGAGTAAATCATGATAATCTAATTAAAATCAAAATAACTCCAATTGGGGAAAAAGTTAAAACAATTAAATGCGGTCTGTTTAACATAAGATCGCTTTCCTCTAAAAGTCTACTAGTTAATGACTTGATTTGTGATAATCACATTGACTTGTTTTGCCTTACAGAAACCTGGCTGCAGCAAGAGGATTATGTGAGCATAAATGAGGCAACTCCTTCAAGCTATTTAAATTTTCACATACCCAGAAGTTCTGGGCGAGGAGGAGGAGTAGCAACAATCTTCCAGTCTGACTTACTGATTACTCCCAAAACAGTTAATACCTACAACTCTTTTGAACATTTAACCCTTAATTTCCCTGATCCAAATTTCAAGGCAAGAAAACCTCTTCTTTTTGTAACTTTGTATCGTCCACCAGGTCCTTACTCTGAATTTTTAGATGAGTTTTCAGAGTTCCTTTCTGATTTGGTATTAAATACTGACAGGGTCATCATAGTGGGAGATTTTAACATCCATGCTGACATTGAAGGCGATAGCTTAAGAGCAGCCTTTAATGCTATCTTAGACACTATTGGCTTTGTTCAAAATGTGAATAGTCCCACACATTCTCATTTTCATACTTTGGATCTTGTGCTGACATACGGCATAGAATGTGAAGAAATAACAGTATTTCCTCACAACTCTGCCCTCTCTGACCACTTTTTAATAACCTTTAGGATTACTTTAACAGAGTTCTCCTCCCCCAAAAGAAGGTTCAATTTTAGTAGATCTTTATCAGATAGTGCAGTTATAAATTTTAAAGAATCTGCTTCACTTTCTCTCTCCTCTGTGTCGCTGAGCAGTGCCTCAGAGTGCAAAAGCATAGCTTATTCCCCTTCACAGGTTGATGATTTTGTTGATGGGGTTGCTAGTTCTCTGCGTATTGCCTTAGACAACGCAGCTCCTTTGAAAATGAAAACCGTTAAAAATAGAAAGCTTGCTCCTTGGTTTAATGCAGAGCTGCGTACTTTGAAGCAAAATGCTAGGAAACTGGAGAGAAAATATCGCTCCACAGGCCTGCGGGAGTCCTTCCTAGTCTGGAAAAATGGTTTAATGCTGTATAAGAGGACCCTTTGTAAAGCAAGAGCAGCATACTTCTCCTCATTAATAGAGAAGAATAAGAATAATCCTAGATTTCTTTTTAATACAGTTGCCAAACTCACCCAGAGCCATAGCTCTGTTGAACCGTCCATTCCACCTGCTCTTAGCAGCAATGATTTTATGGGATTCTTTATAAATAAGATTGATCTTATTAAAAATAAAATCATAAGCACTCCTCTATCCGCGATTGTACCTGAGGTAGTCATGGAATCTGAACCGGGTTTAGACTGCTTTGATCCAGTTGAACTTTCTGAATTAGCAAAATTATTGTCTTCATCTAAGCCTTCAACTTGTATGTTAGATCCAGTTCCAACCAGGTTATTTAAGGAGGTATTCCCTTTGATCTCCTCCTCCATTTTAGATGTGATTAATCTATCTCTGTTACAGGGATATGTACCTAAAGCTTTTAAGGTTGCTGTAATTAAACCTCTGCTTAAGAAACCGTCTCTTGATCCAGATGACTTGGTCAATTATAGACCTATATCCAATCTTCCTTTCTTATCCAAAATTCTTGAGAAAGTAGTTGCCAAACAAGTTTGCGATCACTTACACCATAATGAACTTTTTGAAGAGTTTCAGTCTGGCTTTAGAGCTCATCATAGCACTGAAACAGCTCTGGTGAAAGTCACTAATGATATTCTCATGGCCTCAGATAATGGACTTGTATCTGTGCTCGTCCTGTTGGATCTTAGTGCTGCATTTGATACAGTTGACCATAATATTCTTTTAGAAAGACTTGAATATTTTGTTGGAATTAAAGGAACAGCACTAGACTGGTTTAAATCTTATCTATCTGATCGAATTCAGTTTGTTCATGTTAATGATAGATCTTCAACACGCTCAAAGGTTACCTGTGGAGTACCACAGGGATCAGTGCTAGGACCAATTCTCTTTACTTTATACATGCTCCCAATTGGTAGAGTTATTAGACAGCATGGGATTAATTTCCACTGTTATGCTGATGATACCCAGCTATATCTGTCTATAAATCCAGATGAAGCTAACCCATTACATAGATTACAGGCATGTCTTGAAGACATAAAAACCTGGATGACTCTTAACTTTCTGCTTCTGAATGCAGATCAAACAGAAGTTATAGTCTTTGGACCAGAGTCTCTGAAAAAGAAACTGATTAGCCAGTCACTTCATTTGGATGGGATTAAACTGATTTCAGATAATAAAGTAAAAAATCTTGGTGTTATTTTTGATCAGGACCTGTCATTTAAATCCCATATCAAAGAGGTTTCTAGAATTTCCTTCTTTCATCTGAGGAACATTGCAAAAATTAGAAATATCCTGTCCAGGGGTGATGCTGAGAAACTAGTCCATGCATTTGTTACTTCAAGGCTGGAAGTAATTCTTTACTATCAGGAAGTCCACAAACTGTAGTTAAAAGCCTTCAGCTGATCCAAAATGCTGCAGCCAGAGTTCTAATGAAAATTAAAAAGAGAGATCAAATCTCGCCTATCCTGGCTTCTCTTCATTGGCTTCCTGTTAAATCAAGAATAGAATTTAAAATCCTCCTTCTCACATATAAAGCCTTAAATGGCCAAGCTCCATCTTATATCAGAAATCTGATTGTTCCTTATGTTCCTAACAGAGCACTTCGCTCTCAATCTGCAGGTTTACTAGTGGTTCCTAGAATTTCTTAAAGTAGAATGGGAGGCAGGTCTTTTAGTTATCAGGCTCCTCTCCTTTGGAACCAACTACCAGTTTTAGTCCGTGAGGCAGACACCCTGTCTACTTTTAAGGCTAGGCTTAAAACTTTCCTTTTTGATAACGCTTATAGTTAGAGTGGCTCAGGTTATCCTGAGCTATCTCTATAGTTATGCTGCTATAGGCTTAGACTTTTGGAGGACATAGGGACCCCCATTTCATCATTCTGCTTCATTCTCTCTCTGTTCTCCTAACTGCAGAATCTGTTAGTTCAATCTCTAACCTTCTGCTCTCTCTGCTTTTCCTCAGAGTAGCTTTGCCTCGTCTGTTCCTGTTTGGCTGTGACGTCATCCTGGAAAGAAACATCAGCTGTGCTGCTTCTATCAACACCCTTGTTTATAGATGTTGGAGATCGGCCTGTTTTCCAGTGTGGTCCTGTTTCTCTGACCGTGACTGGCTGGATGTGCTCTCTTCGTCCTCTGGCATGGGAGCTGCCTTGGAACTTGTCTGCCTGGCTGTGTGTTTCCTGGACGGGGCCGCCTTTTACAGCTGCTTTTTGTATCTCTGCTTCTGTCTCCTTGAACCCCAGTCGGCCTCGGCAGATGGCCGCTCACACTGAGCCTGGTTCTGCTGGAGGTTTCTTCCTGTTAAAAGGGAGTTTTTCCTCTCCACTGTCGCTACAAGCATGCTTAGTGTGAGGGATTGTATTTGAGTCGATGCAATCAACTGGTTTTCCTTAGATAGAAAACTTTGTATCAATTTGACTGTATGATCTGGTTGAACTGTAAAGTGCCTTGAGATGACGTGTGTTGTGAATTTGGCGCTATATAAATAAACTGAATTGAAATTGAATTGACTTCTTAGGTGGTTCTAATCTACTTTGCATAACTTGTTCTTATGCTAGAGAAACTCCTAGAAAGCTGTAAAATTGCTGAAACACTAGGTTGCTTTAAGTCATGATGAAAAATGCATTTGTTTAGAGTGAGTTTATACTATGCTCTTTATGCATTATTGGTTTGTCAGTCTAACTTTCGTTCCATTCTCATTATGTCATGATCTGCCCTGATAGCTGACCTTAACTGTTCATTTCATTCATCTGCTGGTCTCTAATTATTGCTCATCTCACCCACCTGCTCTTTGGCTAATGCTGCCTTGATATAACTTCAAGTTAGATGATAATAAGACAGGTTACTATGAGACATGAGGAAATATGGCTTTATTCTTGAATAAAAAAGAATCTCTAGCTTGGCCCTAGTACACACTGGAATTACCCTAAACAGCTGACATCATAAGAAAACACCCCCACTATGTTGCTTTTTTTACACTATAAAATAACCAAATTATTATGAACCACAGCATCTGTGAATTGGGTTCTCATATGCAGTTTAAATAAAGTTGGACTGATAATGAATTAGGTCTAAATGTAATTTATGTGGAGCTTTATTTTAAAAACCAACTAGTTGGTGATTTTGAAGGTATTATGCAGGAACCTTTATGTTTTGGAAACATGACCCGTGGCTGTAGAAGTTGAACAGAGGTCACTTCGTGTCTCCACAGATAAAATTCCAGAGAGATTTGGATCAGAGCTCTTCCAGAATTAAGGCCAATTGAGCTCAAAGGTAATTTTAATGAAAATAAACTCTGTATAAGTGGTCTCTAATGTGAATACTGAGAGACGGCGGATGGCGACCGGGGAGACATATTTGAAAAGAATATAAAGCTCATGTTGGTTCTGACAAAGTAGCGCCGCTGCCAATGACAGCAGCTTCCTGTCTCTTTAACTGAAAAGATAAACTTCCTGAGGACTTCATGGAAACCACTAACCTCCATCCTCTTCATCTGGAGTCATACAAGCAGATGGGCTTCCAACAAAACTTGTTAAACTGAACCACTGCTGATAATATTTAAAACTATTTCATGTTCTGATGCTGCTTTATGATGCAGCACAATAAACCAGTGGAATCCTGAACCAGTCCACATTTTCTATGTTTTATTAGATAAACATTGTAAGTTTATAACGTTTAAAAAGAAAATACATAACAGCAAACATATAAAATGTTAAACAATCAGCTGATCGGATCAGAACCACCCAGGAATTAATACTGCCTTTATGGTGAAGAGTGTGACAAGTGTTGACGTCAGCAGTCAGACGACTATTGCTTCCTGTTTGCATCTAACTGCTGCATCAGAGGTCTCCTTTCTACATGTCATTGAAACCAGGGTGACCTCTGATCTCTGTTCTGCTGACGAGGTGCCATGGTTCCACTGAGAGGATGCTGTGACTTCTTCCTCACTGAGACAGCACAGAGTGCTTTTGGCCTTTTGTCTGAACTCTGGGGACACAAAGTAGAAGATGAAGGGGTCTATGCAACTGTTGAAGGTGCTGACCGCCAGGCTGATCATGTAGGGGACGTAGAGGTCGTCATCATCTTCTGCCAGGCTGGTGTCACTGTAGGTCAGGAGCAGGAGGAGGTTACTAGGCAGCAGACACAGAATGAAGACCACCATCACCAGAGCTGTAATCCTGATGGCATGACTGTAGCGCTTGCCTTTAGCCAGAAGGGTGCGCAGCACAGCGCTGTGGCAGTACAGCACGATAATGAACGGCAGCAGGAAGCCGCAAACAAACAGCGTGCCGAAGTATGGAAGGAAGAAGTTCTCTTGTTCGTTCTCGGGCAAAGCATCATGGCAGGTGGTGATTTTGGGGTCGTCCAGCGGGTAGGTCTGTTGTGACAGCAGCAGTGGCAACATAGCAGCTAGAATCACCACCCACACCACCCCGGACATATATAGAGATATTCTCTGGCTGCGCAAAATCTTTGCATCAAAAGGGTGAACCAAAGCTATATATCGATCCAGAGCCACTAGGGCTAGGCACCAGACTGAACCATACATGTTTCCGTAAAACATGGCCATGACCGTCCGGCATAAAGGCTCACCCAGGTCCCAGTGGTTCCCTCGGAAATGGTAAACAATTCGAAATGGCAGAACCAGCAACAGCAAGCAGTCCACCACAGTCAGGTTGATGAGCAGTGTGGTTGATGGTAGATTTTTGGTCCGAAAAACAAGAACCCACAGAGCTAACAGGTTGGTGGGCAGACCAACACAGAAGGCCACCAGGTACATGATTGGCAGGTACAGGTTGGTTGTTGGAGCCTGGATCTCCTTCACTTGTTTCTCTTTCAGAGTGGTAAAGTTACAATTTGTCACCAACCGAAAGGCTCGTAGACCTGCAGAGACCACAACATATGTCAGTCTGTAGACTTACAGAAACACCAGCAACATTTAACTAACGATACCCTGAAATCAAGTGGGCCCAGTACTTTGGTCTTCCCTGCACCTTAAACACAGAATATGGCATCTAAGGGGTCTATCAACCAACCACCATGTTTCTCTTGTTCTTCCTGCGCCACTCATGGCTGGTATCCTTAAAACTAGAAAGTTGTGTCTTTCCAACAACCTGTAGAGTACATCTTTTGCCGTTATTGTCAGGTGTTGCATTTTCTGTGAATAGCAAAGGTTATAATAGAAGTAGTTTTTATAACCCACCTGTGTTATGCACAGTTTGTTCTATGAACTGCTCTAGAGACAGTAGATGAAACCATTTTGAGTCAAACATGTTTCAACTGACTCAGTCCTAATTTGCTGCAGTTATAATAAATATGTTAATAAAAATTTGAGGTGTTTCATAAGTTTTAATGAGGACTTACATTTTTTTTCCATTAAAAAATCAATTAAAAAAAGTTTTAACTGACTCTCAAAATTTTTGTTTTAATTACAACAAATGAAACATAGTAAAGGTGTAATTAGTGTTCCCAATGGAAAAATACTCTTTTATCTTGTTCCTTTACATTGGTACAAAAATATTGCATTTACACCTGATAATTGTGCAGCTACTCTTGAAATTGTTTTGAAGGCCTCTGAGTTTCAGAAGCAATCTCTATGTTTAATCATTTCCTGTTCTTTACAGAGTTCCTGACAGGAAACCAGTTAAAGAATTTAGAACAAAATTACATAATTCTATAATAAAAGTAGATATAAAATAAAATAAGAATAAAAGGAATATAAACTTCCTTATATAAATACAAACACCTCAAAGAATCATAGCTCAAAGTTTTTGTTGTACTTGATTGAACAGGTTTTATGCAGTATCCAGTTCTCTCATAAAGTTGGTGATTTTATCAAAGGATTACACTGTTATCAAAAAACTGCAACCTGTTTTAAAACGTACTGACTTATCTGTGAGACAGACACATGTCCAGCTGTCAGTGCAAAGTGGAAGAGGAGACTTACGGAACGACATGCTGACACATTCGTCCTGGGTGGACCTGTCCTGAAAAGGAGACGGAGAGACGCTTCCAAAGGAGGGCAGGACAGAGACCAAGAGTAGAGTCCCAACAAGAAGCTTCATTTTTATGCTCCACACGTCTGTGTCTCCGTTATATCCACAGCAGATGCTTCCTTTTCCGCTTCTAAGACAGCTGTAGAGTTAAAGACCATCAGAACAATTAAAGAGGACCTGAGGAGTTAGACACTCTGTTGTTCTGTGTGAACTCAGGGAATCAACAGTCTGGCCCGGTCGCTGTTGACCCACCCCCTCTGCTTATATTATCCAGATGTGTGACTGTGTGTGTGTTGGTGGTATGTGTGCATTAGTGAGGACCACTTTTGGGGTTCAGCCTCTTACCCAGGACTCAGTCTGATTCACACTCTCATACTTGTTAAGGACTTGGTTCAGAACTAGTTAACCGCCTTGTTCCTGCTCACTCTGACCTGGTTCTGCTGCTTTTCAGTTCTATAGTTCTACACAAATGCTCCTCATAGCAGCCAGCTATGTGTAAGTGTATGATTCAGAGGGTCAGCCTGTTTCCTTCTTGACTAATTTAGCAGTAAATCATCTCACTGTAGCCCCACCCCTTACTCTCTAAACAGCCAATCCCAGCTCAAAACAGGAAACAAGTTTCAGCTAGACTTTTTGGGTTCCACAGATTAGATTTCTAAAACAAGATGACAGAGGAATATGTACTGCATCTCCAAGCCCAGCTAAAATGTTTCAGTTAAAACTGACCCAAAGTCACATTGCACTAACTAATTAACCTAAAAGTAGCTTACCTAGCGCTAGTAAAACTAAGTAACATATACACACACACATTATGGTAACTAACTTAAATCTAAATTAAAGCTAACTAACCTAAAGCAATCTAAACTAAAACCTGAAAAGTCCAAACTAAAACCTCATCCTACTGAAACTGAACCAAATCCAGTAGACCAGCTCAAGCCCACACATCAACCCTGACTTTGGGTGAAGTACTCTCCTGGTATCCTCCTCTACAGAGATTCTTCTTAAAATAAACCCTTATCAATTTTCTTCCGCTAACAAAACTGTGTGATGCAGAGTAAATTTGTCCTCACAACTCCTGTCTCAACCTTCTTTAGATAATCCATCTGTCTTATTACTTACATTAGCAATTCACAACACATCATCTCAAGGCACATACAGAGACAATTCAACCAGATCATACAGTCAGATTGATTCAAAGTTTTTTATCTAAGGAAAACCAGTAGATTGCATCGACTCAAAGACAGTCCCTCACACCGAGCATGCTTGTAGCGTCACTAGGGGGGAAAACTCCCTTTTAACATCTCATCATCAGAGGATCCTACAGTATTTAACCAGCCTTCAGACCTTGCCTCAACGCCGCAGTGTTTATCCAGTTTGGAATCCTGTTTCCCTTGTAAGCTCTGGATGAGCTTAACCTGCCTAGCCTGCCCTCTGAGCCAAACCTGAAGACTCTCCTCTGGATATCCATGCTGCTCTGGACAAAGAGCTGGAAACCCAAAGTCAGGGTCTGCTCTCACGCTAGAAGCAAGACGCTGAAGCGGTTACTGAACTCTGCTGAACTAAACAGTCTCTGGACCCAACAGTTCCTCTCTCAAAGCCAAACCCGTACTCCTCAAGGTATAAATCAGAAACTCTCAAATCCAAACTCATCTGCTCCCAAGCTAACTGAACTGTCATCCTCACAGACTCCAGTGAACCTGCCCCCAGGCCTGAACCAGTTCCTGTGTAAATTCCATGTGCTTGTGTTCAAATAAACTTGTTAAACTTTTTATCTGTTTCCATGGTGTTCTGCATACTGGGCTTTTCTGAAACCCATCATGACACAGAGATACAAAAGCCAACTTTAAAGTTCCAGCTCCACAGGAGGCCCTGTCCAGGAAACACACAGCCAGGCAGACGAGCTCCAAGTCAGCTCCGATGTCAGAGGATGAAAGAGCACAGTCAAAGAAAAAGGACTACACTTAAAAACAGACAAAGCTCCAACATCTATAAATAAAGGTGTTGGTGGCAGCAGCATAGCTGATATTTCTCTCGAGAATGGTGTCACAGCCAAACAGGAACAGACTGGCTAAAGCTACTATGGTGAGAAAAAGTAGAGAGAGCATAAAGATAGAGGTTGAACTAAGAAATACTGCAGAATGGGAGAATAGAGATAGAATGAAGCAGAATTATGAAAAGGGTCCCTATGTCCTCCAGAGGTCTAAGCCTATAGCAGCATAACTAAAGAGATAGCTTAGGACAGTGGTTCTCAAACTTTTTCTGTCATTCCCCACTTTGGACAAGGGGGAATTTTCAAGCCCCGCCTGTCCCCATCGCCCCAACACAATGCTAATGAAATATGCAACAATCTTAAAATTTTCCAATTTTATTGAAGTAACAAGTAGTATCTAAATACAAACTATCTACATCAAATAACAGCAAGCTCAAAAATAAAGAAAATAAAAATGCAGCTGTGTCAAAATTTGTATCAAGCTCAAAGATAGAAAAAATTAAAGTGCCACTCTGCAATCTGTTAATAAAAGAAAAGAAGTGAAATCCATCTGGCAAGACAGGTCTATTTATCCCTGCATTAGTGGCTGCAATGAGCCTGTTTTGCATTGCACAGTTTCTCAAAACGGGGTTGCAGGCTTGATACTGCCACTCTCAAGTCATGCTCAATGTTCAGCTGAGATCTGTATTTTGTTTTCAGTGAAGCAACAGTTGAAAAGCCCATCTCACAGAGATATGATGTAGCAAAGGGAAGAAGAATGCACACAGCTCTCTGCCCGATGAGTGGAAACTCCCTCTCCACTCCAAACCAGAATTCACTATTAGTCTGAGCATTAAACCTGAGCCTCAGGGTGGAGTCAGACGTCATTTCAATAAACTGGTCCTATTTATTTAAGATAAAATATTTCAAATTCAGTTATTTATGATCAACCTGCGCCGTCAATCCCGGCGCATGTGCGCTTTATTTGCAGTCTGGACGCTGAGGGTAAACATGCTGTGTCTCTGCAGCGCTGAGAGGGACTCCTGCGATAGCGGGGGAGAACGGGGTTGGGACGGGGGAGGCGCCCCACGGCAGCACCTGCCGCTGGAGGACAAGAAAAGGAACGATACGTGCTTTCACGTAAGAGTCTCCAAAAGTCGCTAGATTTGTCGCTAGTCGCTTTTTAAAAAAAGAGTCGCTGGAGGGGTCTAAAATATAGCAACAAAGTCGCTGAGTTGGCAACACTGGGGCGCGAAAGTTTATTCCGTTACAAATAATATGCCGACGTCACGTCAATCATTATTTTGGCACTTCAGTTCCAGGTGAAATTTTTCTCATATCTAATGTTCTTTTAATTAGACTGCATGTAGGCTAGTAATGATTACTTTGTGGGTTTGATTGGTCTAAAAAGCGGCAACATACAGCTATAAGGACAGTTTGCTCTCACACATTCTACATTTATAGTCACACACACACACACACACACACACCGGAACTTGGCGCGCCCCACCTGTCACGTCTCAATTCCCCACCAGTGGGTCGCGCCACACACTTTGAGAACCGCGGGCTTAGGATAACCTGAGCCTCTATAAGCTTTATCAAAAAGGAAATATCTAAGCCTTGCCTTAAAAGTAGACAAGGTGTCTGCCTCACAGAATTAAGATTGGTAGATGGTTCCACAGGAGAGGAGTCTTTTAACTAAAATATCTGCCTCCCATTCTACTTTTAGAAATTCTGGGAACCACAAGTAAACTGGCAGAGTTATGTGCTCGGTTAGGAACATAAGGAGCCTTGAAGTAACAAATGCATGACTAGTTTGTCAGCATCACCCCTGGACAGGATATTTCTATTTTTTGCAATATTCCGCTGATAAAAGAAGGAAATTCTAGAAACCTCTTTAATATGGCAGTTTTGGGAAGCCTTCCTGAGTAACTAGATACCTGGACCTTCTCCCCCTGGAAGGATTAACTGAGTACACACTGAGCAGGGGAAAACCTCCACATGATCCGTTCAAGTCCTCATCGGAAATCCAAGTGAGAGTCCGCTCCTTTACTCCTCTGGGTCCAACGCTTGTCTATCTGTCCGCCCTCCAACGCGTTTCCCCTTCTCTGGGCTAACCCCCACAAGCTGGATTCAAGGATTGACAAGAGCCCCCTCAAAAGTGAGTCCCTCTCCAGTTATATTCAAGCCTCAGTCAAATTTCCTACGGTCCCGGAACTGATCACTGTGATCTCCCCTTCCGACTTTCCAGTTCCGGTTCACCAGTCCACTGAGTTCCAGATCCAACCTCTGTATTTCATCTACATTTAATAAACCTGTTAAACTTTTTCCCCTGGTCTCTGAGTGGTTCTCTGCATGTGGGTCTGATCGCTTAAACCAATCATGACAGTTTCAGTTCTATGATGAGCTCTAAAGCTAGACTGAAGCTCTTCAAAAAGTTCCTAATGGTGTAAGTGGTCGCACACTTGTTTGGCAACTACTCTCTCAATAGTTTTAGATAAGAAAGGAAGATTGGATATAGGCAGGGGTGCCACCAGGAATTTAGGGCCCCATTAAAGACATCGATATTGCCCCCGCAGTGGCTATAATTCAATCAAAATATAGAAATCTAACTGCACTATTGATGGTGATTTTAATACAGGCTGCTGGAAGCTATCCAATGTTTTCACTTTCCAGGATCCAGTACAAACAACTACAGGACATTTCATTTTAAAGTTATCACGTAGAAAAAAAGTGTGTTCGATTTTTCTTTTTATATATATATAAATATATAAAGTTTCATTTTAGGTTTTTTAAGTGGTAAAAAGATGATGTAGTCCCACCTTTTTCACTGGGGCTGGGAGATGGTTGGGGGGTTGAACAGATGGGACTGCTGCTGGTGAGTCATCTGTTTACATGAAGGAGGGATGACAGTTATTTAATATAAATATCCTGCTAAACATTTACGAGCGCTTAGGTGATGTTAACTCTCTGAAGGATCAGGGTTTTTCCTGTTGACTGGTCTGGATTGTAAATATAAATTCTCAGCTCTGTGAGCTATCCACTTGGTTTCTGTGTTAGCACGGACACACTATAGGCTCATTACAAATGCTGGGCTAATCCTTGTTTATTTTTTTCTTGAAAAAAAAAACGAAACAAAAAATTGCAATTTTTATATTTTTTGTTTAAGTTCTACCTGGCCGACCAGCATGGTCAATGTGATTCTGCTCCAACCTTTAGGAGGATTAACTAAGTAGTTGTAACCAGCAGATAGCTAGCTTATTTTACCCAACAGGTTAATAATTAACGGATAATTTGAACTATTCATTTAATAAATCTTTCTTGAAAAACTGGGCCATGGTATTGGACACCTTTCTCAATCTCTCCTCTTTGGCCTTTCTTTCTGTTCCTTTTGGAAAACCAGACTTTGATTTTTGTGGGGCACTGCATTATTTAGCCACGGACCGTTTTCACCAACTGCTGCTTATTTACACATTTTCTTGCTCATTTGTTTTATTAGTGGTCTCTATCTTTAATGATAGTAATGACAGTAATGATGTCTGTGGGGCACTAAAGACCCTGTACTAGCAAACTCCTGCTGGCAGAGTGCTGACAGCAGGATCTGATGCACCATGCAGGACCTGAGGACCAAACCATTTCTTGCAAGTTTCCATTTCTTGGGATATTCTATTTATATTTGAAATATCTAGTGGGACATATGTTTTTTTTTTCTCTTCTTTGATGATCTGCATTGGATGGCGCACAGGACGTGAAATGAATATTTATAAGCATAAAACTGAAGCCAAGAGAGACGAGTGACTATTGTTTTAAAAATGTAAGGAATAGAAAGTACAGATACTTGTGTGAAAATGTAATGATTAGAAGTCAGAAGTAAAAAGAAAAATAAGTAATGGAGTAAAGTATAGATACCTAAAAAGTGTAGTTAAGCACAATAACAAAGTATTTGTACTTCGTTACTTGACACCTCTGGTGGAGACATAGGCTGCCCTTGCTTTACAAAGGGTCCTCTTGAACAACAGTAAACTATTTTTACAGACTATGTAGGATTCCGTAGGCATGTAGAGCGCCATTTTCTCTCCAGTTTCCTAGCATTTTGCTTCAGAGTGCACAGCTCTGCATTAAACCAGGGAGCCAGCTTCCTATTTTTTAAGTTTTTTAAGATGTCAAAGGCAGTACGCAGAGAACTAGCAACCAATTCAACAAAATCATCAACCAGCTGCTGGAATCTCCATCCATAAATTGTTATTTTTTCACTGCTTGCATAAGAAATTATGCCTGACCTATGGTGCCTAAGGGGTGAAAACATGCTGCAAATAATAAGTGCTGCGAAAACAGAACTTAGACCAGCAAATGCACACAAAAAAAAGACTAACACATAAACATAAAAAACACTTTCAAAGGAAAAATGCTGCAAATCAGGTCAGGTCTTTTTACAATATTCTGTTGTAATGTGTATAGTAATGTCCTTCAAGAGCTGATGATCATCTCCCCCCTTCATGGTCTTATTCACTTGTAATCCGGAGCTAGTTTGCAGCTTCAAATAACTTGCAATTGGTTTTGCTTGGTAAATTTGCCTTTACATCAGTTTTGTGTGTTTTTCTAATTATTTTGTTTGCTGGTCTAATTTTTGCTTGATTTTTTGTGTTTGCAATACTTTTTGTATTTGCATAACATGTATGTATTTGCAGTGTATTAACCCCTTAGTAAACTTGCAGGCATTGCACACCTGATAAAGGGTATTGAGCATGGGAAAAATAACAGGCAGCATAATGAAAGAATCCAGTAAGGGTGAGTTTATTTAAGGAAGGATTTCAGATTGATATAGAATGCAGGTGTGGAGCAGCTGAGCCAGGAGGAGAGCAGGGAGACTGAGAAAGGACATCGATGGATCGAGCTAATGTGTGAAACATAAACTGTCAAATCAAGGACAAATTTAAAGAAGAACCAAGAATAGTGCAAAATTAATTCTGTTTGCAGAACATAATAAAACAAACAACTAAGGAGCCAGACACAAATTTCTAAATAATAAGGCTATAACTAAAATAAAATAACTCAAAAGCTGGGAAAGGACACAAATAAAACCCAAAATCAAAACTGTTCTCCTGGGCCCAGGGGTGGCTCTAGACCAGTTTTACGCATGGCTAGTGTTTTGTCAGGAGGGCATAAAGCATTAAAAAAAAAAAAAGATGAAACAGGGCAATAGTTGGTAATTTGATTTGGCAAAAAGCCGCTCACAGCTCTAGAAACCCCAATCAGCAGATAAAAATTGTGGTCCTACCTCAATAGGTAAAGGTACAATACAATAAATATGTAAATTACAAAAATATACAGTCATATGAAAAAGTTTGGGCACCCCTATTAATCTTCATTAATTTTTTTTTTTTTTACATTTGGGTGTTTGCAACAGCTATTTCAGTTTGATATATCTAATAACTGATGGACACAGTAATATTTCAGTATTGAACTGAGGTTTATTAGACTAATAGAAAAGGTGCAGTAAGTACAAAATTTGACAGGTGTAAAAATATGGACAGCTCAGCAAAAAAGAGGCATTAATATTTAGTAGATCCTCCTTTTGCAAAAACAACAGCCCCTAATCGCTTTTAATGAGTTCCCGGATCCTGGATGAAGGGATTTTTAACCATTCTTCTTTACAAAATAATTCCAGTTCAGTTAAGTTTGATGGTCGCCGAGCATGGACAGCCAGCTTCAAATCATCCCACAGATGTTCAGTGATATTCAGGGCTTTGGACTGGGATGGCCATTCTAGAACATTGTAATTGCTCCTCTGCATGAATGCCTGAGGAGATTTGGAACAGTGTTTTGGATCATTGTCTTGCTGAAATATCCATCCCTGATGTAACTAATCTACGTAATCTACGCTCTAGAATACCCAATCTACGCTCTGGAATACCCATAATTCCAATTCGTATTGCAAAAAATAAAATACTCAAAAACATCATTCTATTAAGATCTTTATTGTGGTTAGAAACATATTATATGAGTGTATTTTTACCAACCGTCTAATGAACTATATACATTTATTAACATAGCCATTAAAAGTACCACTGTCTGCTTTGCTATTGGTGTCCTGTTTAAATGGCTCCCCATCATGTTGAAATCTGGCATGTGTTGCGGAATAAATAAGGTCTGGTCAGTCAATTTAGCACCAGGTGGGTTTAATATAAATTTTTCGCACCATTGAAACTGCAAAGAGACGTCTTAGTCCACCATTGCATGAGGGGCCAACCAGGAGTCAGTGACGGGGCCCCTAAGAAGTCGGGGGCCCCTAAGCAACTACAGTCTCTGCTTACCAATAGTTACGCATTTGATATGCCTGGTCATAAAGTTCAAATCTTAATGAAGTTCCCAAACAGATTTTGTGTTTCAGTAAGTCAGTGGAAAGTAGTTAAGGGTATTCAAATCAATTAAAGGATTAGGGTACACTGTTAGACATTTCAATGGGTTTATTACAGTAACTTACTGGCAACCGTGTTGCCAGTTAGTTACTGTAATTTTTATTTACAGTAGTATTAGTAGTGGTACTGTATGTCAAGTTTACAGTAACTAATGTTGTTACTATAAATTTAAAATACAGAACCACTACTGTAGAAATGCTTACTTTACAGTACAATATTGTATTTCTTTCTCTCTCTCTATATATATATATATACATACATACATATACATATATATATATATATATATATATATATATATATATATATATATATATATATATATATAGTATTTTTCATGCACTGACTAAATGTAATATTCTTAACAAAACGTCCAAAACGTCCAAAATCTACAATCCTTACTCGGCAAACTGTTCGTTGTTCCTGCGGTTCTAGTTATTCTAAGCGCCAAAATAAAATGAAAAAAAGATGGCGTAACTAGAATTTAAAACGAAAGAAGGATCAGAGCCAAATCTACGACGGAGTATTAGGGCCACACATGAAGAGAAAAAATATTTTTGCCATGACGAGATTAAACTCGACATGTCGACTTTAAACTCGCCCTGTCGACTTTAAACTCGCCATTTCGAGAATAAAGTTGAAATGACTGACATGTTCTCAAATTCAGAACTGCGAGCCTGGGTAAGCATAGGGAAATACGTTACGTTATTATTGGTAGGCCACCGCTTCCTGTGATGATTATACAGTTGCAGCACGTCAAAGACTACCTTCACTCATAAAAAGCAGACTGCAGCTGTGGAGCGCGGTTGCTCTTTTCTCCAAACTTTGGAATGTCGAGATTGAAGTCGCCACGATATATCAACTTTATTCTCGAAATGGCGAGTTTAAAGTCGACAGGGCGAGTTTAAAGTCGACACGTAGAGATTAAACTCAACATGACATTTCAACTTTATTCTCGAAATGTTGAGTTTAATGTCGACATGTCGACTTTAAAGTTGACATGTCGAGTTTAATCTCGTCATGGCAAAAATATTTTTTCTCTTCATGTGTGGCCCTAATACTCCGTCGTACAAATCTAACCGTTAATTATAGTAACTTACAACAATTTGAAATACTGCGGTAGTGAACTGTAAACAATGCGTCACGTGATTCGTAATTCCAATGATGCAATGGCAATTACAGTTAATTACCAGAACAATGATTTTGCGGCTTTGTACTGTGTGATGTGTGGTAAATTATTGTTAAAATTACAACCATGTCTAACAGTAGCCACATTTTTGCACCTGTCACGTTTTTTTTTATGCATATTGCACATTTTCTGTTAGTCCAATAAATCTCAATTCAATACTGAAAGATTACTGTGTCCATCAGTTATTAGATATATCAACATGAAACAGCTGTTGCAAATATTTAGAAATAAAAGCATCATTAATAGGGGTGCCCAAACTCTTTCATATATATATGTATATATATATATATATATATATATATATATATATATATATATATATATATATATATATATATATATATATATATATATATATATATATATATATATATATATATATATATATATATATATATATATGTCTATATATGTTTTTTTTGTTTTTTGTTTTTTTAAGGGAGCAGTCTATTAAAGTAGTCTCTGTGTCAATGCTGACCCTACAGCTGTCTTTCCAGACGGCGCCCAGCAGGTGTCAGCCTCCTCCTCTCCGATCACTGATCGATATGTAACCTGATCAACAGACAAACAGCTGACTGAAATCTCGGCATGTATCGCGACATTCACGAGAACCATCCTCACAAGAAGGTGAATCACACTCGCGCTCCGAGGCCTCCCTTTCTGATGCTTCGCGCTTGCGCAGTGCGCCGCTTCCAGAAACGCAGCCGAGGAGCAACTCTCACTGGAGCCGAACCGAACAAAAGACCGACAGCCGGCCTGATCCGATCCGATATAACCTGCAGAAATCTGTCATTGAACGGAGCGGAGTCGGCCGGCTTCAGAGGAGTTGGAGCAGAGCCGGGTCGAATCAAAAGCTGTAGACGAGAGCAAAGCGCAGAGACTGAAGCTGGGATGACTGCAGAAGCCTCATTAAACCTAGATTAGACCCAGACAGACGCTCAGCTGCAGGAGGACCATATGAGACGGACGCATGTCTTGATGTCCCCATCTCACCTGTCAACCTGAGCCCTTATGTAAACAACAACATCTGGAGGACACTCAGGAGACTTCCAGGGGCACAAGATCTCATCCAGGGGACATTCAGAGGCAGGGTAACACCTGGAGGACACTCTGGAAACGTCTACTGACCTATGTCAACATCTGGAGGACATTCAGGGACAGGGTAACACCTGGAGGACACTCTGGAAACGTCTACTGACCTATGTCAACATCTGGAGGACATTCAGGGACAGGGTAACACCTGGAGGACATTCAGAGACAGGGTAACATCTGGAGGACACTCTTGAAACGTCTGGTAACCTATGTTAAAATCTGGAGGACATTCAGAGACAGGGTAACACCTGGAGGACACTCTGGAAACGCCTACTGACCTATTAGCATCTGGAGGAAATTCAGAGACAGGGTAATACCAGGAGGACATTCAGAGACAGGGTAACACCTGGAGGACACTCTGGAAACGCCTACTGACCTATTAGCATCTGGAGGAAATTCAGAGACAGGGTAACACCTGGAGGACTCTCTGGAAACGACTACTGACCTATGTTAACATCTGGAGGACATTCAGAGACGGGGTAACACCTGGAGGACACTATTGAAACGTCTAGTGACCTATGTTAACATCTGGAGGACATTCAGAGACAGGGTAACACCTGGAGGACACTTTGGAAACGTCCAGTGACCTATGTTAACATCTGGAGGACATTCAGAGACAGGGTAACATCTGGAGGACACTCTGGAAACGTCCAGTGACCTATGTTAACATCTGGAGGACACTCTGGAAACGTCCAGTGACCTATGTTAACATCTGGAAGACATTCAAAGACAGGGTAACATCTGGAGGACACTCTGAAAACGTCCAGTGACCTATGTTAACATCTGGAGGACATTCAGAGACAAAACATCTGTGGGACACACAGGAGACATCCAGAGACGAGTGGAACACCTGGAAGAAATCCCGAGACAGGAACAAAAATATCAGGAGGACACCTTTGAGAGAAACTAACAAGAAAAAAACATTTGAAAGACACAGAGACGAAGAAGAACAATTCAAGGTAAGGGGGATTTTAAAAACTCCCTGCAGGACAACCTGTGTAGCTCCAATATTCAAAAACATCTTTATTGGCCCAGTTTATAGAGACAGGACCACACAGGTACAACTGGTGGTCAAATGGAGACAGGTTGTTTATAATGTCAACATTGAAATTAGAACAGATACCTAAAACTCAAAATATATTTGAATATGTGGAGCTTGAATATTTAGGACGTCCTCCAGGACTCTGGGACACAGCGGGATAAAGTCAGTAGTGGTCACAGTTGGATCTAGAGAAGGGGGTCATAGTTGGACATGTTGGGATGTAAAATGATGTATGTACTTTGTTTTTTTTACTTCCTGACAGATTGCATGTAACCTGGACCATGAACCTGCACAGGTGGACCTGTTTCCCTCTCTCCGCTGTCATGATGCTGGTCCTGGTCCAGGTTGCGGTTCAGGCCCGCTCAGTATCAACAGGGCGTTCTGATAGGAACTCCATCGAGGACGCCACGGTGAATGCTACTGTCATGGACCGTGGCTTTGCTGTCCACATGATGAGTAGTGAGGACGGGACCTATGGTCAGGACTCCCCCAGAATGGACGCCCGCGGCATCGTCCTCACACCTGCACCGCATCACGGAGGTACTCAAATCACAGCATCTACTTGTGGCATAATCACCCAGACAATCAGAAACCAGAGAACCATCCCATTATTCTAATCAGAGCATTTGTAAACAGAACTCAGACATTCTTTCAGTTTCACTTTTTTTAGCAACACCTTCAGAGCTCCTGTGCAGCCTTTTCCTCTTTGGAACATTCTCCGCACTTAGGAGGCTGTGACACAGAAAGTTCCAGGTCTAAGGAGTGATAAAGATCCAGGTTTAAGTAGTCGGGCTGCAAAGGCACAAATTAAAAGGGAACAATAAAGCTTAGGTTATATTTGGAGGATGTCAGGATAAACAAATAACTGAAAGGTGTTTGTCTCTTTCTGCCTCTCGTCTCAGATGCTAGATGATAAGTCCTTTACTGAGCTACTGTAAAGAAAAAGTCATTATTCCCATCTCAACATCTAAGTTTTATTTTTTTTCTCATCGTCACGGTCGGCATTCACAAAGCGGACAAGTTTATCTTCAGCGCCGCTCTATTCTCCATCATCCGTCGTACCAACAGCAGACGCTGTTTTTTCTCTGTTATGTTGGTCATCAAATCAAATCAAATAAACAAGCAGCCATTCAGTGAAATGCTGATGCAGGTTAGTCCACAATAACATCCAACAGATGAAACTGTAAAATCAGAAACCTGATGGAAAAACTCAGCTTCTACTACCTCTGCTTAAGGTTAATGTAACCAATTGGCTAATAATAAATGGGTCAGTTGTTCTCATACCGGTTGTAGCTTAATAGTATTCTGTGTTTGAGTAAATTTACTTGATCAACACTTTTCTAATATTCCAAACTTAACAATAAGTAATAGAGGTGTTAATGACTCATGTTGATATTGTATGGAGTCAATATCGCTTTCTGTCAATACTCAAAGCTATAATATCAATATTGTATCGGAACTGAAAGAGTTTATGTTGGGACATCTCTAGTTTATTCATTATGACACACATTTCTTAATCCATGCCTGAATTCTATAAACGGTTACTGTCCCTCCATTAGGGCAGGGCGATATGCCTTTTAAAGCTTATTACGATCAAATGAGGTACTATCATGATAACAATAAAACTGATGATTAAAACACTCCTTATTAATTCTTTGCAGTCATTCTTAGATAAATGTATAGCTGTTATTGCCTGCCGCAGCAATCAAAGCTTCAAAATTACAAATATTACGGGGGGGTGGGGGGACACTAGTTACATAAAGAAGTGTGATTTTTATCACTGGTGATTTGTATCACTAAACATAGTAACTACATTTACATCATATTATTTGATTTTTGCCTCTATGGAAGAAAATTTAAGGAAAAAAAGAAAAATATTTAAAACATTGTTTTGATTTTTTTTGCCTTTGCTAATTCTAATTTATTGTTTAGACCAGGCATCCCCAAACTCAGTCCTCAAGGCCCCCTGTCCTTCAGGTTTTAGAGGTTTCCTTGCTCCAGCACAGCTGATTTTAATTGAAAGCTGATTAACAGGCTTTTGGTCTACTGCAATCATTATAACCAGCTGTGCTGAAGCAGAGAAACCTCTAAAACCTGCAGGACAGGGGGCCTTGAGGACCGAGTTTGGGGATGCCTGGTTTAGACGATTCATCAAAATTGTTATCATGCGGAGCCCCTAAAGGGACATGGAGGAAAAAATAAACTTTTGTGAGATCTCGCAAAATGTTTTGCGAAATGTTGCAAAAGGTTTTCCCATGTCAGCGAACCGGAAGTAAACCAGACACACAACAGCGGAGGCGCAAAGTGTACTTCTATGGGAGGATAATACGCCCATTTGTCAGCTACAACCATGGAGGATGATTTGGAGAGGTTCTTAATTTCTAGAGAAGTCGTAAAAGACGACATTACACGAATGAAGAGAGACAATGTCAGTATGTAATCCTACGGGGCCCCTAAAGGGACCTGGAGGAAAAAATAAACTTTGCGAGATCCCGCAATACTTTTGCGAGATCTCGCAAAAGTATTGCAGGATCTTGCAAAAGTTTCTTTTTTCCCTCCATGTCCCTTTAGGGGCTCCGTATTATCATGACTAGAAATGTATCATGATAATAATAAACGATATTATAAATGCCCACCCCTACTCTACATTGTTTTTAGTGTCACAACCTAGCAACAAGGTAAACCCAACCACCCCACTAAGGTAGGAGCTTCTGTCTTCTCCTTGCTCAGAGGCACTTTAAGCAGCTATCTGAATAACACTGAAGCAAAAGGTCCTTAGAAGGACCCTTTAAGGCTTAGATAAGAGCCCTATGAGGGTCTCTGTGAGCATGGGCCCTGGGATGTGGGATTCCTGCTTTACCCACCAATTCACCACTTCCTTGAACATTGTCCTTCTCAGCCTGCTCTCAGCCAAGATTTTCCAAAAAGTCCAGTCTGTGACCACCTAAAGAACCTAACAGTGACAAACTCCTCAAATTTTTTTTTACAATATATTAATTTATTTAGTGAATACAGTACATTTAAAAAAAACAAGATAATGATTTCCATTCTTTAATAAATGTGTTTGAAATAAGCAATTATATAACTCCATCTTTTGTAAAGCATATCAACTAAGATGATTATTACATCTTAGAATTCATAATTTTATTCAATTATGTATTTAATAAATACATAAATTGTACATTTAAATATTTAATGGTGCATTTATTAACTTAATACATTTTTTTATTGTTATATTTATTTAATTTTGGCCCCTCCACACACCTCAGGGGTCGACTTTGGTAATCAATGACTAATCAGCTCCTAGCAATGCGTGCATACTGTGATTTTATTGTGAAAATAGGTGTCAGTCTGATCCTGTTGATAAAGAATAGAAGATGTTTTCCATCTGTCAAAAGATTCTGGTTATTTTACTTCCAACTTGGCTGGACAGAAGCAGCCAACAGCTCCCACGCTGTCGTCCCTCTCTGACTGAACAGATTCTTGAGCGAACGAATTGTGATTCTGAACAGCTTCTGAATCCTAAAAGCACGTGAAATGGTTTGGACCAGCAGTTCTTCACTGAAGTTTTTTCTCAGGAGCTTTTCTTAATATGTTACAAGCTGACTGCTTTCACTCGGTTACACCTCTTGACATTTGATTCCTTCAGACATTTTACCTCAAAACTGGCAAGCTCAGCTCCCAACGTTGCTGTTGTCACAGCAACCTAGCTTGTTGTTTTCTGCTGTAGCTGTGCGTTTCTTTGTTTTTGCTTTAGTTTTTTTGCATGCGCTACTATGTTTATGTATTTTTTTTTTAGCAGATGTTACTCCAACCATGTTTTTGTTTCTTTTTGTCTCATAGACATTGCTGCCGCTGTATGGGAGTTGTTTTTTTCTTCTTGTAGATGGTGTTGCAGCTGTGTGTTTTGTCTGGAGGATGCAGTACCTGAATATGAGTGTCCAGTTGAGACACTGCAGAGGTTTTCAGGCTACTGAAGGACGGAGCCTCTTTGCTCTGAAGTGTCAGATTACAGTCAGGCGCTCCAAGGACACTGCAGAGATCTGCTGGAAGGAGCAGCAGCTCTGTAGCTTTACACACACTGACCATCCTGAGATTAAGCTGTTGAGGTGTTAAATTAAGTTATAACTCAGTCAGGAACTCAGAGCTGTGGAATATTTCCTCTTTAACCCTTGGGGAATGTTGTTATTGCAGACAGGAAGTGAAGAACTACTGGAAATTTTAAAACTGGAATAGATATATCCCCGGTACCTGTTCCTTTGATCAGCCTGGCACTATAACTGTCTGCACATGTTCAGATCGCCTCTGATTTTCAGTCAGGAATAAATGCAGTTTTGTTGGATCAAATAAAACATCACTCATTTGTTTATTTGGACTTGCAGTCAGTCAAATATATTTTCTGGTTCACCTTTTTATTGCTTTTTTCCCAAACCTTTTAAGGTGCTACTCCTCAGGATTACAACGTATGACGAGTGCCATGGGTCAGATTTTCTACATTTTCCTGCAAAAGCGTGTTCGTTATTGACTGTTCAACATTCTCAGTTATGGACTGGTCACTTCATTGTCTGTTCCCTCCTGTTTCCCAGTCAGGACTTTGAACATTGTCGCTAAGGAGATCTCTTGAGAAGTGTTTAAAGGAAGCAGAAGTTGCTTTAGAATCTCTGCTGGACTTTTCTGAATCAATGTCGCCATCAGAGAAAAGGGGTTGATCCCAGCCTATACCATGAAACATCCTCCTACTATCACAGGGGTTAGCTGCTAACAGCAGGCTGGATTATCCAATTCCTACTGGCCAGAGTTACATTTGCACTTTATACAGCAAGCAATTTTGCCAAATCTTTTGTTGTCCTGTTAGGATCTATAAATGTCAATGGTTTAAAAGATGTTGAGTAGGAACACCATTAGTGGCTTTAAGATATCTTACACTTCATATTACCACACACCATTTTTAACTCTTAAAGGTTTAATGTTATGTTTAGCTAACCAAATTAAGGGGAGCTTTCACTGCATGAATCTGAATGTACTGAAATACAAAGGTTTCTTTTTGTACTTAACTGCAGTGTATGCAAACAATGCTACCCCTTATTATTGTTGTAATATTTGCAACAATTAACTATTTCTATTGTGTAAATAAAGGATGCTTCATCATGTGTCAGTTACCATGGTAACATTGTTGTGTCTTCACAGTGGTGGACAGGCAGGGCTGCGATCCAAACACTCGTTTCCTGGTTCCTCCCCGAAGCGTCCACTGGGTGGCGCTGCTGCAGAGAGGTAACTGCACCTTCAGAGAGAAGATCCTCAAGGCAGCCGCCTACAATGCCTCAGCAGTCCTCGTCTACAACAACTCCACCGACAAGACTGTCAAGATGGGCCATGAAGGTCAGATCCTTCATTTAGAGTCTTTGATCTCAGTTTTGTAAACTTTGAATAATAATTTCTGAACCTCTTCTTAAATAAGGCCAGAACAAGTTTGGTAATTAGTCCTGAATAATATTTGACCCTGTTTCAAACCAGGTCAGAATCTTCACTACAGATAAGTATCTGCAGGTTGTATCTGTGTGGGTTCAGCAGCTTAATGACGATCGATGAGAGTAAATTTAGCCAGTCAGGATGGATTTCTCTGTGACCTCTCTGAGAAGGCCCAGCTCAATTACAGATCGGAAGGTCACAGCATCCAGAACTAAGAATTAACCAGATCTCACTGACTTTCCGAGCAGGGTTCTGGAATCCCTGAGGATCAGGAGAAAGTATCAGACCAGTAAATGGAGGGGGACAGAATGACTTCCTCCGAAACAGAAATGGTGCCTTCTTTCAGGACGGTTCTGATTCTTTTTCTGACTGTGGTTCTGGGTGCAGGAACCGGCGACATTGTTGCTGTGATGATCACTGAGGCTTATGGTAAGGAGATCTTGGCTCACCTCGAACGGAACCAGACAGTCTTGGTATCTCTGAGCTACCGTAATCCCGCCAAAAACATGAACCGCGGTTCGCTGGTCTTCGTCTCCATCTCCTTCATCGTCCTCATGATCATCTCCTCCGCCTGGCTCATCTTTTACTTCATCCAGAAGATCCGCTACAGCAGCAGCCGTGACCGCAGCCAGGTGAGCTAAGCACGCACTGCGAACACCAAGCTCAGGAAAGCACAGGATTTAGGTATCATAATATTGCACCTGAACGCAGTATTGGGATCCTCCCATCCTGGACCAGAACACAGTGGGTCTAAAGGCAGATGGAGGTGAACATCAGAATGCTGCTTTTGTTCGTTTGCAAAAGAAGGTTTTATACGCCTCTTGGATTTGCATCGTGAATTGGTTTGAACACACTCCAACTGCTCTAAATTAGTCAAAAGCTATTGATCACATTCCAAATTCTTCAAGGTAAACTTTGGTTCTCAAACATAAAATCCATGTTTAACTGATATTGTATATGATTATGGTTTTCAACCATGTTTTTCCATCGTCTTTGTGTACACAGTAACTTAGGTTAGTTGAGTTTCACTAGTTTAATCAAGAGTTTTTAACTGAATTAATCTTTTTGTTAATACATTTTTATTTTTAGAATTGATTATATGCAGAATTATCTGTTTGACCATGATTGTAGCTCAAATTCCCACTTAAATTTGTTGTTCTAACACACTTCCAGTTTAGCTACACAACTGCACAGTGGGACAAAAACGTAATAGTTTGAAGTGTGCAGTAACTTGATGTTTGGGGGGGGGGGGACTCTGAGGCTTTTCATTTTCTGTGGATGGAGCTTTCTGTAACTTCAAGCTGGGAGGCTTCGTCTTGGACGCTAAACTCTGTTGTCTCTGCCTGCCAGCGCCGTCTTGGGGATGCAGCCAAGAGAGCCATTGGGAAGCTGACAACGAGGACGGTGAAGAAAGGGGACAAGGTAAATAGCTTCAGATGTTTTCTGTCCCTTCTGGTTGTTCCAAAAGTCAGTCTCACACAGAGGACCTAAAATGGAGAATATGAGCAGTCAGTTGTATATGATTGATGACTAATGATCTGTACAGAACCAACATCTTTGTTCTCTTATCATGTTCTGTTTAGTTTAAATGCAGAGGAACTGCTGCTTTAAATGTTACAAAGGGCTTTAATAAAGCCTCTTTCACCCTAACAACATTAGCTACTAATTTACTGGGTCAGGGTTGCATGTGAGTAAAGCCAGAACTGATTTACCAGATCAAGGGTCAGGTATCATACCTGCTAATCTGCCGGGACCACTGTAGTGGAAATAAAGCCATTACATTACTGGATAAGACACGCATTTGTGTTTTTATGCAAATACTGGTTGTGATGTTGGGAGTATATATAATTTATACTATAATATATATTTGTGATATATATAAAATGGAAGAAAAAAAATGGCTGCCCTTAGTACAAGATTTTTAGATTTCATTTGTGTTTCAGCTTGAAACCAACAACGAAAACTTTTTTTCTAATTTTGCTTCTAAAAATAATATAGAGAAGTGGAGAAAAGTTCCTTTTTTAAACATCTGAGTCAGGTATAACCTCTGCTGTCTGCACCGATCGGAGTAAACCTTTCTGATTGGTGCAGACAGGATAGGTCATCCCTGATTCAGAATCCAAATCTTCAAACTTTTTTTTAATTTTTGCGGGACAGCCAGAGCCCCGTTCTCAACCTGCAGAGCCTTTCTGCTCTAAGTTTTGTCCTTGTATTTACATTACACAAAATAAAACTCATAATATTTTTAATGCTTATAAACAGTTGAAGGCAAAAATGAAGGCGTCAAGCCAGGGAATCCAGCCTCTCTAACTGGATCAGCTGTAAAGTAATTATTCTTGATATAAACTCCAGAGAAGATATTTTAGATTATGCTCTTTTGGTGAGTCGTTTTTATCCCAGATGACTGATATCATGATGACTAGAGTTATTTTTCTGAATTTGTCTTCTGTATTTCCTCAATTGTTTTGTGAAACATTTCTTTTGTTTTTTGTTTTTCAATTCAATTCATTTTGAATGGAAAAATCTTCGTGGATGGGAAGTGAAATGTTTTCAAACTTGGAAACAAAGTCCAGTGAATTTAAAAAAAAAACTTTTTTGGAATGAATATGACCTGGATGTCTGATAATCTTCACTAAAAATTTTTTTTATTGGTTTGCTTCTACTTTAAAGTTGTCTTTTAAGTTTCTTAGAAGATTAAATGGCACAAAAACTATGTAAAATAGTTTTTTTCTTGCATTGTTTTGTCAATATTTATTTTACATCTAAGAAATTTCTGATGTATTTGGATGAAGAGGCTCAGCTATGCCCCCTGCCTAGACATTTTGTGCCTCGTTTGCCGCCCCATTAAAATTTTTCTAGATCTTCCACTGTAGTGATGCCTAACAACAGCTTTGTCTCCTGCTACATGTTGTTAACCTCAGCATCTATGACAAATGCCACTGCCTGGCCTCATCATGTTGACTAACTGTAAGGACATGCTCTAGTCTTTGTTTAGATCTTCCAGCCATTTGCTTCTCTGTCTGTAAAATAAACTGGAAATTATGTTCTTCACTAGTTTCCATAATGCCACTAAAAACTATAAGAACCCCTGGTGCCGAAGCCATTATTTGTTATTACTAATTAGCTATTTGACAAAATTCTGTCTGAAATTCTTCTTTTGTGTTTGACTTGATCAGTTAAAGCTCTATCCTTTGTATTACTGCCACCTGAAGGTGATATTTGGTACAGCCATCCCATCATTTAAAGTGTGATAAAAGCTGACCCAGTAATTTACTAGACGAATTCCATGTGAAAAGGGAACTAATTCTTGTTTGACCCTTGAATGTAAATTATTGGGACTTGTGAAAGAGTCTGACTACAGAACAGGAAACCTTAGACAACACTATAGGCTGATGTTTTCCATGTCTTCTAAAGGAAACGGATCCAGACTTTAACCACTGTGCTGTGTGTATCGAAGCGTACCAGCTCAACGACGTGGTCCGAATTCTGCCTTGCAAGTGAGTCTGAATCTAACACTATGTCTCAATGAATGTGTTTACAAGGTGACAGGATCAGGAGGGACTCTGAGAACATTTCAGAACATCCCGGAGGGAGCTAAACTGAAATATTTAAAATATCCATTTAGAAAAACAAATCCAAATGTAAAAATTGATATTGGAGTGGCTCAGAGCAGTATTGGTCTGGGCGCTGAGCTGAGCTGATAGCAGTAGGACTCCAGCTGGAGATCAGGATTAGACCAATAAAACATCAACCTGTGAAGCACAGAGAAAACTGTTAATGCCTGACTTATATTTTCCTATCTGCATCACTGAATCTATGTCAGGACTAACTGATAACCTGTGTGGGTTTCCTGCAGACACGTCTTTCATAAAGTGTGTGTGGACCCGTGGCTAAACGAGCACTGCACCTGTCCCATGTGTAAACTTAACATCCTCAAAGCCCTAGGCATCATGGTAAGTCGACACCGACAGCAAAAGCTTTAAGGAGGGTGTGAAGGATGACAGTGTCCCCTTTGTCCTCTTTGCTCAGACCAGCTTTCCCTGTGTGGACACTGTGGTGCTGGATGTGGAGCGTCTGGGTGGCCATACATCTGGTAGCCAGAGGGCGCCCCCGAGAGACCAAAACCAGCCGTCCATTAGCCTGGAGCCACTCAGTCCCCCCCACTCCGAGACCACACCCAGAACACCTGCCGACATCACTGTGGCAATTACAAGTAAGATCACAGGAGAGACAGCAAAGTGGCAAACATTGACTTTACACTAATACAACAATACACTAAGGTACAGCAGCTTTAATTTGAAGTACAACAGCTTTACTGTAGCTTTGTACATTTGAACAGATATACACTGAAGCACACTTTATATTAACATACAACAACCAATAAGATGGCTTTGAATTAGATCTGTTTACAGGATGGCTTGGAGCAGACTCAAGCCCCTAAGGAGGCTGGGGTCTATTGAAGTTAGTGGGGCACTTCTGAAGAATCTGTATAACTGTGTGTATATATACCGTAAATTCTCTAATATAGGCCCGGGCCTTTATTTCACTCAAGTGCATCGCGGTCCAGGCCTTTATTGGAAGGAGCCCAGAATTAGAGACAGGCCTCTATTGCTATTTGAGCAAAACAGACTACCAGTGGAATGAATAAAAAATGAAATTTTGTGTCTATTTGATCCTATAAAACACTAGGTTCATTTATTGAACAAGAACAGTTACCATAACGGTATACAGAAATTTAACAACAAATAGCCTACCTGTAATTCAGGCTAAATTCCAGTGGAAAAAAACGTAGCAAACATACCAGTAGTGCAATTAGTGCAATGTAAACACTTAACCATACATGGTGATAATTAGGCTGTTTTATAACAAAAAGCAACTTACAGGTTTAGACACCTCCTCGCTCACTCAAATTGTCTCGCTTGGTGTGAAGTAAAAAAAAAAAATCCTCCAACTCTGTTTAATCCTCCTCCTCAGTTTCCTCCTCCTCAGTTTCCTCCTCCTCTTCATCTCTCCCTGTATTCTCCTCATCACTCGCGCCAGTCTCTATCACAAGTTCATACAGTTCCTCTTCGTCCTCCTCATGTTTTGCTGCGTGTCTGTTTTCTTCCTCGCGCAGACGGGCAGCAGTCAGGGCCTGTCGTCCAGCAGCGCAGGGCTGTGGTACTTGTATGTTACTACCATAAGTATAATGTTGAGGTATGCCCAGAAAAAATGTTTATAGCCCCGGCCTGTATAAGAGACCGGACATTATTTACCTCCGCCATCAGCGAGACAGGCCATTATTAGAGACCCGGCCACTAATGGAATACAGGCCAATATTAGAGAATTTACGGTATATATATATATATATATATATATATATATATACACACACAAGTGTATGTAAATGTATACATATATATCAGAATTGCTTTATTAATAATTATAATTTTCTTGCAGTGCAACCATTTACAGAAGAGAGAAAAAAGGGAGGAAAAAATATATATAATTTCACATAATGCACAACAAATAAATTCTTCCATATAACTTAACAATGACTTTCAACAACTTAACATTTAGTAAAGACAACATTACACTGGAGTACAACTACATTTAAACACAACTTCAAAATCAGTTTGGCTTTAAGATGAAATTGCCAATTTTATTATACCAAATCTGATAAATTACATTTTTTTGTTGTTGTTGTTGGATGAAAATGACAAATGACCAAAATTACTTTTGAAAAAAACTTCCAATTATTTCAATCATGTATTCTGGAAGTTGACCTTAGTTACAAGTTCAACTAAATACAAGCAGTAAAACATGCTGGAAAAACAGTTGTAAATATGGAAACTTAGCACAAAAAATGCTTGTGAGCACTATTACACATTGAGCAAGTTTATCAAACTGAAATATACATCTAATGAAACTTAACTCTTTACTACTATTATAAACCAAATCACTAAACCTTTACAAAAATATAAATCGAGTTTAGAATGTTTCAATATAAACTTTCTTTTGGAGTGCAACAACTTTTACTCAAATGTAATGTTACAGTAATTATAGCAAATTTAAGCTGATGTGCACCATATTTACAGTGACTTTAACTAGATTTAGATAACTTATCTATAAGAAATCCAACAGACATCAAAGACTACACTGTGTGCAGAATTATTAGGCAAGTTGTATTTTTGAGGATTATTTTTATTTGGGCCACAATTGTGTTCTTAATCAACCCAAAAGACTCCTTAATATTAAAGTTTCATAATTTTAGAAGTTGATGTGTTTCTTTTTAGATTTGGCCATTTTATGAGAATATATGAATATATGAGAATATATACCCACCTCACTTGTTTATTTTACCAAGATAAACCAATATAACAACTCAAAATTCAGAAATAAACATTTGCAATATTCAAAAAAACACAAAAAAAACAAAAACAAATCAGTGACCAATATAGCTACTTTCTTCACCATGACGCTCAAAAGCCTTCCATCCATAGATTCTGTCAGTGTCTTGATCTGTTTGCGATCCACATTGCGTGCAGCAGCCACCACAGCCTCCCAGACACTGTTCAGAGAGGTGGACTGTTTTCCCTCCCTTTAGATCTCACATTTCACGAAGGAACACAGGTTCTCCGTGGGGTTCAGATCAGGTGAACAAGGGGGCCATGTTATGTCATTATTTTTTCTCCTTTTAGACTTTTTCTGGCCAGCCACGTTGTGGTGTATTTTGACGCGTGTGACGGAGCATTGTCCTGCATGAATATCATGTTTTTCTTGAATGATGGCGATTTACCACCGCTTGAAGAAGGTGTCTTCCAGAAACTGGCAGTAGGTCTGGGAGTTGATCTTGACTCCATCATCAACCAGAAAAGGTCCCAAAAGCTCATCTTTGATGATACCAACCCATACCAGTACCCCACCTCCACCTTGCTGGCGTCTGAGTCTATAAGGAACTTACTGCATTTTACTGATCCAGCCTCGTGCCCAGGGCTGCTCAGTGGCGCAGTGGGTAGTACTGCTGCCTTGCAGCAAGAAGGTTCTGGGTTTGATTCCCTGCCTGGGGTCTTTCTGCATAGAGTTTGCATGTTCTCCCTTGTGAGAACATTCCTTCCACAGTCCAAAAACATGACTGTTAGGTTAATTGGCTTCTCTAAAGTCCCCTTAAGTGTGAGTGTGTGTGTAAATGGTTGTTTGTCCAGGGTGTACCCCGCCTCCTGCCCGCAGAAAGCTGGAAATAGGCAACGGCACCCCTTGCGACCCTATTTGGGATAAGTGATTTAGAAGATGGATGGATGGATGGATGGATGGATGGATGGCCTTGTGCCCATCCATCTGGCCCATCAAGACTCACTCTCATTTCGTCAGACCAAAACTCCTTGGAGAAATCAGTCTTCAGATATTCCTTGGCCCAATATTGACGTTTTGTCTTGTGTGTCTTGTTCAAAGGTGGCCTTTTTTTGGCTTTCCTTACCTTGGCCAGGTCCCTGAGTATTGAGCACCTTGTGCTTCTCGGCACTCCAGACATGTTGCAGCTATGAAATATGGCACAACTGGTGGCTAATGGCTTCCTGGCAGCTTCACGCTTTCACCCCTTCTCAATTCATAAGGAGTTTTTTACGTCTTTTTTTCTCAACACGTGTCTTGTGCCCCTGTTGGCCATTTGCCATGAACTGCTTGATTGTGCAATGATCCCACTTCAAAAGCTTGGCAAGTTCCAAACTGCTGCACCCCTCTAAAAGACATCTGACAACTTTTGACTTTTTAGAGTCTGTCAAATCTTTTTCTGACCCATTTTGCCAAAGGAAAGGAAGTTGCCTAATAATTAAGCACACCTTATATAGGGTGTTGATGTCATTAGGCCACACCCCTTCTCATTACAAAGATGCACACCACCTGATTTACTTAATTGGTAGTTGGCTTTTAAGCCTATATAGCTTGAAGTAGGACAACATGGATGAAAAGGATGATGTGGTCGAAATACTCGCCTAATAATTGCACACAGTGTAATCAGCACCAAAACCTTACGCTGAAACTAAGTAACTCAACAGTGATCACTAATGAAATTTTACATACAAACCGGTTTGTGAGACTGCTGTGAATTGAAAAAAAAAAAGGTTCATGTGTAATAAGGGTTTCAAAGACATGTCTATTGACTTTTGATGCAAGGAAAAAAACTGATTGAAATACATAGTTGCACTGCAGGCAACAGTGAGGTTATCCTATAACTCAATAGAGGGGCAGAGCTAGGTGATGGCCAGGCGTCGCCATTGGATTCAATGCTTATCCAATCATCTGCTGACGCTGTGGCCAGCCTCGCCTGGTCATTTGTTGTTACCATGTGGACGTAATTCAACTCTGGAGCAAGCAGTTAAACTTTAAGACAGACACAAACTTTAAGACTGGCAGCAGTGGCACTCTCAGGATGAATGTCCTAACTAATATTTTAGTATATTAACTATAAATTGACATTTCACATTTACTATAATCAATATTTTTTTTGTCATATTGTTTGCTTATATTTAGAGTGATAAATCCAGTCTTCATTTTCACGTTCCTCGATAATGTACCATATCACTCACCCACTTTTGTAACTGAAAAAGGCATCGGACATAACTTCCTTCACAGCCAACATGGCCGTATCCATAATTATTCCTCCTCTGTCTGTGGAAAGTGTGTTGCTTTAACGTTGATTTGTCTGTTGATGCCTCAACACAACTTTACTGTCTTGATGAGAAAAAATGCCCATTGTCTTTGTCTTAATGTTTGGTGATCAGACACCATTGAATGCCATGGGTAATGTTGTGCTTCACCATGTAGCTGCTAAAACTGACTTGCTTTTCCTCACAAGCAAATTAGTCTTGCAGAAGGCATCACATAAATTACAAGCTGCACAGAGTGATTAGGGTAGACTGACCCTGACCCTGAACTGATTCACACGTCATTCCCCCCTCCCGTGCTCTGATGTCTTTGCAGGTGGAGGACACTTCTTCAACAGGAACTCCATGTCTCCTCGGAACATCGTCTCTGAGATGGAGCTGCCAGACATCCAAGCCTCACTCGATCTCTATGATGACAACAAGTCCTGAGACCAGTCGGCATGGTTACAACCGCACATCCAAATTATTCCCCCTGTTGAGGGTTGAACAAACTGGACCCAGAAAGTCCTCGCAGAGGGGTTTCTGTTGCGATGTGCAGTTGGGATGTCTAATACTGACCGTCTGGATGTTTGATCACAGAAAGACTTTACTGACGTTTCTAAACAATCACAAGATTTTAAACACTGTTACTGGGTTCCTTTAAAGTTCTTCAAGTACTCCTGGATCAGCGACAATGTTTCCAAAGATACAGTAGCTTCTGAATGTTAGTGTCTGCGGAGATGAAACCTTGGGATCTGTTACGGGTTTCCACACTTGGTTCTGAAACCTAAATGACTCCACAAAGCCAAAATGTGTTTGTAAAAATCCTCAGGATTCCTTATAAGGTTCCTGAGAATGTTTTTGTGCCTGAAGTGATATGGGTTTTTATTCTTATTCTTATTTAAAAAAAATGCTTCCTTATACTGAGCCCTGGTTCTGCTCCATTGGAGTGGTTTTCTGGATCAGTCTATAGTTCTTTCTGCTTGTCCGGTTTCCTGCTAAACGTCATCAAGGCTTTGAGAGCTTTGGAACACTCTTAATCCTCAATATGATACGAAGTTCTGTTTGATTCAGCTTACTAAAATCCTTCTTGCAGAAATTCTGGGTCAAGCAACTGAATAATTTCTGGATTTTCACCATAATTTCAAAGTTCCAGGAAACTTCTGTGTCCTTATACAACTTTAGTGCTCTTAGGGATCTCATCCAGGTACTTTCAAAGGTGCTGGAAAAGGTTCTGTCATTTTTGCTCAGTTTTTCCAGAGTAAAAAAGATCAATGTGTCAGGTATAAAAACAGGAAGTGATTCAGAGGAGAACTATAGCAGTGTCCAAGAACTAGATCCCAGAACCATTTCTTACATAATCATTGTTTCTCCGGGTACTGGCAACCTCCCATGCTGAGTGGCTGGTTGAGGATCTTATTAGTTTTGTTTGGTTTCGTCTCTCAGAGTTTGGACTCTGCTTGATGGCCTGGATCAGCGCTTCCTCTGAAATTGGATGTCCTGGAACAAGTTGGAGCAAGGACTATGAACATCTTAGTGAGTCTCCTGGAGTCCAGTGGATGGACCTGCTACATGGACTGGACGTTGATTCTGTCTTTGCTAGTCCATGAAGCCTTCTGGTTGCATTGGTGTAGGTCCAGCAGGATTCCCAAGCTCTGTTTAAGAGGATATTTTCCTTCATTTTCTAGAAAATTCCCAGTGTTACTGGAGGGGACCAGATGAAGCTGTCTTACAATGGTCCCTTAGGTGATGGACTGCTACTCTAAAGTTATTCTGAGTTACTCAGTGTGTAATAATATTAATACTAATAATCAGTATATAAACAGCATTAAACAATCTATAATCTGACTGATTCATCAGTAATAAGTGACCTGAAGAAGCTCAGCTGCTGTCCACATCTGTCCATGTCTGTCTGATTTCATTTTTTTTATTTGTTTTTGTCCATCTCTATACACGTCTGTCTCTTTGTGACAGATGAGGGTGATGATGATTCGGAGGGGTCCTTTGTGTCTTTACTGCCGCAGCATCATGTCTGATTAAATGTCATTAAAGAGTCTGCTGCATCAACTGTGCAGTCTTTGGCAGTTTGTCCTCTTGGTCTCACATGAGAAGAAAGAACCATCTCCTGCTTCTGATGCTTCGTTGAACACCAAAAGCTGATACCCTTGGACCAGCACCAAAGTGAATGTTTTGGGTGGTACACACCAAACGCTTGGAACATCAAAGTTTCTTGAAGAACTTGTATTATATTCTTGAAATGCAAATCAACAAGGTTGCTGGTTTGAATCTACAGCTACTATTCCAAACCTGAACCAGAATAACAACTGAAGCTTCAAACCAGCAACCCTCTGGATAGTGAGGAATATAAGTATTTGAACGCCCTGCTATTTTGCAAGTTCACTAAGTTAGAAATCATGGAGGGGTCTGAAATTGTCATCGTAGGTGCATGCCCACTGTGAGAGAAATATTCTAAAGAAAAAAAAATTTCTGTTTTTTGCATGATACAGCTGTTAATAAGTATTTGAACACCTGAGAAAATCAATGTTAATATTTGGTACAGTAGCCTTTGTTTACAATTACAGAGGTCAAACGTTTCCAAAAGTTTTTCACTGGGTTTGCACACACTGCAGGAGGGATTTTGGCCCACTCCTCCACACAGATCTTCTCTAGATGAGTCAGGTTTCTTGGCTGTCGCCGAGAAACGCATAGTTTGAGCTCCCTAAAAAAAGTTCTCTATTGGGTTTAGGTCTGGAGACTGGCTAGGCCATACCAGAACCTTGATATTCTTCTTACAGAGTCACTCCTTGGTTATCCTGTGTGTGCTTTCGGTCATTGTCATGTTGGAAGTTCCAGCCTCGACCCATCTTCAGTGTTCTGACTGAGGGAAGGAGGTTGTTCCCCAAAATCTCACAATACACCGCCCCCAGTCATCTACCACCATCTACCACCCCCATGCTTCTTCACCATTCTTGTTCCTCCAAACACTGTTAGTGGAATTATGACCAAAAAGTTCTATTTTGGTCTCATCTGACCACAAGACTTTCTCCCGTGACTCCTATGGACTCCAAATGGTCATTGGCAAACTTAAGACAGGCCTTGACATGAGCTGGATTAAGCAGGGGAAGCTTCCATGCAATGCATGATTTCAAACCATTAGGTCTTAGTGTATAACCGGTAACCTTGGAAACAGTGATCCCAGTTCTTTTCAGGTCATTGACCAGCTCCTCCCGTGCATCTCTGGGCTGATTTCTCAACTTTCTTAGGATCATTGAGATCCCATGAGGTGAGATCTTGCATTCCATGAAAACTTGAGAGGAGATGAAACAAATAGGCCTATCTGCTTAATAGGAGAATGTACTTAAACATAATGGTTGTGTTATGTCGCCAAAAAGACGCCTAAATAATGTGTTCGCTGTTTAAAGCAGGAAATGAAGTCTTGAAAATTAATTAATTTAGGACATATTTTTATATAAGCCTTTATTGCGACGCCAGCACGCGCGTCACGCAGAGGCGTGGTCTAATGCGTCATACACGGAAGTGATGTAGAGTCATCAGACCTGCAGAAAACAACAGAAACGGGACCAGAAGAAACCTGATTCCGGGCTTTATCCAGAGTTAACCCGGTTGAGGGTCAGTGCAGCTGTCCGCCATGTGGATCGAGCCGGAGGAGGTGCTTCTTGCCGGAGCTCTGTGGATGTCAGAGCGGGCCAATCCGTTCTTCATCCTGCAGAGGAGGAGGGGGCACGGCCGCGGAGGGGGGCTGTCCGGTAGGTTCTGTTCGGTCTGGTCCGGTCTGTCTCTGGGTGACTAGTGAATAAGCAATTTGATGTGTCTGTTTGGTTTGTGTTTGACGAGTTTAAGGGGGGAGGGGGTCTCTGTTGGGCTCTATGTGGGCGGAAGGGGTGGACGGTCCACTCGGTTCGGTTCGGCTCTGTAGGAAGGAACTGTTCCATTCTTTTAGTTGGATGTTCTGTTCTCTCTCTGTGAATTGGTCCAGTCTGAACAGTTAATTGTGGGTGTTGGTCATCCAGCTAAGTTCAGGTTTTTTGGAAACAGTTCTTGCAGAACCTCAGTAACAGTCACCTCTGGTTATGTAAACTGAGAACAGAACAACTAGTTCTGGATAATTGGATGCAAAACTAGAACCCCAGAATAAGGTAAAAATGTGGCTGGCCTCAGGTCTGAGGGGAGTGACGCCATGAAGACTCAGCTGACTTTGTTTACTTCCTGATAAAGAACCAGGTGATTAATGTTTGCATCATGGGGAAGGTCTTAGAGACCTGCAAGGGTTTAGGTGGGGGTGGGTCTGTGTCGTTGGGGGTCAGACCAGTAAAATGTTAAAGGAAACAGAAAGTGGTCGTCCGAAACCAATTAGTTTCCAGAGGAGGGATTGGAACCAGCAACCTTTTTCACTTCTTCCCTATTTAAACCTTCCTAATGATGGTGAAACTTGTGCACACATATCTGCTGGGAATGATCTGAACATCATCTGACTAATTTCATTTACTTTATAGCCCCAATTCCCAACATGTTACTTAACTAAGGCAGTTCAGTCTAATCATACAGACAGATTGAACTAATCTGAACTATCATGCATTACAAGCACTGATGGTTCCAAGATTTGGACCCGAAGACGTTCTGCAGGCTCAGGAAACCTTTGTTGGACAAATGCATGGCTGCACCACAACAGGAAATGGATGTTGGGATGTTTAACACATTGGAAGTTATTAATATTTTACGCATTGACCTCAGAATGGAAGGTTGTGACCCAAACTGCAGGTCCCGTTGTCTCTCTTTCAGATTTTCTTGTATCTCTTATGTGGCTTTTAGACCTTCACCATCAGGCGGCTGCAGAGGCGTAGGCAGAATATTTTTATAAGGGTGGCCAGGCAATAACCATCGTACACTAAGGGGTGGCCAAAAGTGGATAGGCGCCAGAACCTCAGGGTCAATCTACACTGTTCCAAGAGGAAAATTAACGAGCAAAACATTCCATATTTTCTAAATAAAAACAATTTATACTTTCCTACAGCCTTTGCTAACAAGTAGACGCATATATTTAAACATCCGTGCTTTCTAAATAAAAGATATAGCGGATAAAAATCTTTCAGTTTTGAGATCGTCATTACTTATTTACTTCTATCAATAAACATTCTGCATAAAATTTATATTTACAAGCACTAATATTTACATAAATTGATTATTTTCTAAGTTTTTATTAAAATTTTTATTTATCTATGATTTCACTGAAGACACGTTTTCTCTTTACCCCATATAAAACAAAATCTAGTTCTGAAAAGAGAATGAAATCTGTATTTATCATCTTTGATGTTAGTAAATTGATGTGTATAATTAACCACAAAAACATATTAATGTTTTGAATATTCTGCTTGAGAGTATTACTGCTGCCACCTCTGATGGAGGGGGTTAGAGGGCATGGTGGCGCTTGTTGTGTGGTTCCCTCACTTCTTTTGGTCTGCCACAGGGAGCTGCGGCTTCAATGTTTTTTAGCACCATCAGCTTGTGAATGTATGTGAATTGGTGAATTAAAGGGTTCATGATAAAGTGTGTTGGGGTGATCAGGCCTGATTTAGCACCGCATAAGTGCAGGCCATTCACCATTTATATGATCTGCATTAGCAGTTCAGTTCATCTGAATTCTTTGCTCCTTTTTTATATCTATAAAGTTTCAGTGGTTTCCAGTGACACCAATGGTTCACAACCCAATATAAAGTGATGCATAGACAGAAAATACACATTGCAACAGTTTCTGTAACGTCTCCATTTTTCAGGAAGTCGTATCCAAATGCCAGTTTTTATTGGCTCTTCTCTTCCTATCTCATGACTTGAAGCAGGAAGTTTTGTTGGTCAGGACTCTATGGCTGCAATATTTTGGATAAGTTAGATTCTTTTAAAGGCTCCATTGCAGTAATGTACAATACTGAATGTACAATTTTAGGAGGTGTTTTGACAGGAAACCTTTTGGATTATTTTAGAATTGCACTGTTAAAGTTGGTTGTAAGTTGGAATAGGTCATTTGTGCATCTTTAAATCTAATATATTTTTTCTCCATTTGTGGCTCAATGCTTCTTTTTTTGGATGTTTTTTTTTTTCTTCTGGTTTTAGATGCTGTGTGGCTTTTTGAAACCGCACAAATTTGTTGAAGAGTATACTCAAAGCAGCCATAGGGAGTTTTGTTAATCTTAAAAGCTAAAATATTACTTAAACTATTTGCAGGAATTTTGAATATGTCCCACCCAGCCATCCGTCCTCTATACCCTTCCACTTTCTCCTTTCAGTGTTGTTGAAGAGTAAGTTCCTCTCTTTAGCTGTCATTGCATGAAGTACAAGTAGTAGATAGGACAAGCTGCTACATCATAGCATGACATTTTATTATTTTTTTAAACATGTCTGTCTTCTCTTTAGTAAAGCAGACCTGCCTTGTTCTAGCGATGTCCTTTTTTTAAATTTCTGTAGGTGGTAAATGTATTGTAGACTTAGACTAAGACAACTTTTATTGTCATGTATGCAAAATGAAATTTCGTTTTGTACAGCTTTCAGAACGTTTCCATTCCATAAAACGCAGCAGTGATCAAATTTAAACAGTGTGGGAAAAAATACATGGTGCAAAAAAAAAAGAAAAGAAAAATAGAAATGTAGACATTTTTGCAAGAATCATGCAAAATGCGAGAATCGTGAAAAATCATTATTACTGAATGTGAAACAATAAAAATTTATAAAAATTAGCATTAAAGCATATGAAAATTGCCCAGATATAAAGTTGGGTTCATTAATCTGTTCTGAAAGTAAAGCTTTTGATATTCTATTTCTCTGTTTCTGTCTAACAATAATTCCTTTAAAGTGGTCATAAAATGCAAACAGAGTTTCCATTGTCATAGATGAATAACGATAGTTCAGTTGGTGAAATAGACGTACAGAGAAGTTCACACCCCATCAACACCTTCTTTCTGTCCAAATCTCACAATTCTAAACTTCCACAATAAAACGGGTGAATCCAAACGAAGCCCTGAATTGACGTAAATTCGGGGATGCTGCCTTATTTGGTTCTGGCCTGTACTTTTGTCACGCCCCGAAATTGACATACAGACCAGCCCAATGGTTCACTGGCCCAAGGGAGGGAGGGGTATGAAGTGTGGACTGCTGGGCCGCTTACTGGGCCTGGCCTCAATAGAGAGCCATGAGCCGCCTGTCTTCAGCCGGAGAAGGGGGGCCAGTAAGGCAGGCCGGGGGAAGCACAGTGCCGCTGGCTCCCTGCCCCCATCCACCGGGGTTCCTGGGCCAGCCCCAGAGCTGACAGTTTGGTTCGAGTGCTCGGTGTGACCAAAATCCCAGATGATTTTGAAACTCCCCCCGGACTTTTTTTTTTTATGTATCAAAAGTTGGAAATGTCCGGTAAAGAGAGGACGTTTGGTCACCCTACCATAATCAACAATTTTGATTTTTAGCTAGTGAGTGCTTGTTGCTATGATGCGTCTTTGCGCAGCAGCTTCGCTCGTTGTGAACCAACCAATCAGTGCACAGCTCATCTAAATATTCATGATCATACCATAAAAGGAAGAAACCTGTTGTTTCATTCTAGGGCTTCTAACCAGGCTTGCATTAGGGCTCATAGAACAGCATACAACATAGAACTATGTCATTTTCAGCCCAACCAGTGTTGCACACCCTATTTAGAGACCTTAAGGACCAGCACCAAATACCCTATAGAATCCTTATATGATAATTTAGTTCAAGGTAAACTCCATCAAAGTGGATTACGCTGAGGCGATGAGAATCTTAGTAGTAAAAAATGTTAGTATTAACAGTTTGCTGGGACTGGATTTTTTTTCACCCTTGGTGATGGGAGTGGTTTGCACTTTTGCAGTCTTTGAAGTCTGAACCAAAGCTTCAGGGGAAATGCAGCTTTCCCTAATTTCAAGGCAAAGCAGCTTAACAAACGTAATTTTTAAACAAGAATGTGAACAACACCTATAAAAATATAACGTATAACAAATATAACATAAAAAAGCACATTTAGATCTGTGACACACCTTCATTACTTTAAATCTGAGCACCTTTTTTAGATTTGTAATTTTATCTAGTTATTCAAGTAAGTAAACCATCAGTCTTCATTGGGTAAAAAAACCAAATGTTGAAAATCATTGCTTGAATGTTCCTTGTCCTGATCCCCCTTTCCTAAACAGGTACTTTCTTTTTTCATGATTTACATTTTAATAAGGAACTTATCTTAATTTTTTTGTAGGTAAATGAATTGATCAGTTAAACTAACATAAACATAAGGGGCTATGTTTTAGGACAAGAGATAAAAGTGTAATTAAAGGTAAATTACGGCAACACGGTTAACTCTGCACACATGTAAAAAAAATCCACAACAACTTGCCCTAAAAATATTGTTGCCAAAACAACATATGACTGTCTGAAAGTTATATGATTTAAATATTGAATCACATAAATGCATACAACTCCATAACATCAACCAAATCATAGATGGAGCTGCAAGTGTAAGAGACTAAATGAGAATAAAGCGAATCTACAGCACCTCTTCACCCTAAACCTGACCTAGGAGACGGTTCCAGTGATGTGGAAGACCCGCTGCCTTGTTCTGGTACTGAAAAATACTTGGCCATCAGCCCTAAATGACCATAGTCATTGTCCCTTACGTCCCACATCATGGAGGTCCTGGTGAAAATCCTGTTGATCCACCTTACTAAGCAAACAAACTATTTGGACTACCTGCAGTCTGCTTAATCCCATGACATTGTGGTTGGAGATGCCCTCATACACCTGCTTAAATGTTCCCTGCTGTCATTTAGACAGGACACAGAGCACTGTGAGATCATGCTCTTTGATTTGTCCAGTGCTTTTAATAAGATGCAGCCTGTTGGAAAGACCAGAAGACCCAGGTGGAGGCCTCAGTAACTGCCTGGATCAAAGATTACCTGAAAAATAGACCATGGTTTATGAGTCTGTAGGATCATCAGGTTGTCAGCTGCACAGGGTAAGGTACTCTCACCAATCTGTTTTACTCTGTTCACCTGAGACTTCCAGTAGCAGACAGAGTCCTGTCATCTGCAGAACTACTCGGATGACTTTGCAGTCATTGGGGGGCATCAGAGATTGACACCAATGCTTACTGCAGCTTGTTAATTGCTTTGTGCCATGGTGTGGAAATTATTGTAGATTTCAGAAGAAGGTGGAACAAGTCATAAGTTGTTACCGTAATTGGAGAAGAATTGGTGGTAGAGAAGTATAAATACTTAAGTGTTCTGGACGAGAGACTTGACTGGAAACACAAATGTGAAGCTGTCTACAAAAAGGGAAAGAGCAGACTGTACGTTTAAGGGAAGCTTAGCTCCTTCAGTGTTTAGAGGAATATGCTTCATGTCTTCTATAAGTCTGTTGTGGAGAGTGTGATCTCTTCTGCCAGCATTCAAATGAATTAATGAAATAAAGAAAATCATTTAACTCAAGTTAAACTGTCACCAGATGAGCTAAAAGATGAAGTGGTACATATAGTTATAATTACGGTGGAGGGGTTTGTAGATGTATATTGATTCAATCTCAAGGGCTGATCCTTGTGGAACTAAGCATGTCATGGCTCCTGTGTTGCCCGGTTCCCCGGCATCCCTGCAGGTCTTCTTGTGGGGACTCTAGATGTGGTTCTGGACTCGAGTGCCAGGGTGGCCCCCTACAGAATCCTGTTGCAGACTGCAGACTCTCAGATCTACTGGAACATTGCTTGTGGTGAGCAGAAGAACTGAAAAAACATGAGCTTAATCCAGATGCTGGTCTTTTTTTAGGTCTGTTTATCCTCATTTGTTTTGCAGGGTCATCCCGCAAGGAGATTACGGAGCATTGGGATTGGCTGGAATCCAATCTGCTGCAGACAATCTCCATATTTGATAATGATGAAGATGTCATCACCTTCGTCAAAGGAAAAATCTCTGTAGGTCTAAGACGATACGTGTTTGCCCAGGTTTTTTTTTCTTTATGACAAGTAATGTCACTTCTTGCAGGGCATAATTGCGGAAGAGAACCGGCTGAAGCAGAGTGATGACCAGGAGGAGGACAGCGGGAAGTTTCGAGAGGCAGAGCTAAAGATGAGGAAGCTCTTTGGGATGCCTGAGGAGGAGAAGCTGGTGAACTATTACTCGTGCAGTTACTGGAAGGGTCGAGTGCCACGGCAGGGCTGGCTCTACCTGTCCATCAACCATCTGTGCTTCTACTCCTTCCTGCTGGGAAAAGAAGGTATCCTCAACCAACTACACACAAACATGAACCAAATCACTCTGCAGTGATTACTAACTTATCTTTGCTCGCATAGTGACTCTGGTGGTGCCATGGACCGAGGTGACCCAGCTGGAGAAGAATGCTACCCTGGTATTTCCAGAGAGTGTGCGTGTGAGCACCCGGAACGCAGAACATTTCTTCTCCATGTTCTTGAACATCAATGACACCTTCAAGCTCATGGAGCAGCTCGCTAACATCGCCATGCGACAGCTGCTCGACAATGAGGGATTCGCTGCTGACCGATCGCTGCCCAAACCCTGCAAGACACTGAAAAACGTCTCTGCTCTAAAGAGGTCTCGCTCTGATTTAAACCGAGTCTGATCAGGGCTGGCAGGGTGAAATTATCTGTGTCATAATGATCCTTCCAAGTCAAAAGCATCAACAGCTGTTTTCTGTCTGCAGGGACTTTGATGCCCGAGCTAAGAACGAGCGGTACCGCTCCATGTTCCGGCTTACACAGGACGAGCGGCTGGACGGACACACAGACTGCACGCTGTGGACGCCGTTCGCCAAAATGCATGTGGTGGGACAGCTCTTCATCTCTAACAGCTACGTCTGCTTCAGCAGCAGAGAAGAAGACCTGTGTCAGCTAATTATCCCACTCAGAGAGGTAAGTCCTAAAATCTACAGAACTGAGACCAAAGCTTGAAACCAAGCCCAGGTCTCCTCTGGGTCTTGGTCAACCTGTCTGCTTGTCCCTGCAGTATCTTGTTCAAGGTCACAGCCATGAACTGTTATACCTGCTAAAATCCCCAGTCTGTTAGTGCACACATTGGGGCATACTCAGTCGATATTTGAAGGAAACCTGTTCTTGTGGTATGGAACCAGAACACTTGAAGAAGACCCATTGATTCTCAAAGGAGAGGGGATTAACAATAAACTTCTGCTCATGGATTATAAACCCAAAATAGCAATGACTTCAGTCCGTCTTTGACCACCTTTCAGAATCTGTGTAACACCCCTTAAGACTGAAACATACTCCCACGTTGGGTTGTTGGGTCAGTCCGTGTGTGCCATGCGCAAGCCCAAAGATGCGCTGTACTCTTTTATAGGTGACGTGGGTGTAGTTGCAGTCCTTGCAAAAACCACAGAGGGGCAGTGGTCAGCATAACAAGCAGAAAGTTCCGTAAAAATTAAAAAAATATCCACTGGACTTGGTTTTCAAGATTTGAAGACGTTTCGCCACCTCTCCCGGAAGCTTTCTCAATTCAAATGTCTGGATCCGCAGTGAGTTTGAGTCTTATATAGACAACGCCTTGTATCGCTTGGAAACATGCAATGGAAACCGATGAATGGGTCGTTAGTTCCATCGTTAGCCTGTAATATCTGAACCTGTCTATGATTCTAGGGGTCGGTCGTTAAAGGGGGGATTGTCATTAAGGGGGGGATTGTCTCCTGTAATACCTGAAACCTGTCTATGATTGTTAAGGGTTGGTCGTTAAGGAGGTATTGTTCACCGGCTGGAGCGGGTAGGTCCCTCGTTCCTCTGTGATGGGGTGGGGGGTTTGGTGATATCTGGAAGGGATCATGTCTATGATTGAGTTGTATGTTTTTGGAAGCTGGAATCTGAGTCCACCACCTCTGTTTAAAGTTGGTTTTTCTCTCTTAACATAGATGGCTTCCTTCACGCCCCTCTCAAACCACCTATTTTCTCTATCCAGAATATGGACATTCTGGTCCTCAAAAGAATGTCCTTTGTCCACAAGGTGTAGGTGTACTGCGGAGTCTAGTCCAGAGGTGGCCGCTCTTCTGTGTTGGGCCATGCGTCTGTGGAGAGGTTGTTTGGTTTCTCCAATATAAAGATCAGAGCATTCCTCACTGCACTGAACGGCATATACCACTCCGCTCATATTCGGTCTGGGGGTTTTATCTTTCGGATGCACTAGCCTCTGTTTAAGGGTTTGGTTTGGCTTGAAATGTACTGGGATCTTGTGTTTGGAGAAAATCCTCTTGAGCTTTTCAGACACTCCAGCAACATAAGGGATTGTGATGTTTTTGCGTTTAATTTTCCCATCGCTGTCTTCTGTTGCGTGTCTTTTGGATTTCCTTGCTGATTTGATAAAAGCCCAGTTTGGATATCCACAGTTTCGGAGAGCATCTTTGATGTGTTTCTGTTCTTTTTGCTTCCCATCTGTTATAGTAGGGACATGTTCTGCCCGGTGTTGTAAGGTTCTGATGACTGAGAGTTTGTGTTCCAGTGGGTGGTGTGAGTCAAAAAGAAGATACTGGTCTGTGTGAGTAGGTTTCCTATAAACTTCAATGTTTAGGCTTCCATCTCCTTCCATGCTCACCAGGCAGTCCAGAAAGGGTAGTTTGTTATCCTTGGCATCCTCTCTGGTGAATTTGATGTTACGGTCAACAGAGTTGATGTGTTTGGTGAAAGCTTCCACTTCCTCTAGCTGGATTTTGACGAAAGTGTCATCCACGTATCTAAACCAGTGGCTTGGTGGTATTCCATTGAAAGTGTCTAAAGCTCTCTTTTCCATTTCTTCCATGTAAAGATTTGCTACAATTGGTGATACTGGAGATCCCATCGCGCAGCCATGTTTCTGTCTGTAAAAATTACCTCTGAATTTGAAATAGGTTGTGGAAAGACAAAGGCCCAGTAGTGTGCAGATCTGGTCCGGAGTGAAATTAGTCCTGTTGTTTAAATCACTATCTTGTTCAAGACGTGTCCTGACTATTTCCACTGCCTCTGTTATAGGTATGCATGTGAAAAGTGAAGTAACATCAAACGATACCAGGGTTTCTCCTGGAGCCATCCTTAAATGTTTGGCTTTGTTGGCAAAGTCTTTGGAGTTTGCTCCTGAGTTGCTCTGCCTCCGTTTCAGCCAGGTTGTTGTTCCTGATGGCCGATTCAGTGGCCGTGATCAGTTCCACAATGGGTACTTCTTGTGGAGCAATGGCAAAATTCAGGCCTTTACTCAGTACATCCATCTCTGGTTTTGTCAGTGGTCTGCTAGATAGGTTTTTTACCCACTTGTCTTCAACCTTGATGTTATCCTCCTGAGTCATGTTGCTCTCTTGTTTAAATGCTGCTTTCTGTTGTAATCTTTTGAATTTGGCTTTTTGTCTTTCTTTTGTTTTATGATGTTGTGAAAGCTTGACTTTATTGACCAAAATGGCAACTTCTTCAAACAAGGTTTCGGGGAGAAGTTTGGATAGCTTCTGCCTTGTCTGATCTATTTTGTGCGAGATAGCTTCAATTGTGAAGTGAGTCTGTCTAATCCTCTCACTAAGCAGCTTTTTGTGCGCATTCCTAAGAATCTCTTCTGCCCTGTGTCACAAAGAAGGGGCACCACTCAGGCCCATTGTCAGCAGCATTAACTCAGTAACATACAACATTGCTAAACAGCTTACTAATATCTTAGCTCCCTTGGTGGGGAACACACCACATCACATAGAAAACTCCAAAGACTTTGCCAACAAAGCCAAACATTTAAGGATGGCTCCAGGAGAAACCCTGGTATCGTTTGATGTTACTTCACTTTTCACATGCATACCTATAACAGAGGCAGTGGAAATAGTCAGGACACGTCTTGAACAAGATAGTGATTTAAACAACAGGACTAATTTCACTCCGGACCAGATCTGCACACTACTGGGCCTTTGTCTTTCCACAACCTATTTCAAATTCAGAGGTAATTTTTACAGACAGAAACATGGCTGCGCGATGGGATCTCCAGTATCACCAATTGTAGCAAATCTTTACATGGAAGAAATGGAAAAGAGAGCTTTAGACACTTTCAATGGAATACCACCAAGCCACTGGTTTAGATACGTGGATGACACTTTCGTCAAAATCCAGCTAGAAGAAGTGGAAGCTTTCACCAAACACATCAACTCTGTTGACCGTAACATCAAATTCACCAGAGAGGATGCCAAGGATAACAAACTACCCTTTCTGGACTGCCTGGTGAGCATGGAAGGAGATGGAAGCCTAAACATTGAAGTTTATAGGAAACCTACTCACACAGACCAGTATCTTCTTTTTGACTCACACCACCCACTGGAACACAAACTCTCAGTCATCAGAACCTTACAACACCGGGCAGAACATGTCCCTACTATAACAGATGGGAAGCAAAAAGAACAGAAACACATCAAAGATGCTCTCCGAAACTGTGGATATCCAAACTGGGCTTTTATCAAATCAGCAAGGAAATCCAAAAGACACGCAACAGAAGACAGCGATGGGAAAATTAAACGCAAAAACATCACAATCCCTTATGTTGCTGGAGTGTCTGAAAAGCTCAAGAGGATTTTCTCCAAACACAAGATCCCAGTACATTTCAAGCCAAACCAAACCCTTAAACAGAGGCTAGTGCATCCGAAAGATAAAACCCCCAGACCGAATATGAGCGGAGTGGTATATGCCGTTCAGTGCAGTGAGGAATGCTCTGATCTTTATATTGGAGAAACCAAACAACCTCTCCACAGACGCATGGCCCAACACAGAAGAGCGGCCACCTCTGGACAAGACTCCGCAGTACACCTACACCTTGTGGACAAAGGACATTCTTTTGAGGACCAGAATGTCCATATTCTGGATAGAGAAAATAGGTGGTTTGAGAGGGGCGTGAAGGAAGCCATCTATGTTAAGAGAGAAAAACCAACTTTAAACAGAGGTGGTGGACTCAGATTCCAGCTTCCAAAAACATACAACTCAATCATAGACATGATCCCTTCCAGATATCACCAAACCCCCCACCCCATCACAGAGGAACGAGGGACCTACCCGCTCCAGCCGGTGAACAATACCTCCTTAACGACCAACGCTTAACAATCATAGACAGGTTTCAGGTATTACAGGAGACAATCCCCCCCTTAATGACAATCCCCCCTTTAACGACCGACCCCTAGAATCATAGACAGGTTCAGATATTACAGGCTAACGATGGAACTAACGACCCATTCATCGGTTTCCATTGCATGTTTCCAAGCGATACAAGGCGTTGTCTATATAAGACTCAAACTCACTGCGGATCCAGACATTTGAATTGAGAAAGCTTCCTGGAGAGGTGGCGAAACGTCTTCAAATCTTGAAAACCAAGTCCAGTGGATATTTTTTGAATTTTTACGGAATGACTATGACCTGGATGACTGAGAACCTTCATCAGCAACAAGCAGAAAGGCAAGAAAAAAAGGCAAGAAACTCTTGACCTCCCATTTCCAAAATGGCTGAGTGCAGTATTGTTTATTTAAGAATTTATGATTATTGAAGATTCCTAGGTGTGCTAAACAGAAATATATGGTGGAATACAACAATAGGTTTTCCTGCTGCACACAGAGAGATGTGACGATGTGGAAACCAACCCATTTCCCCCCTGTGAAGCCCATACGGACCTTTTTTTAAATGAAATAAATAAAAGAATGTTTCACTTAATAAAAGCTGAATGCATTGTATACTATGGGTAGTTGTTTCAGACTTTATTTGTATGGTATGTGATGGAATCCTTGTTTGTACCACAAGTTTGGCCAATAAACTCGGCGTATGCCGTTTTCAATCACTGAATAACCAGTAACAACACTGCATTTAACCACACTGCTCCACTTCAACCTTTTGCACCATTTGATGTCAGTATAGGCAAACTTGTTTATGGAGAACAACTTTATATCCTTCCATTTGAAACAAGGCTGGTATGCACAGACTTTGCCAAGTTACAAAAATTCTGAGGTGCGCAACCTAGCACACCCTTGGAGCACACATCCTTGTGTCTTGTGCGATGTGGCGAGTATAAACCAAGCTTATGGGGGAAATTAATGGATCACCAGCCACCTGTACCCAAATTCTGTTGGTAGACTACATCAATGTCATCTATTCTCATTTACTTATTGATGTATTGCTGACAGGAACGCTAGACATTTTGCCCCTAACTGGTTTTATTGGTTCCAGCAAATGGGTCACAAGAGGTGAAGGTTAATGATTCTCCCTCAGCTGGTATTCCTCAAGGATGTACGTCCTCAACATCTGTGTTCAAACTGATTGCTGATGGATGCAGAAGTCTCGTGATCATGCAATATTCTGATAAAACCACAAGATTGCTTTGTATAAAAAGGGAAGTGGGATGTTTCTTTAACTAAGAGCTCCATGAATCAGCTGTTGCCCATGGCAACAGTATTGATTGGTCATGTTGTTCTAAATAAAAGTACATTTCCAGAAGGTTTAATAAGGTTGTAGTTCAGCAGTAAAGTGCTTGTTAAAAGGACGCTGATTTGGACATTTGTCCGAGACTAATTTCAGCTAATGCTCCTTGTTCATGTATTTACACATGATTATCTGCTCCTCAGGTGACCATTGTGGAGAAGGCGGACAGCAGTAGTGTCTTACCGTGTCCCGTCTCAATCAGCACCAAGAATAAGATGAATTTTCTCTTCGCCAACCTCAAAGACCGAGACTTCCTGGTGCAGCGAATCTCAGACTTCCTGCAGCGAACACCTGACAGCTCATGGGGGGACACTGGCCCGCTGTCTCTGATTGGTTCCTCGGTGAGTTAAATTTAGTTCAGGAGATATTTTACTGTCAGAATCCTATGTTTCAGTCTAATGTCTCCTTGTACCCAGGGGTCCTCCAGCGTCCTCCTGTCCTCTTCAACAGGATCTGACTCCGTCCACAAGGGGCGCCATTACCACCCTGGTCTGCCTACTGCAAAACAGAGTCTGCTGCAGCTATACCATCGAGATGGTCCAGAGGACCTTGGTCCCAAAGCTGTAAGTATGGTTCCCAATGAAGGAATGGTGCATGGTAAGGAGACACTGATCAGTCGTTCCTCACCTCTTCCCTCGTGCAGATGAAGGAGAGGATGAAGGAGGAGGCCTGGAACATCCATTTTTCAGAGTTTGGTCGAGGTGTCTGTATGTACAGAACCTCCAGAACCAGAGAACTTGTCCTCAATGGGATCCCAGAAAGCCTGAGGGGGGAGCTGTGGTTGCTGTTCTCTGGTCAGTGTTCAATTCATAGTTTGTATACTTCAGAGATGCTCTTCTCCTCCATCTTCACCTGTGTCACCCTTAACTTACAGGAGCTCAGAATGAAATGGCATCCCACCCTGGTTACTACAGCGACCTGGTGGAACAGGCCATGGGGCTGTGCTCATTGGCTACTGAAGAGATCGAACGAGACCTTCATCGCTCGATGCCTGAACACAGAGCCTTCCAGAATGAGATGGGTATTGCTGCGCTGCGCCGGGTACTCACAGCCTACGCCCACCGGAACCCAAACATTGGTTACTGCCAGGTACTGAACCAAAAACTGCTGGAGTGCACTGAGGCTAACCCAAGATTACCGTGGGTTCTAAACCGCACCTGAAACTACTGTTGGGTTCCTCCAAAAACTACCGAATACTTTAGGTACATTAGAAATCCTTCAAACTATTAGATTACTGCCTAGATAAATCTAGAAACAAGATAACTTCCAAAACTGATAAGTTGGCTTCTAAGTATGCTACTGAACAACTGTTCGGAACAATTGGAACTATTAAACTTCGATGGTGCGTTGGCCCATTCCAGTCATGAAAACCTTCTACAGGGATTATCCAAAAGAAATATGCTCGATACACCAGTTTTTGACTCTACTTCTAGTAAAAAAATATAATAACGTTAGTGAATATTTATAATGCTGTTGAGGAGCATCTAGTGAAAAGATTTCTGTTGAAAAACTTGACAGGATGTCTCTCAGAATTTATTGCTCACTGCACAAGGAATCAGGACTTTCCAGACTTTTTAAAATACCATTGTGTCTCACCGTACTGTCTCTATTTTTAGAGGCCAAAGTAATGTACACAGTAAAAAAAAAAAAAAAGAGCTACAAAGGCAGAATGATTTGACCAGAAGAGAACCTGGATCTTGTTGATTAGTGCCATTGTCAAACTTTAGTTTGTTTCAATGAAAGAGTTCTGCATGGCCCATTCTGTCCTTGCCATGTTCTGTTTCATTGTGAGTCCTTGTCTCCTCCAGGCCATGAACATCGTCACCTCTGTCCTGCTGCTCTACAGCACCGAGGAAGAAGCCTTCTGGCTGTTGGTGGCGCTGTGCGAGCGCATGCTGCCCGACTACTACAACACTCGGGTCGTAGGTAGGTAACGCCGGTCCCATGAAGTCAGAATTCTGCCTGGATTGCACATGCATACTAAATACTCAAACGGGCAGTGGTATTTAAAGAAAATTTATGTAAACTTTTCTCCACCCACATTTTAAATGTTTTATGTTTTAATACCATGAGCCCCCCAAATTTTACAAGCACGTGAACAGGATCCCTTCCTGCGCTCATGGCCCTGTGCTCGTGGTGCTTGTGTGTGGACTTGTTTCTGTGTGCTTCTTTCAACTTTTGCCACTTAGATGACAGATTCAACCATAGAAATTAAAATGTCTCTGATTGGCTCCTTTCAGGAAATCCTGCCTCTTGAAGCAATCCTGTTTAAGACTTCCTGAAAAGTAGCCAATCACAGGTGGTTTACTCTCTCCAGAAGATTCCCCTCTTAAAGTGACAAAAGTTGAGTGCATACAATCCATGGTGAGGTTTGGGAGAGCATCACACGCATCAGCAGAGCTGGGGTCTAGGAGAAGACTGGGTTGGGTTTCTGGGTGGAAACCGCCACCTGGTTCCGTGGGCCGTTGTCTTCTCTACGTGGCATGCTCATGTCTCAATGGGTCTTTGTCTCTGCAGGAGCTCTGGTCGATCAAGGAGTGTTTGAAGATCTGACGCAAGCCTTCCTGCCTCAGCTCTATGAACACATGCAGGACCTGGGAGTGATCACCACCATCAGCCTGTCCTGGTTCCTCACCCTGTTCCTGTCTGTGATGCCATTTGACAGCGCTGTCCTGTTGGTCGACTGCTTCTTCTATGAAGGGATCAAGGTCATTTTCCAGGTACGGCCCTGTTAGCTGCTGACTACTGGTCACCGGTTTACAGAGGAAAAGCAAACGGCAAATCTACAGTCATTCCGTAAAAGTAGGTTTGCTGATGAGAATCTTCATCAGCAAACCTACAGTCCTTGAGCAGTGAGCTTCTCTGAGTACGGCTAAGCCATTAGTTCATGTATGCAACCTAAACAGGATCACAGTTTGGTGTGAACGATCCGTTTCAGAGTTCTGCTGACTAAAGAAAAGTCTGTTCAAGCTGTAAACTATTTCAAGGTTTCTAGCCAGCCTGTAGATGGAGATTATAAGGAGTATTGAATTATCTGCCGAGCTGTCCTTTGACCTCTGGCCTGATCCGTCCACAGGTTGCGCTGGCTGTCCTTCATGACAACATGGATGCTCTACTGGCCTGCAGTGATGAGGGGGAGGCTATGACCATCCTGGGCAGGTAAGAGCTCCTAACTGATTCAGACTATGATTAGGTCAGGTCTCTCCACATCTGCATGTAAGAGCTATAAAGAAATTAGAATATGCTTAAAAGTTCCGTATTTCTCTTTCCTGGAAAGTAAAACTAACCTGTTTTATAGATAAATCAGATACTTTAATCCTGGAATTCTTGTCGTTCTGTTGATTATAAGTTAAAAATATTAAAACACTTCTAATCAGTGTTGTAAAACTTGAATTCCAAAAAGTGGAAGGAGAAAAAAAAGTGGTGCAAAGAAAGGTAGCTAGAACCCCTCCAAGGACTCCAGCATTTGACATGAGGACTTCAACGCCCCATGATCATGAGTAACGGACCCCAAGCTCTTAACCCAAGTGATGTATTATTGGACTTCTGTGCAAGTCACTATTTGTTCACACACAATGTTTGGAGACCCATTCACAAGTGAGGGGAGAATGGAGCGGGAGATTGAGAGATGGATCGGTGCAGCTGCTGCTTTATTGTAGGTGCAGCACGGTTTGCAGTGGTGAAGAGAGAGCTGAGCAGAAAGGCAAAGCTCTTGATTTACTGGTCAGTCTATGTTCTTACCTTCACCTATGGTCATGAACACTGCATCATGACCGAAAGAACGAAATCCCAGATACCCGCGACTGAAATTAGTTCTCTACGCCGGGTGGCTGGGCTCTCCCTTAGAGGTAGAGTTAGGAGCTTGGTCATTCAGCAGGGGCTCGTAGTATAGCCGCTTCTCTTCTACATCAAAAAGAGGTGGCTGAGGTGGCACTCTGGAGTAATTCCAGGCACTTCCTGGGAGGAGGCCCAGGGGACAATCCTGGGCACGCTGGAGGAAATATGTCTGGGAGTCTTTACCGATACTGGTGACCCCATGACCCGGTCCCGGATGAAGCATATATGAATATATAATATTTAATTAAATCTGTAAAAAATTATATAAAATAATAACTAAATAAATTCAAAAATGTTTCACTATATTTTTGATCCAGGCCATGCTGGAACAGATCTAAGCTCAGTTATAAACCTTAACAAACCATGAGTTCCACCTGTGCTGCAGGTACCTGGATAACGTTGTGAACAAACAGACCGTGGCTCCGCCCATCCCTCACCTTCACGCCCTGCTGACCAGTGGAGATGACCCTCCCCCAGAAATTGATGTCTTTGACCTCATCAAGGCATCCTATGAGGTCAGAGTGATGTCACTTCCTGTCTGTTAAGTCAGTCATTGCAGAAGGTTCAGTAGCTTTTCGTCAGTCATTGAGAAAATATGATCTAAGCATGCATTCAGAACCTTTGTTCTGAACAGGAGCCATGTAACAAAGTTAGCCAGAAACCCGCAAACAGAACCATGTGTGATGATGTGCTGTACTACGAAACGCACTCAGCTAACCTTCTTCTACTGTGACATAGAAATGTCCTACATTATCAGAGGGAGATCATCTGCCTTCTTCTTCTTCATGTAGAAGTTTGGCAGCCTGCGGTCTGATGTCATTGAGCAGATGAGGTTCAAGCAGAGGTTAAAGGTCATCCAGTCTTTGGAGGACACAGCACAGAGGAGTGTGGTGGGTGTGGCTGAACATTTGATGTCATGATTTGAGGACATCCTTCTCACAGGTTTGTCTCTGCAGGTGAGGGCGATGATGACAGAGTCTGAATTCAGCATCGAGGAGTTGGAGGAGCTTTACTGTCTCTTTAAGGTCAGAAACATTAAATGCCTGGAATTCTGGTCTACATATCCTCCTCGGATCCTCTTTGTCTAACATGTCTGTCTCTGATCCGATTCAGTCCAAACATATGACCAGCTGTTACTGGGGGTCCAGCAGCTCAGCAGCGGAGCGCCACGATCCTAGCCTGCCATACCTGGAGCAGTACCGGATCGACCCAATCCAGTTCTCTCAGCTCTTCTCTGCCCTCTCGCCCTGGGTCTGTGGAAGCCACACTGCTATGCTATCGGCCCGTCTCTTCAGGCTCCTGGACCAGAACCAGGATGGGCTGGTCAACTTTAAAGAGTTTAGCACTGGCCTCAGTGAGTCTGATCCTGAGAGCTGGTGAATAGCCGCCTCCATGTCAGATCTGGTCTCATGCAGTTTTTTGTGTCTCTGCAGGTGGGATGTATCACGGAGACATGATGGAGAAACTGAAGCTTCTCTACAAGCTCCACCTCCCTCCAGGTACCGCCCCACAGCTCACCTGATGCACAGATCAGAACTGGAAGATCTGACCTGTTCTGTAGAGCACAGATGAGAACCAGAACTATACCAGCTGACCGTGCAGGGGTTCTACCTGATGTGGTCCAAACACCTTGACGGCCCTAGGTGTTCTATTAGAGGACGTAAAGCTAAGTGCGGTGTCTGGATCCAACAATACAGGAACTTTAAAATGTGCATGTAGTGTAGTTTAAAACTTTACAATGTAGTGTTTCCCTTCAAAGTAGGTCAGGTAAGGAGACCCTCTGTACCTGAACCACCTCTGTGACAGAATCTGAAATGGTGCTGCGTCATTCGGGCCAAAGTTACTGATGGTTCGGATGAACCGTAGATGACTGTTCTCTGAGAAGCTCCTGGATGGCAGACCATGTTCTCACCTCTAGAGCTGGCAGGGAGGGCGGGGCTAAACCAGTGGCAGTGAGATTGGAGGAAGGGATAGAAAAGCATGGGACAGACTCTGATCCTGAGAGCAGAGGGGAGCTGTTCTGATTAAGTTTCCTGGTTTGAGACACATGAACTGTTTTATTTAAAAATCATTATGCCAATGTTTTTGGCATAATAAATTTTACCACCTTGATTTTAAGTATTACATATTGAGAAAACACTATTATTCGGATCCACTCAGGTGTGTGATTTTCCACTTACAGACACTTGGCCTTCCTTAGAGCTCGTCCCATGTCCATTCGTGCTTCGCCTGGGAATAACATTTATTTATACATGCTGGAGAATCCCACATTTCACTAAATTCTACATAAACTAGGATGCCTAAAATCTGCTTAGATACATTTATACCCGCATATACCCCATTTACACTACCCTTGAGAACCGTGCCGAGACCGGTCCGAGCTCAGTAACTGAGATAACTTATCGTGTGTAAACTGAAAGCAAATTGAACTGAACCGAGATAGACACAACCGAACCGAGATAACTGCAGACCAGTTCCAGAGGTGGGCTCGGCTTGGTTTTTCCCTAGTTCGGTACTCTGATACCAAGAGCGCATGAGCAGAACGCGTCATCTCCGTCTGGCTGCACATTCCGATTCACACTCCATTCCAGTAGTTGGCGGTAATGCCCCTCCGGAAGTTGCTTGCCAACCAACACAAAACAGAAGAAGAAGAACAACTATCATAATCGAAATCTTCTCCACGCAAAATTTGATTTGCTTGATTCCCTCCTCCTTCGTCTTCTTCTTCTTGTGTTTTATGGCGTTTGGCAAATAACTTTTGGTGCATTACCACCTCCAACTGCTTGATTTCCTCCTTCGATACTGGCAGTAATACCGCAGATCGTCACTAGGAGGCGAGGAGGCGAGAGACCAAGATAGCGTGATGTGTAAACGGTCTTCAGAACCAAGCTCGGCCTGGTTAACTGATCCGAGCTCGGACTGGTCTCGGCATAGATCGGTTTTTCAAGGATAGTGTAAATGGGGTAAGAGTGTCTGCTTGCACCATGTTTCCTACAACAAAATCTGCTCACAGATGTTTGTTTGTTTGCTGCAGCTCTGTGTGCTGAGGAGGCGGAGTCTGCTTTGGAGGCCACTCACTTCTTTACCGAGGACCAACAACCAGGTGAGCACACTCTTTGTTCATAAAGTTCAGAGCACATAAAAGCAGCATCTTCATAATGCTTTTAGAAACAGAAAATGCAAAACTCAGAAAGAGCCACAGCCCGCTAAGTATTAAAAGCTTTTAACCATAAGAAGGGCTGGTTCTCTCTTAGCTTCTTTCTTTTTCTTGGTACTGAGAGTAAAATGTAGGGCTGTAGAACGGAGCGAGACCTAAATGGACGCCCTGTCAGTGAAGGGAGCTTGGAGCCGGTGAAATGTGCTGGATAAAGATGTGCCGCAGCACGATTAAAGACCCACTGACACCAGAGTAAAGCCCAGTATTCTAGGCTTATGGTCAGGAAGGGTTGGACCACCGTCTCATTAGCGTTTTTGTTTGGGCCAGCGGCTAAAGGAGCTGGACCTGACAACAGACAGAAACGGGTCCAGACCTCACACAGAAATGGATGGACAGGTGGAGGGTTAGCCGTCTTTCACCTGCAGCAGGTTCTGTTTCCTCCTGTGACTCTCAGCTCTGACTAACACCATGATTCCTCCTCCTGCTTCTTCTTCTTCCCTCTCATGTCTCCTTTCAGAATCTTCCTTCCTGTCTGATCTGGACTCTGTGCGGAGGCAGGAATTGGCATCAGGTTTGTTTGAGTTTTTAAAACCCCCTTTTTTTTAGCCCCGCCCACAGCAGGTGATGTCACAGTGCATTTTTCATCCTGTGCTGTAAATCAGCAGTGGTTCAGTCTAGGTTGTTTACGGTACTGACCCAGATGGTCTTGCTGCTTTTTAACATCCTGGTGACGCTGACAACAGCAGCTGTTGCTGAAACAGATGTTTCACCAGATGTTCTCTGTGGAACTTGGCTCCGCCTACTGTGCTGGAACATCTTTATTCTATCTTAGCTGATTGATCGCTTCAGGTCACATGACCCAATACGGGACCACTCTGTTGAAACCTTAGTGCCTCAACATAAATACCGCCGAGCAGAGTAGGGGTGACATCACTGATTGGGTGTGGGTTATAGGTGTGTCATAACACAGTGTAATCTCATTACTTTACAGTGCAGTAAAGATGATGATGATGGTGATATCTGCTTTCATCCTAACAGGTGAGGAACCAAAGGCTGGAGAAGAAGAAGAGGAAAAGAAAGGTGAATATGCTCCTTAGATTTAACCACAGCTCCTGCTCTGCCCTTTGCTTATGTCCTCCTTCTTGTCCTGACCTGCTACCTTGTGTTCTTACGTGCCTGCCCTCTTGTTTCAGAGGTGAAGGACTACAGGTATTACTTGAGGATGTGGGCTAAAGAGAAGGAGCCCAAGAGAGAAACCATCAAAGACTTGCCCAGGATGAACCAGGTGAGGCCTGATGCAGGTGAGCATTCTCTGACAGTGAGAATGTTCAGAAATGATCATCTGTTAACCCGTTTACAGGAACAATTTATTGAGCTGTGCAAGACCCTGTACAACATGTTCAGCGAGGAGCCATCCGAGCAGGAGCTCTACCACGCCATCGCCACTGTTGCCAGCCTGCTTTTGCGGATAGGAGAGGTCGGCAAGAAGTTTGGCAACGGGGCCAAAAAGTGTGAGGCTCAGGCCCCGCCTCCTGCCCAGCAGGTGGAAGAGGGGCCCGGCGAAGGAACTTCGGCTGAGGCTCAGATCTGCCGTGCTCTGGCCGATGCCCAGCTGGAGCTGCCGGCACCGCAGACGTCCGACGAGGAAACGAAAGACGACACATCTGTGTCGTCGTACTCGATGGTGAGCTCCGGTTCTCTGCAGTGCGAGGACATCGCTGATGACACCGTGCTGGTAAGCGGAGAGCACAGGCGGGGCAGCACGCTGGATGCGGATTGGTCAATTACTTTCGAGCAAGTGCTGGCCTCACTATTGACGGAGCCAGCCCTTGTTGAGTATTTCGAGAGGAAGACGGACATCCAGGTCAAAATAGCCGCTTGTAAGGCTCAGCGTGCTGTGGAGCGTCAGATAAGCTCTGCGTCAGACCATGAACTCAACCAGCATATCTCCTGACTCACCTGAGCACCTTACTGACCTGAGCATCTAATTTCCTGATAACCTGTCTGACCACTTTACCGATCACATCACTACTCAATCACCTGACCCCTTGATTGGTCACCTGATCCCTTGATTGGTCACCTGGCCCAGTGATTGGTCTCCTGGCCCCCCCCGAGCGGCCATCTGGGCCCCCGATTGGTCACCTGATCAGTCACGGCCTCCATTCGACTCTAAGAATCACCCACAATGATAGTGACCTGGAGTTATCAGTCATTTTACAAGGAAGTCACTGACAGACCTATGATATCATCATCATCATGTGATTCCTATGTGTGTCATAGTAAAAGCTTTTATGGAAGGGGATTGTGGGGCTTTTATTGTGAAAGAAAAGCAGAAAGTGTTGGTCGTTGATCTCTTATTGGTTACTGAATCTGCTACAGAACCAAAACACACAGGCATGTAAAAACCCTGTAGTGAATATTTCATAGAGGCGATATCACAGCAAGATGATTTTAAGAAAATAATGACTGAAGGAAAGCAAATAAGTTCAGTGTTTGTATTTTTTTCATACTCTTATGCCTTAGCTTTGTTCTTTTTGTTTCCAGTGTACCTCCTGTCCATAGTGACTTCACAGTATTTTTTTTTTATCTGTTTATCTGCCTGCTTTTAAATCTGTTGTATTGATTGGTTATTGATCTGTTCTAATAAACCTAAAAGGACCATCCTTCTTCTTCTGTGGTGCTTGTATGAATGTTAAGATTACATGAGAGGTGGTTGCAAACATCAGCTTTTGACAGCAGCTTGATCTCCATTGAGGTTGCATGACTCAGCAGCTGCAGAATCCTCTAGAGGGTGCACTTGTATTTGAACAAAACTCCACACAGAGGAGGATCTGCCTTGGGCTGAATGCTCAGCAAGTATTTATCCAGATTCAACTGGTGTTGCTGCAATAATCCAGTCCAAGAAGGGGCTAATTGGACTTAGAACCTGAGCACCAGAACCTGAAGTTTAACACAAGAACCCCCAGCCTTTACTGACTGCTCCTTTTTTTACTGGAGGGCCCAAAATGGCACCGCTGGGGCAATTTGCACCTCAGGCCACTTTTTCTTATGTGAATGCAGCCATTAGACAGTACCATAGTGCCAGCAGTTTTGGTCTGAATGCAAGTGTTATAGGCCATAGTATGGAGGCAGTATCATGAAACTTTATAGTTTTTTGTTTTTTTTTTTCAGTCCTGAAAATGTATTATAAATCTATACAAAAGGTTTCTGATCACAGCATTTTAATTGGGAACATTACAGCTCTTGTAATTCATGCATTTTAGCCCCACTGTTACTAGCCCACAGCGTACAATGAGTACAGTAGACTCTAAACAAAGCAACTTTGATGTAATCAGAACACGTGTGAAATGTACGTGTCACCATGTTTGCTTTTGCATATAATTTCCAATACTGTCTTTGTACATATCATCGTTTTTTCACAAAGAAAGGATTAGATGTTTTATTTCTCCAATCTAACTTGAATGGTTAGTTTGCCTACTAAAACACCTAAGACCCGAGCCAAATAATTTCATATTATGCCATCATCCATGTGGTCAAATGCCTTAGAAGCATAAAAAAGAAACATAGCAGAGTTCTGTTTTCTGTATTTGTGTACTACCTCTTTCAAAGCATAGAAACAAATATCAGATGTTTATTTTTAAAACTTAATTGCTCATCAGTGGTATATACATATTTTTGGAATCTAGAGGGTTCTTTGTAAAGGTTTAGATGGCACACATGCTAATGCAATGTATCTATAGTTTTCAATATTGGGTATCTTTCCTGTTTTATCTTTAATCACTGGGACCAGTGAAAGGTACAGCATAGAGCTGGTCAGTGTACCGTGTATCAAAATAGCAGAAAGCCAGAAAAACAGAAACGTTGAAAAACCAGCATACGAATGTAGCTGTAACTATTTTGTTAAAAGCAGACAAACAATAATCTTGACCAAACAATTATAAAAGAGAAAAAAAAAACCTTTATTGACAACATCGCTGACTACAAAGTCCTTTCAGGAGTGAGTGTTTATCACTGCACAGGACTTTGTACAGTGATAAACACCAGCCGAATAGAGAGAGCTATTTTGAACCATTCTGGAGGGACAGGAATTCCTCCCTCCGGCAGGGGGCGCAACCATCCTATTTTGTTACACTTTGCCTCTCTAAAGACGTCATGAACCGCGAATATTATCAAAGCTCAAAGCAGAGCCACAGCTCCAGGTCTATGGCAACACAGGTCTGTCATGGTGCAGGAGTTTCATGTAGTCCGGTGTTTCCGCTGCCTGAGCTTCCAGGTGCAGCAGGTAAGAGTCCACGTAGCTGGCGACTAACTTCTGGTCAGAAGTTTATTAGTTTAAGAGCAAAATAATGAATGTGAACCTAATATAGAATCAGCTGTTCGGTTATTTCCTTTAAGACGCTCAAGAACAAACAAGAAGATAAAATCTAAGCGAAGAACCACTCAGATTAAAGCTAAATAAAAACAATGGCCGCAGCTACTGTATGTTGGATCGCTCTGAATTCTTTAGGTTATCAATGCATCAGGTTGGTTCTGAATACCTGGAGTCAGGAACTGAGATTAAATTGTTGACATATGTCAGTGGGTTTTAAAGGCGAACCACGGAATAGGATTAGGGCCAATGAAAAAAATAAAAAAAGTTAACGGAACTTTAAGTTTTATTTCTGGGCTCGGGATCCACGTTGCATTGTGGGACGTCGCAGCCATACTGACTGCTACGCAAACGTAAACATAGCTCTGACACAACGTTGTTGTTGAAAGAAGAGAGAGAAGTAGAGAGAAAAAAGATGTTAAAATCCCGAAAAGGATCTGGAATTTACCGGGACACATTAAATAGAGAAGCCAGGGACCGGTATGTTGACAAAATCAGCATTATTAATCATTTGGATCCATATGAAGTTCCAAACAATGAGTGGAGCACCGATGAGTGAGCACCTATACTTCAAAACAGTTCCCAAGCTACAAGTCCTTGGAGTCTCATATGCAGTTCATGAATGGATGGGTTCAGGAGCTGCCCTAATAGGGCTTGGTCGTCATGAAAAAAAGTGACTTTAGCCTCAGAACTCTGACTTTAGTCCCAGAATTCTGACTTTATTTTCTCAGAATTCTGACTTCTTTTCCGAGAGTTAGGCCTCTTTTTTTTTTCCTCGACAGTTCGGACTTTGTATTTTTTCCTCGAGAGTTCGGACTTTCTTTTTTTTCCTCGAGAGTTCGGACTTTCTATTTTTTCCTCGAGAGTTCGGACTTTCTATTTTTTCCTCGAGAGTTCGGACTTTCTATTTTTTCCTCGAGAGTTCGGACTTTCTATTTTTTCCTGGAGAGTTCGGACTTTCTTTTTTTTCCTCGAGATTTCAGACTTTCTTTTTTTTCCTCGAGATTTCAGACTTTCTTTTTTTTCCTCGAGATTTCAGACTTTCTTTTTTTTTCCTCGAGATTTCAGACTTTTTTTCCCCTCGAGTTCACACTGAATTCTAAGAGCTAACAAACATGTTAGCAAAAAGCCGTAGCCATGTCAGTTTTATAGACTAACCTAGCTCTCTTTTAATCACCGTCTGCTCCTCCATTAATGAAATAGCATCACCAGGGAACCCTCGGACATGTAAAAAGTCGCCTAATTACGTCATTTTCCACCAGTGTGTTACTGGCCCTCCCAAACATCTCACATCTTTGTCAGTAAGGCTGACTGCTCACACATCCCTTCCTTCATGGTGCCCATCTACATTAAGATCCAAAATTCTGAGATTAAAGTGAGAATTCTGAGATGAAAGTCTGAAATCTGACTTTTTCCCATATTAAACTAAAATAATATTTAAAAATCTATTTTATTTTATTTTTTTACAGTTTCCCTAATCCTCTTCTGTAGAAAACCTTATCAGTGCAGATACCTATAGTTGTCAAAGTTCAGCACAGGGGCCATTTGGTCTCTTTAATAACTTTTTCTTTGGTCTCCATTTATATAAAGTGTCTAAACTGGTCTCTGGCTTTAGCTTCCGGGTGCAGCAGGTGTAGATATGCACCTGAACTGCTTCCTGTCTTTTATTGAAGTTCAGGACCAAAAGGTTTTGTTCTTCTCCAGTGGAGGTTCTAGACCAAATTTCCACAGGGCCTCAGAACACAAAACAAAATGGTCTGATATAGTAAGTGGAACAGAGCCTGTTGGAGCCAATTATTTTTTGTTGATAAATAAAGTTTATTGTTTTTGTCCATAAACTAGATAAGTTTATTTCTCTTTATTGTTTGATATCTGTTATGAGATTATGTTTTTTGGTTATTTAGTTATGTTCCTTTGTTTTTGGTTTGTTATGATTAATTTGGGTGAATTATATTTATAAATAGGCAATCAATTGTAGGACCAGCATGCATCGGGGTGGGCGTATGTTTTTTTTTTTTTTTTTTTACCAATGTTAGTGTTTTTCTGTATGCTTGCCTGAGGAGAAAATAAACTGATCAAACTAAAGGAGTTTACCCGGAACATTTTTTCTTTTGCCTGTGTAACATTAGTCCATGGTGCATCTGTGGCCTTTATGGATTTCTACTTTTATTGTGTCAAAGCTGGGCCACTACAGAGCCATTTACAAAACTAGAGACTCCAGATATAGAGGTAGGGGACTACCAACCTGTTGGCCATGGTTTTCCTATTTCTGGTAATTTGATGATCAGCTGATCCTTGCATGTAAAATCAATTGTAACCACTGATCTCAATGGTTTAAACTTTTCATTTAGTCTGCACTATGTTATGCAGTTAAAAAAAAATTTAAGTGTGTGGAATTCTTTTTTTTTCTTTTCTTTTTGTGTTTTCAATAAAATGAGACTGAAACATTCAGGGAGAGTTCTGATGTTATGACTCATGAAATAAAAAGAAGGAAACGCTGCAGCTGCTTTCAGGTAGTCGGTTTTTCCAAAAGCAGTGACATAAATGCAACTACAAAAAAAAATAAACAAATAAGTCTGAGACAATCTCCAGTTTGTTGTAGTTTACCAAGATAACTACCATGAAAACCTGCTAACTCAGCAGAACCCCTGCTGTATATATCCTAGCGCAGGCATCCCCAAACTCGGTCCTCGAGGGCCACAGTCCTGCAGATTTTAGAGGTATCCTTTCTCCAGCACACCTAATTTTAATTGAAAGCTGATTAACAGGCTTTCGGTCTACTGCAATAATTATAATCAGCTGTGCTAAAGCAGTGGAACCTCTTAAACCTACAGGACAGCGGTCCTTGAGGACCGACTTTGGGGATGCCTGTCCTAACGCACCTCTAGTCAAGAACCTGGCCACCCTGACCTCAGTTCCAGTGATCAGGACTTCAGAGGTTCTGACCAGATTTGTGTTCCAACACTCTTAGATTTAAAACTGAGTTGCATCCAGCCCCAAATTAAATGTTTTACCTGCTTTTTTCCCCCTCCCAGGTGAAGAAGGTAAAGAAATGGAGCTGTAAGCTGTGTGGAGAAAAGCAGTCGCTGTTGAAGGTCAGAACCAGATCATCGACATATGCAGCAGACTAAATCAATTTATCCTTTTATTTTTTCCCTTTAGACTAGGACTGAGCTGTCATTTGAACCAAATTAACTAAATTCTATTACTATCTGAGGTTTTATTGTATTTTAAATAAAGTGTTTCGGCTAATTTGGCCTGATTATAAATAATAATTTGATATATTTTGCTTCTCCATCAATGAATTAATTCAAACTCGGATACCGCTCCATCATTTTATTGGTAATGTTATAACCATTGTAATGTCTCCCCCTTAATACTATTTTTACATTGTTTATTAGCTTTACTTAATCCTATCAGTTTAGTTAGTAGTTATAGTTAAACCCTTAATAGCTAAGTTTAGTTACTGTATTCAATTTAAGTTTGAATTTAATTATACCTATTAATAATTAATATATTTTAAAGAGAAGTTTTGAATTTATTGCACATGTGTGGAGCGTTGGCTGTTGTCATAATATTTGTGCTTAATTCTCTTTTTCATCTGTTGTCTAAACGCCACCTTACTGGGCTCCTGTTCAAACCTGAAGATAAGCCTCTTTAGAAAAGTGTCCCTTCGGTACATTGTTCTCTGTCCTGATCTCAGGACTGTTTCCAGGTGTTGAGATTTGATAGTTCTGTTCAGTCCTAGTGAACATTATGGACAAACTGACTTCTGAAACAAATGCTCAGGATTGTTCTCTCAATGTTCTGCTCTCTTATTAAACAGAACCTGTAGCTAACAGGTTCTAGTGTTTAAACCCAAACGATTACAGAGAAAAAATACTTTCCTGTTTCTTTTATCCGACGTACAACATCTGAAAAACATTTAGTCACAGTTTCTTAACCACTGGTCCAATTGTAGGAGTGCGGAAACACTGAGAACGTTTAGAATTGTTCTTCAGTTTCTTCTCATTAAATGTATCCAGAACTCCAACTACAGCTTTCAGAGCTTTGATCTGCAGGAATATGGCCGGGGATCCGGAGCAGATTGCCGTCGTCATGTCCAAAAGCTGAACGCCATGAGAGGAACCATGATGGAAGAACAGGAGGCTGCCAGATGGTCACTATGGTAACAAGCTATTGTTTAACTAAACAAGCAGAACAGGTTATCCTCCATTCTGTCAACACTGTGTCCAACCCTATCTGTAGCCAAGATGACATCACTCTGTCTTTTCTAGCATTTTCCAAAGGTTGAACAGCTCATCATCCTTTTCTAGACGGTCCAGAGTTCTGGTGCTGATTCTCATCAGCTTAGCCCCGTCTTTCCTACACGATTTTGATCTGGGGATCTACAAGGTTCCCAGGAAAACAGGCCCATTGCATCACACAACCTCCACTGTACTGAACAGTGGACATGAGGTGTTTTTTGTGACAGCTTCTTAAGTGTCACATTGTCCTAAACTGAGGGTTTGTTGCTGATAAGCTAAGTCCTAGCCTGAACCATAAAACATTTCTTAAAGGTTTGGTCTTGATTCTCATATTCATTGTGAAGAATATTCATCTGTTGCTTCAAACTGTCTGTGGTCCTGTCAATTTAATCTTTCTATCAAACCTTTTCTGAAGAAACCAAATTGGACTCTCCATAGCCGGGCACTCAGCTGTAATGTTCCCCTGTAAAGAATCATGAGGTCTTCAAAAACTGCCCACATTAAACTGAGCTTAGAGAAGACCGGTCTTCTGGTCATAGCTGATATCTTGGTCCCTCTGATCAGGCAGCAGGTCAGACTTTCGGAGTCGGCCATCAAGCCAAAGTAAAGGAATTTGGGTGCAGTCTTCACTTAAAGTCTCTTAAAGGTCTTTCAAAATAATTTGTCTTAAAGCATTTTTATAATTTGTGAAATATTTCCATACTAAAGATTTGCTGTTTAAATGGATGGATTTACATTCTTTTCTTTCATTTTAGCAAGATTATCATTGATATTTATAATATAGATCTTCTGCAGGACTCCGACCTGGAAGCATCAGCCTGGCCTTGGTTACTCTGGTTAGCTGTTTGTTACTGGTTACCTATTTATTACTATTTAGGGTTACCTCCTCCTCGCTGGTTACCCCTTTATCAGATAACTAGGCCTGAACCTTTTGTGATCACTGGTGTTAGTTTTGTTTTTTACCTGACAACACAGAACATGATTTTCCAGAAGGACAGTTTCACTGCCTGGGTTTTATTTACAGAACCATTTAACCCGGGGTTTGTTCACCTGATTTTCGATTGTTACAGTGGGCAGGAGGAGGAAGAGGAGGAAGAGGAGGGGGATGATGAGGGGGAAGAGCGTACAGATGATCAGGTGAGACTGTTTGTTTGTTTTGGTTGTTTTAGAAGGAAAACTTTAATCTCTTAGCGCTCTGTGTCTGACTGCAGGTGAGACCCACTCAGGTGAGTCGATGGAGCAAGTACCTAGACACACCTGAGGATGAAGAAAGCTTGGTGGAGGGAGATGATCTCTATGGGAACAACAGCAGGTGACTGAGTTTAACCGTCTTCAGGCTCTGCCTAATTTTAATGTAAACCCAGTCATCTCTTAAGGTTTATGGTCTCTTCAGAGTGTCTAAGTAGAGGCTTCCCCCAGAGCATGACCCATTGAGATTCTATGGACTTTCTTCAGAGGATAATCCCTGCTGACCCTTCTATTTATTTTAGATTTATAAGGTTGTCCATTCTAGCTGTGTTCTTTTGGTGCCACTGGACCTGTAACGGCAGCTTGGACTCTTTTTGTGACCTGGCATTGTTTTGGATCGGAGTGTAGAACAAACATTATAATGCTCTGCTTTCTAACAGGAAGAGACCGAGACCAGAGGAGCCTGCAGATGCAAGACAAGATGATGGATGTTTACCTGCCAAGGTAGATCTATCACTCAGCAGCACTCTGTGCCACGTGACCTGAACATCTTTGTGTTCCCCTTAGAATCCAAACATTGTTTAAAATCAAAACAGTTCGACTGAAGACTTGTCTTTCATCTGTAAAGCTAAGTTATTTCTGAGCTAGTGAAGAAGAAGTTCAGTTTGAATTCACATGCTGATTAGACTTTCCCAACATTCAGGGGTCGGTACAACTGTTGTTGGCATTAAAGTTATAAGTTGGTCAGAAAGATATTAAGAAAAACAACAATTGTTGCATAAGCCTGTCTAGCTCCTCCGGCCTCAGAAAGTTTCATCTTTACACTCAGACATCCCTGTGATTATACCTTCCTGAGCTCCTGTGCATGGAGCTTTGTGTCCTAACAGCAGTAACGACACCTGATAGTCCAGAAGAGATTAATCAACACTTGAGTCTAAGCGTGCTGGATGTTTCTAAACTAGCCCTATCGCAATAACTAATTAAACAATCTAATGAAACGAACGCAACGATGTATGATGCATTGAAATGAGCTTAATAGTTTACGTTCCCATGTCTTTTTCCTCAAGAACCTAGATTACAAAAGATTTTCTTCTGGTGCGTCAGTCTTCACTCACCTCTCCCCTTATGGTTCCCCCAGCGTAACAAGTGTAGCATAAGAAGTGGCGGGAGAAATACTCGGTGAGATCTGGAGAACTGGAGCTGGTTTCAAAGCCAAACCAGGAGCTGCAGTGTGGGAGCACTTTGGATTCAAACATTACTGGCAAAATGCGTCTTTGCCATAGCGCCAAGCGCTAAATGTAAGAAGCAAGCACTATGCTTCCTAGTGGGCTGCAAGGCTTAAAAATCTAATCTGATTTTATTTCTTTGTTCCCACAAAATTTGTTGTATCAATATTTTTCCCTCGCTTAGATTTCTTAATGAAAATGACGTTTACTGCTATCAGTACCTTAAATTAAGGCGAAAAAAAAGCTGTGAAAGATACTTGTAACGCCATGTTTCAGGACAAGCGTAAATATAAAACACTAAATGTTTACAGCTTGTGGTAGCACACAGCTGGGCTTGTTTATCAGTTATGAGGAGAAAGTGATTTACTGATGTCACTCTAGTGGAAAAGGTTTGTACAACTTTTTTTGTAGTTCTTTTCCATATATCTGATTTAAACAGTAAAATCCTTCCTCTTCTATCCAGCAGACTCTTCCAGCAGTGACATCGGCTGCCAGCTGCGATCAAGGTGGTTCTGTCTCCAGGCTGGGTCGCTTCCTCAATGCTAGCAGGGGGGCGGAGTGCTCTGTTAGTGGGCGGAGTCAAACAGGAGCTGCTGCTACCAAGTCCTGCAGTGATCACTTCGTTACCAAATTTCCTGTGTCCTCCATGTTTGAAAGCGGCGAAGAGGTCGACTTTGATGACTTTCTGAACTTTTAGTTGTTTTTTTTATTTTTGTATCAAAAAGGTTTATTCGTATCTGAGATGTTTTATTTATATCAATGTCTGTTTATTTGGACACAAACACGATTATCTTTGCAAGTCTTTATTGATCATTTGATCAGAAATTGGAGATGAGGAAAGATTAGAAACAGGAACAAATAAAGATGTTAAAGAGACCTCAGAGTAAAGCCGTTGATTAAATGTTATTCGATAAATGTTATTCGATCTCAGGTTAAAAGAAAACTGTGGCTGAGATGATGTCACTGGCGAGGGCGGGGCTGCTTGGCGTACTGAATGGCGTCCAGGGCAGCTCCAATGTCGCAGTTTTTGGCTTGGAGGAGGTGGGTCAGCCACCCTCCTTCATCACTGAACCCCATTGACAGCATCGCGGACAGAGACTCCACCAGACGTGGGTCAGCTTCTGGAGAGGCAGAGGGAGGAGCTTAATGACAGCAGAGGTCTTCATAACAGCTTCTCAGAGGACAGATCTGTGCACTCACCTTGAGGCAGGTGTGGATAAAGAGCCGCCTCCCGCAGGCCTGTGGGCCCCTGCAGAGAGGGCCCTGGCGATGGGGTCCCCTGCCCTTCTGGCTGCAGCGACTGCAGCTCACCTGTAGACGGATCCACCTCTTTGGAGCTCAGATGAGTCCACTCTTCATCAGAGTCTCTGCTCACCTGCAAAATAAGCCGTTTATTAATAACTGGGATGTGACATAATTAGATAAACAGTGATCCAGTTGCATCGATGCAAAATAAAAACAATCAATTTTTTCACCCACAAGGCACAAGTCTATAGTGAAGTGATATATTTTTATAGGATTAGAAGATGATTTCCTTTGCATTTCAATCCCTGAAGGAGTGTAGAAAATGACATATACTTGCTAATTTTTATGGGTTTATTTAATTCCATGAAATTTGTTTTTTGTTTCTCCCCTTTGAGGTTTTAAAGTTCCTACATGTGACTGTCAAGTCATTATTTTTGTCTGCTAATCCCCAAACTCTAGTGTTTCCTGTACCTAACTAAAGGAACATGCATCAGGCCATGCAATCTTTTGGCTGGTTAATTGCTGAATTACCAGTCGTGTCTATTTAGTCAATTTGGCTTTTAATCCCACACCAGGAAAAAATGCTGAAATTAGGATGCATGGCTTTTAAATTTTGGCTGTCTAAAAATCCAGGAAAATTAAAATTCTGTTTTAGTCACCAGATGCCATTTTGAAGCTTGTAAAACATTTAACGAAGAGCTTACAGGCCCCAGCAGAGCCAAATCTCACAGTTGTCAAGATATTAGATATACTTACACATTTCTTTTTATTGATTCTGATTTGACAATTTCTATTCAGATTTAAAATTGAATTTGCGCTATACTTAAATTGAACATGAGCTACTTTTGCATACACAATATTTCATAATCCTATTGAAATATATTTGGAATTCAAATAATTGGAATAAAACAGCCATTTGGGGAGGAAGGAAAAGTGTTGTAAACGTGCCAGTAGGCGTATTCTTACATAGCATCTAGTGCCTAAAACAGCTACGTCACATTAGCATAGGTTGCACATATCTATTCAACTCTGCTAACTGTAAGCAGAATAGCTCGATCCTGACATGCATTTGCATTATCAATCGGCATAAATCACCCCTCTCAGTCGGCTTATGATTCTGATCTCATCGTCAAATAGTTTTGATAACTTATGTCCATATAAATGTAGCTAGTGAGATTACTTTAAACTGCAGCATGAGGTAAACGTTGCTGCACAGTTAGCTCTGGAAAATCCTAAAGGGTTCTTTAGTTTAATGTTAACACAGTTATCGAAATCCTGCAGATGACCTACATTACTGATAACTGGTTTTTCTAACTGACCTTTGACCCTTGGCTGGTGCTGGTTTCCATGTTGGTTCCGCCCTCGCTGCTGGCTCCGCCCTCTCCATCCATCTCTACATCACCCTCTCCAGCTCCATTCTGAGTGGGTGGAGTCACCTTGGTCCTCTGGCCTTCATGCTCCACGTCAATGTCCACATCGATACCTGCACAGAGATGACATCACTTCCTGTTCAGGTCTTACCTCATGAGGGGGACACATGCCATGTAAGAAACCTTGAGAATGCTGTCATCATAAAATGACCTTGTAAGCTAATGCTCAATCCAAACCATAAAGAGCAGTAGAAATAGTGGCTGGGCAGAAACTAGGCCGATATACAGAGTGAAGATTAAACGGTGGCTATAAAAGGTTCAGAATATTTCACTGGGTCAGAACCATCATGATAATATGAACTAAAGGATCTGTGTTAAAAGCTAGAAAGCAAATGTTCAAACCATAACTGTGAAAAAATTAGAAAAGGAATCAAAGGTATGTTGCGGGTTTGTTCACACTGTGAATAATGGCTGAGCTGTGGAGGTCCTAACAGAACGCCGTTTCTGTTACTGCATTGCATTACTGCCTGATAGAATACAGAGCACTTGTTCTGATGGAGGAAGTGAAATTGACCTGGTCAGAACCAGTTCTTTTACCATCATGAAGCTAAACTCAAGCTGCAGCTTCAGGTAATTAAAATGCAGCTGAAACAAGTTACTGCTCTGATGTCACTCACCTAGTGGACTCAGCATGGCAGCCACGCCCTCCCCGATGTTCTTCAGGAAATCCACACTGGCCTGAGATGCCGCTGCTGCACAGAGGTCAGAGTTCGGTCACCTTCATGATAGACTTTTCAGTAGGGGCAAAAAAACAGATTTCTATTCACATCACTCACCAGAGGGGGCACCGTTTTCCGCTGCAGGTCTGGAAGGCCCAGCTTGCTCCTGCTCCTGGTTCTGATTCTGGTTCTGAGCCTGGTCCTTGGTCTGGCTCTGGGCCAGGTGCTGGTTCCACATGCAGTGTTTCATCCTCTTCATCCACCTCCCCCGAGGAAACCAGTGCTGTGGGAGGATCCATTTTTAATAAAGCATCACGTCATGTTTGAACGAAAAAAAAACAACAAAAAAAAACATATCGACTGTGGACAGAGCTTATCAGCTAGCCAATCAGGAGGAGAGATCTTACTGGACTTTGATCCATACCAGACAAGAACATTGTTTTGAGCAACTGCCCCATCCCAAGCTCACCTGCATAGGGTGCCAGATGGGCAGCAGGGCGTGCTCTGTGTGCTTCCCCTGAGCCTGACAGGTGGAGCACAGGTCATAATCGGGACACACAGAGCACTTGAAGCGAGTTCCTACTATGGAGGATTCGCAGCCATCACAGGTCACGTTTGGGTGAAGGACGGGGGGCAGCCCCATGTGAGGGGGTCCATGAGGAGGAGGAGGAGGAGGAGGGCCAAGAGGAGGAGGGGTCCCGAAGGCAAAGGGTGGGAAGGCATGAAGAGGAAAGTCCCGACGGTGCTCCTTCCTCTCTGTAAGAGTTCAACAGAACTTAAGATGGAAGCAGTGAACACAGTTTACGTCTACCACAAACACGCATTATCTGCTTACCTTTGATGTAGAGGCGGAACGTGGCATCCTTGACGAAGGTCAGGCCCATCATAAGCTCATCATCGGATGAAAACGCCACCAGGTCGCCGTCTTCATCTAAAACACCATCATCATAATCATCAAGGATTCATAACCATATCAGGACTTTAACAACAGTTTAAAAGGACTGGAACAAATCTAACCAATCACAGGGCCTAAATGCCATATGGCCACACCCACCGGTAAAATTCTGAGGTTTAAGAACTAGTTTAACATGTACAAATCGAAGGTGAAAAACATAAAAAAACACTTAGCAAAGTTTGAAAGGAATCAGAACTTATTGCCAGAAGGTTAAAGGAGCCAATTACCATGGTTACAAGGTGTTGACACCACAGAATTAAATAGGTAAATCAGCTGAGGGGCGTGGCTACCACCACTGAGGAAAAACCACTGATCTCTATTTAATCAATGGATTGATGATAGCCAGAAAAAAAGTGAAGCCATTGCGCACCATATTGGTACTCCCAATGCTATTGTGTAGCATTTGGCTGCAAAAACAAGCAGTTTGCCGGCTGTGGGAAGACGCTTCACAGGTAATTTCAAAGTCAGTGGATGTACTAACCAACAAAATCCATACATACGCTTATGTTTCCCATAGTATAGTATGTAGCGTAAGATTAGTCAGGCTATCTTGGACCGACTCGACAAGATATTAACTGAGTAGCCATCAACATTGTGTCTAACATCAAAAAATAGAAAGCAGAATAAATAGAAAAAAATAATTCACTGTGAAATGATAATGTAGTAATTCTTAAGTGGCTGAGGCTGTCGTTTAAAAAAAAAAAAATCATGTGCTGAAATACATTGCATGTTATATTGACGAAAAACTAAAAATTACAGGCTAATGCACAGACACAGCATAAAAGGATATGCCATCATGAATGCAAAATTTGCAAATATAAAAACTATACTATAGGATTAACAGACATACTTGAAATTCTATGTAATATGTAATTGCCATAACAACATGTTATAACGTGCATAATCAATTTAGCACTTTTGGCACATCTGTATTATTATGCTCCATTAACACATTCATTTAGTCATATTATATGGTCTAGAGACTGACTATGCAATGTGCCTATTTTTTTATTATTACCATAAATTACAGTAATCTACTGATGCTATAGAACAGCAAGAGTTTATCAAAGTGATGAAGTTATCTTTATAAGTCTTAAGACCTCCTTAAAATGACATCATAGTTGTTCGACGCTGTAGCGCACGTGTTGTTTACATTGCGACCGGTCTAACTAGGGAGTACCAATATGGCGGCCGGTGGCTTCACTCCACCCCGTGCTACAAAGGGCCTATCAGCAATCCAGTGAATAAATAAAGATGAATAGTTAAAACAAACATGGTCACATGATCTGAGGTTGGATTAGTTCTACTGGGCCCAGTTTCACCATGAAACAACAATCTGTAAGCTCACCTGCTGACGTGGCTAAACTTAATGCGTTACGTTTAAACATCAGAAAACACTCACCTTTATAGAACAGATTGAAGGTGGAGGAGCTGAGGTTGGAGAACACTGCAGACACCTTCTTGCTCAGGTACTCGAAGCTGCAGGAAACCTCGTGATCCACCGCGAACCTGCGGATCTCCTTCACCTGCTCGTCCTTCCCCAGCAGGTAGGCCTTCACTGTCACCGACATGTCCACGACTGAACCGAGTGCGAGTTGAGTTTGTCCGAACACAACAAAGTGCGAAAGTCTGTGACGCAGCTTGAAATCTTCAGCCTTTTTATGTTTACTTCCGTCTCAGACGTCACCGCGGCCCAAAGTACGAGGGCTCCTATTGGCCAGCGAGGAGCCCCGCCCTGACTGATGGCAGCCTGCAGGATGACTCAGTGCGGGACTTTCCATGGAGCCGCCTGACCAGGTGACTTTTCCAAGTGAACCTGGATAAAAAACCTCAGTCATGGTGACCAAGCAACGTTGGGTGACGTCATCTGTCATGCGCAGACTCACCGGGCAAAGAGGTAATCTTTCTGCAGGGACAAACCCATCTGATCACCTGATGCCTGCATGACATGGAATACCTGAGCACCAGCTGTAAAGGGACATAAAAAAACATGCAAAATATCTCTAATACTCTCACCTTTCTGAACCCTGGAGCATGTGATTAAAACCAGAGGCGTAGCCAGAAACTTTTATAAGGGTGGCCAGGCACTAACCACTGTACACTGAGGGGGGGCTGAAAGTGGATAGGCACCAAAACCTCATGGTGAATCTACAATGTTCCATCGGGAAAATTAACCAGCAAAACATCCATATTTTCTAAATAAAGACAAACCATCCTTCCCTAAAGCCTTTCCAAACAAACAGACACATATATTTAAACATCCATGCTTTCTATATAAAAGGTATAGTGGATAAAATTCTTTCAGGTTTGAGTTCTGGGCAAACATTTTTTCCATCGTCATTACTTACCTACTTTTATCAATAATCATTCTGCATAAAATTTAGTTCCATTATCTACATAAATTGATTATTTACTAAGTTTTTATTCAAATAGTTATTTATCTACGATTTCACTGAAGACTCCTAGATGACATAATTTTCTCTTTACCCCATAAAACACAAAATCTTTTCGTGCTTGAATTCTGTACTTATCTTTAATGTGCTTAATTAGCAGTGTTTTTATTGTCAAGTAATTGTTAATATATGAAACATTAAAATTATTTGAATAGCCATGGCCACCCCTGGCCCCCTATCTAGCTCGGCCTCTGATTAAAACCCGACCACAAATGAAGCTTACCTGCATAACAGAACTGTTACTGTTTGGTTGTCAGCTATAACAAATACAAATTCTTGTACATGTAAAAAAAAACTATAATGCAATCAAGCCTTTTCTGATTCTGACAGACTTAATTTTAATGAGAGTTTATTTCAGGGTGTGCAAGTGAAAAACTTTAGCTTATTTATTTACCAGAACATTTTAAACCTAGCAGCAGAACTCCAAAGCCAACGTGTTTGTGTTTCTTTTTAGAATCATTTAAGTGGCTTAACCTAACTTGAAAACTAGAAACATTTCTATTCAATGTCAGGCTGAAATTAAAACAAACACTGGCAGCAGAACCGTAATGTGGGTCAAGCTCAACATGGGCTCCATGGTTTCTGGAGGCTTTCAGCCTGCAACTTATTGCCTGTTCTTTTAGCAATAGAACCAGGAAGTGGGTCAGATGATGACTCAGAGTCACAGGACGGAGCAGCAAGCCTACTTGTTATGTTTCGTAACATAACCTGATCCACCTCACATCAGATAAATGTTCCTTTTTGCTCCAGATGTCCAGATTGTTCCTTTCTGACCCCAAATGGCTCCAGAAAACCTCCTTCCACAAAGAATCATTCTTCCAACTAGATTTTAGCTTGTCATAAAATAAATTCAGAATCCATCCATAAATCCATTTTCTATCACGCTTATCCCAAGTGGGGTCGCGAGGGGTCCTGGTGCCCATCTCCAGCTGTCTACGGGCTAGAGGCGTGGTACAATCCAGAATCCACTCTATGAAAATAAATGTAAATCTCTTAATAGTCCCAGAATGGGGAAATTCACTCCCTGCATTTGACCCATCCCCTTTTGGAGCAGTGGGCTGCCATTGTGTAGCACCGGGGGAGCAGTGTGGGGTTAAGGATTTGCTCAGAAACCCAAAGTGCAGGCTGTGGGGTCAAACCGGGTACTTGCAACAGAGCATAAGTGCACAGCTCTAACCACTAGACTAACACTCCCCGTCATTTGCCAACATTTACAAGGACTTGGACTTAAGGTTTCTCACAGCTTGAGACATCAAGTATAGAAAACTTTAAATGACAGCTTTTCCCCCCCCAAATAATTACATTTTAATAATAAAGCTATGAAGAGACAATAACAGCTAAAACTGTCCAAGTAAAGAAATCCCACAGATAAAGATGGTGTCTGAAACAGAAAGTTGTTTCTGTGGTCAGATTTAACCAGAAGCAGAAGCTGAACTCATTCTGACCCAATTTCAACCAAATTCTGATCAAGTTAAAAGAGAGAAACCAGCAGAACACTTCAGAACCTGAAAGCAGCCACTGGTTATAAAAGCTTTCCCCTTATTACATTTCTAATTAGTCCCACTACGCCCTCTGCTGGACAGTCTATTTTACTGTTTTTCATTTGTCTATAGTTTTTCTTTTAAACAAAAAAACAATTAAAACAATTATTTTTATTCAAGCTGTGTCCTCTTCGGTCTACTAACCTATGAGCAGCATCTTGACGGGAAGGGCCTGATACAATTTGACCAATCAAACAGCATCTGTTTGTCATTAATATTTATTTCCCAAAAAACAACAAAAAAAAAATATATAAGCAATAATTACATCCTCCAATCTCCCATTTGGAAGTAGAAAAAAAAAAATACAATTAACATTTCTGCAGCAATAATCCCTCTAATGTCAGTAATGATGTCAATAAGGACAGCCAATAGCAGACAGCCGAGGAATTCAAGTGGTGTCAGATGTAAAGAGGGTGGTATTGGCGAGAGGTGAGCTTCTTCCTACAGGTAGGACAGGTGTGTGATGATGTCAGGGCGTCTCTCAAACACTGGCTGCAGAACACATGACCACACTTTGTGGAAACAACCAATCGGCCACTTCCAACGATCTGTGGAGGAAACAAGCCAATCAGAAAGTAGAATGCGTTTTCAAGCATCCACACCCACTAACAGTCATAACCATAAGATTCCCCATGTTTAGAGGAATCTTAAACCCGATGTGAAGGACAAAGGAAGAATCTAAAAGATTCTCTTCTCTAGAAATGTGTTGAGTTTTTAAAAGATTCCTAACATTCCTTATTCCAGCAGCAGGAAAGAAGGAACCAGATTAAAGATGGGAGCTGGAACCAGGAGTTTTTCAGAAAGTCTTATCTGAGGCTAATGGAAGGCCACAGAACCCCTATAGCATAAACCCTGGTTAAACTGCATTAAACGGACTCTGATGCATGTCTTCCAAAGAAAGACTCTCACCTCAGAGTAGAGATCCAAACAGACAGGGCAGCTGATCAGACCCGGAGTCGACCTGAAACACAGGAAAACTGAAGAGTTTTACTGGGTTCTGCTGACTGACTAAACATTTAAGGAGTTAATAAAAATGAAATAAAAAAATAAAAAATAATCACTGTAAGAAATGTGTCAGCATTTATCAGAAAAATTCATGGATGTGTCAATTTTATTTCCAAACAAGGTCTTAAAGAATAGAATAGAACTTTATTGATCTCTCAATAGTGAAATTTACTTGTGAAATCGGCTCTTATAAACAACAGAAGGGGCACAAAGGTGCCAGATATATACAGTGGATGGTAAAAAATAAGGAGAGATTTAAGGTGACATATATACAGTATCTTATGTACAGTAACGTGGTGGCAGGTAAAGTGTGGTTTCTGGTCTGTTAAATAGATAAATAGTATGTTATTGCAGTGTTATTACACCAGGTTTAGTAATTAAGTTAAAAAAAAATAATACAGCACCTTCCACAGACAGAGCTCAAAAAGTGCTTCACAAAATTACAATACAAATAAAAATACATTTACAGTCACAAAAGACATGGTCATAAAATAACCCTTAATTTATTAGAATTAAAATTCTTTCTTATCCAGATAGGTTTTCAGTTCACTCTTAAAAACATCAACAGAGTCAAGTAAGCGCAAGGAGAGGGGAAGATCGTTCCAGAGCGCCAGCGCGACCAACTGAATGGAGGGATGTCCTGTGGTCCTCTAGTGAGTACGAGGGACCAAGAGCAGGTTCTGGTCCTGAGACCTCAGCCTCCGAGAGGGGGTATAAGGACACAAAAAAACTCTAATATAGGAGGGAGCCTGACTGTGAAAGGCCTTGAAGGTCAGCAGCAGGATTTTAGACTGGATCCAATGAAGAGCTTTTCATCGGCGCAATATGAGCCCTTCTGTTTGTACGAGTCAGTATAGTACAGTGGTATTGTAAAGTTTTATAGCAGCGGGGATGAATGACCTGCGGTAGCGCTCCTTTTTACACACAAGGCGTATAACTCTGTTTCTAATGGAGCTGCTGTAAAGTCTGATGCAGGGAATGAAAGGTGTTGTCCATGATGGATGTAAGCTTGGATAACACCCTCCTCTCAGCCACTTCCTCCAGCGAGTCCAGACAGAAGGACAGAAGTGGCTCTGTTGAATCTCATTCTGTCCCGCTCTGCTCTGCCTCGGACCCAGCAGACAGCGAAGGATTTAAGCAGGGGCCTGCACACTCCAACGGACCTCAGCCTCCCCAGGAGGGGGAAGTGGCTCTGGCCCTTCTTATACAGGGCATCAGTGTTAGGAGTCCAGTCCGGTTTATTATTGATGTGAAAACCCAGGTATTTGAAACTCTCCACAGTTTCCATGTCCTGCCAAATCATCGCCTTCACAGCTGATTTATTCAACATTTTAATTGGTGTGCGGGGAGACCCTGACATACAGAGTTTACAACATTCTTCATTTTGCAGCAGATGATGTTTTAAATGGTGAAATAAATTTGTACTGCTACGTTTTGCAGCAATGCTTTTGCGGCACGTCTTTCAAATGAATGCCTTTTGTTCAACGTCCTCGGTGTGATATCCAAACCACTGCCATATAATGCTCAACTGAAACACCTGCTGTCACCATATTTTGTTTGGCGGTTGCTGCAGTGTGCGTGCCGCACAGAAAATAATCCAGTTTAGAGGAGGGGTTTATGATGCATTCGAAATATAAAAAAAAAAAAAACTGAGTAAAATAGACGCAGATGGTCATTTTAACTATTGTGCGTGTGGAAACTCAACATACATCGAGTATAATAGATACATTGCCCACCTCTAGGTGAGCGTGGGGAGGGTGGAACCAAGGGAAGCTTGGCTGAAGTCTCCGGTGATGAGCAGGAGAGTGCCGGGTTGCTGTGTCTGCAGCCTGTTCACAGCACCGTGGATCCGCTCGCTAGCAGTGTGTACGATCACATGTCCAAACTCAAGTTGGAGATAGTACAGCCACTGTAACTAACACCACATCTGTGGAGCACAACTGCTCCTTCACGCTAACATGAGCCACACTTGCAAAGCCTCCTCTCTTTTTTCCCACTCGGCCAAAGTCCTGTCCACACGGATGAGTTTAACGCCGTCCTGGGAAACCACTGAGTCCGGGAAAAAGAGAGAAAGTAGGAAAAGAGAAGAAAGAGCCAACGTGGCGAGCTGCTGCATGCTAGGTGCCATCTTGAAACCTTTTCAAGATTAATGTTTGAGTCATGACAACCAAGGAGGGAAAAGGGAAAATAAATAAATTTGTTTCAGACCAGATTTGAAACACTATTTCAGGCAGGATCAATAAACCAATAAAAAAAGCTGAGTTATTTGTAGTGATCAGGTTAGAGCCATTATGGACACAGTCTCCCAACCCCAGCACTGGCTGGACTGTGAACCCGACCCACAATAACAAACACTGATGAGGAACACCTCTGCTGAACCTGTAATCTGATCGCACGACGGACTAAAAGGAATCTTAGTTTTAAAATACTCATTACAACAACAAAAATAAATGTACAATTAAAAGCACATGTGCAGGAAATGAATGGTGGAAATAAAAATGATAAATCAAAGGCAAGTAAACAAGTAGCAGCAGGCCATAGCAGGGAGTAGTGTGATAATTGTTTGTCTATCAGCAGGGATCAGTGTAATACCTGGATGGGTGTTCAGAGGATATAATGGCCCCATGAAGGAGAGTTGGTGTGTCTTCGTCTTCATCGCTGCTGAGCACATAGCTCTCACCTGGAGGGACTCCCTCAGTCAGAGATCCTGATGGATGAAGGTCCCAGAAAGAAAAATATAAAACTCAATTAATGCTCCAATATGAAACCAAAGACGTCCGTTTTCTGCAGATCAGAGTTTTACCTTCATCCACAAGCTGGAGCGCAGCAGCAGGAGAAAGACAGGTAAGAATTATTTTACTTTTAAGGTGTAACTTCATGTTTGATAGATGGTTACAGTTACCAGCACAGAGTCGCCGTTTGTCGTCAGGTCGACCACAGCACCCTCTGATCCCTCACAGGTCAGGTCCACCACCTCCTCCACACCTGAACATAGCAGAATATCATGAGACAAAATAATCCAAATTCTGCAGAACCTTGAGTAAACAGAACCAGCCCATGGGCCTGGTTCTAGACCAGCTGTAGCTTCGTGGGATTATTTGGCTATGGGTGGATGACACTGACCATCCTCCGCACCGTCCATCACATCGATGGGTTCTCTGCTAGGGTTGCTGTTGTCAGCCATCCTGCGGGCAGAGGTCCGACTGTTGGTTGCTCTGCTGGTCTTGGTTCTGGAGACCTGAGAACTTCCTGCTGCCCTCCTCTTTCTCTGAGCCTGAAACACAGGACATAATGTCAGCAGTGGACCGAGCTTTATCCACCTGTGCAGCTGCCCAGAATGAAGGATAAAGGTTCAGTCCATTGGAACCCAGAGATGAGCCAATCAGGGTTCTCATTTTTGATCAGCAAATTATCCAAAATCACATTCATCTGATCTCCAATCAGTGTTACTGATCCTATTTGGTTCCAGATCAAACTGAAGACTCACCGAGCTGCTCATGTCCTGGGAGCCACTGGGGATGTCGAGGCGACTGTCAGGAGATGCTCCAGGAAGGGCGGCTTGAGCTCAAAGCAGTTCCTGGATCCCGGTTATCCAAACTCTGCAGATTTAGTGTGCATACATGAAAGACATTTCTGATGGGTTCTGATCTAAAATTCAGGCTGAACCAATTAGATGACTCATTATTGATGGATCATTGAAATTATCGTCAAGTAGTTTAGGGTGTTTTCACACTAGGAAAGTTTCCATGGTGTGGTTGTGAGGTCTTGACCATTTGCATTCACATTGTACATTTTGCCATAGAACAAAAACTTAAAAGCCTGGTTGACAATCGTTGCTCCCACTGGACAGAAATGATTAGGCCACAGATCCAAAAATGGAGGAAAACTATCATAGAAGCCATGCTTGTCATCTGATATGCATATTTTCAAGAGCAGCCTTCTACTTCTAATTTTAGAACACTATCAAAGAGGAGACCCAGCACTGTGGTAGGAGCAATGTTAAGCAGCTAAAAGGGAATCAGGCATGATTTCAAATCTGCTCAGCGGCTCTTCATGTTCACACCAGAAGTGAAGCGCACCTCAAAGTGGGTCTCTGTCCAGCTGATGGTCTGGACCAGCATCCACAACAGCACAGAAGCTCCAAACCAATTTGGGAAATAAATTGCAAAACTAATCCTTGAAAAGATGATCTGCCTCTAAAGATGAATTTTAAGGAGGACTGTACTGAACAAAAAAAAAAAAGGGATTTAGATGAGAATCTGAACCCTAATGGATTGGAGCTGATGAACTAGGAATTGGATCTTCATAGACCATAAACCAGATTAGGATCAATAATCAATACCTGCTGAGAATCAGTCAGTTTATAGAGCTCTATGCAAAATTGTTAAGCTAACCTCCCATCTGTGTTGACCAGAGGTATTAAATCTCTTTCTCTGGAGTTTCAGACTAGAACTGGCTGGGCTCTTATTCCCGCTGCTCTGCATCCTTAATGAATATGAGGAACCTGAATCATATTAGTACAGATTGAAGTAGAGGAAGTTGGGACCTAGAACAGACACTAGCAGCTAAACAGAAGGTGAAGGAATTAACCAGGACCTCTAGGATGCTCTGTGCTTTAACTGGTCTGAGAGACGTTTTGTTTACCCTCTAAACTTAATTCTATGAAAGTCAAACATCGACAGGTTGAAGGATCCTGTAGAAAGAAACAGACTTGTTGCCTATGAATTGCAGCAAAGCATCAAACTAATCTGACTTAATCTGTTCCAACGAGAACTATACACCTATAATGATGCTTTGCGGGTACTTTTGAAATGTCCAGGATGGAGTAGTGCGGGTGAGATGTTTGTCACAGAAAGAGTCAAAACCTTACATGCTGTTTTACAAAAGTCAATGTATAACTTTATTTGTAGTATAAATGCTTCTAGCAAAGATATTCTCTTGTCACTTACTGACACCACACATAGTGCAATCTGATACCAGTCTAAGCAGTGGAGACATTGGTATTTCTGTCTCCTTAAATCTCCTTCTTCCTGTTTTGTTTTAATTTTATCTTATGTATTTATTTGGCCATGAAACCAGAATAAAGACCCCTCACCTCTAATGCACTAATCCACAGCAGGATCTCTGTTCTGATTACTTAATTCCAGTTTCTAACCTGCAGTTGCTTCCAGAACCTCAGATCTAATCTATAAACCCTAAACATCCCAGCTCCATGTGCTTCCTGCAGATCTGGTCAAATCGTACCCATTTCCTTCAATGAATAATTAATCTCCCACTCCTAAATTCTACTGGAACTGTCCCAAAACTCTCCAAAACAGGAGCTGCTAAAATAACAAGTGGTTATAGCATACACAACTACGGTAACCTCCATGCTGATTGCTCCCAGGGCGCCACACAATGGCAGCCCACTGCTCCCCAAGGGGATGGGTCAAAATGCAGAGTGTGAATCTCCCCATTGTGGAAAAAAAAAGGGATTTAAATATCCTAACCTTGCTTAAGTGGACCAGTCATCATCTTCCATCATTTGAATCCAGTCTTTCTGACTCAGCCCTCAACATCTTCAAGAAACATAACACACAATAAAATAGACTGTTTTTATGACCCAATCTTTATCCAGCCTTAGTGTTTTTGGATCCCACTCCTTCGCAGCCGCAGAGTTCAGCTTTCCCATAAACCACAGCTCTACTTCAACCTCCTCGCCTCCCAACCAGCTAACTTGAAGGAACCAAACAGAAGTGCTTCTCGCCAGAACCAAGTCTGCATACATTAATATTGTAGGCCCATTTATATTGGGACCACTCCTAAAATGCACGGTTCTTGCTGACTGGTTCTGTTTGGGTTTAATTATTGTTCTATCCACATATATCATTAAACATTATCCCCGCTGCCTTTTTGATCAGGCACCTGTTCAGCTACCTAAGCCACAACAGTTCAAATATCAATGTATGTGTGGAACACTCGGTTCTGATCGGGTAACCAGCAGCTGGCTAAATACGGCTTCGGAACCGGACTCAGCTCTGGACCTGGACCCTCAGTGGTGGCCCTGGCAGCTGGTTTAGTCGTGTGAGAAGAGTTAGAGTCTCTCAGGATCATTTGTCGCCCAGCGGCTAGCCGTTAGCTTCTATGGCTCACTATTAGCAGCTACGCCAGGTGTGTTCCAGAGGGATTAACCTTACCTGGAGACAGATCCTTCTCAGAGTGGATCATTGCAGTCAGATAGGCGATATATCTGACCAGGAGAACTGAACTGAGCACTGTTACGTTGCAAAACCTCACTAACAACCAGCGACCTGCTCTTCTTCTTCTTCTCCTTCTCCTTCTTCTTCTTTAGCTTTTTCTGGCAGTTCGCAAATTTTGTGTAATACCGCCATCTACTGGATGGAGATGTAATTAGGAAATTATTTTTTCTTATATATATTTAAATCAAATAACTACATTATATATATATTTATATTCTCACAAACATACTAAATCATCTCAGCTAACTTTGTATCTTTCAAATATTTTGTAAGTGCTTGAATTAAATAATGCGATTGGTGCTTCCCTAATAAATTGGCCATTACCCTTTCCAGTTATTTCCTGTATTTTGTATATTTTCTACAATAAATCAACACACGTTCTACTCCTTCTGTTTCCCCACAATAACAACAATCGCCTGATGGATGTTTCTCTAATATTTTTAAACCACTATTTAAACTAGTATGCCAAATCCTCAACCTGTTAATCCATATTTCCTCTTATTCATTATACTATTATTTCTTATGATTATCTTCTTCTGTATTTTATGTAAATGCCCTCCTCTTTCTTCTAAATTCCATTTCTCCTGCCAGATATTATTTTATCTTTAATAATTACTTTTATTTCTGCTCTACTTAGTGGGACATCATATTCAATTACTCTTGCCTTAACTGCTTTTTATTTATCTACTTTTCCATTACCTAAAATTATTTGATGTGCTGGAACCCATCTTAATTGAATACTTATTTATTTTTTTTGTTGTTGTTGCTTTATACCATATATCAAATAACTAACTTATTCTACAATATATTGACTGCTTTCAGATTTTCCCCTTATTTTGGTCAGGCAAGACAATGAATCTGAAAAGATAACTACTTTACTAGGCTTCTGCTCCAGCACCTATTCCAATGCCAAAATAATTGCCAACATCTCTCATTAATAAAATAGATAAATTATCTGTAATTCTTCTTTTTCTAAAATAAATAAATAAATAAATATTTGGAATATTGACTGCTACTAATGTTTTACCATTTTCCTCTTTTGATGTATCTGTATATATTTGTGTTATATTTTCATACATTATTTCTAAGTACTGCTGAATAATTTTATATAAACCTCAACAGGACTCAGACACCTGCGCTGTTTTTTTCTTCTCCTTTTAGTACAGTTGCCAGCCTCTGCAGGATAACAGCAGCAGTTAATTAGTTGTTGTTTTTTGTAAGGAACTTTTAATCGTATGTGTATTTACTATCATGTAATCGGAACACAGGATCTTTTAATTACGTTTAGGACAGTCATCGGACAACTGGGTTATCAGATCTGACATGTTTTTATTTTCCTTTTGGGTTTGCAAACTCTGAGTTTACTTGTGGATGGCATTAATATAATATTAGACTAGTATGTCAACATACAATTACATAGGTGTCTTTGGAAATAAAAACCCTTATTCATCCATCCATCCATTTTCTTCTGCTTATCCAGGGCTGGGTCGCGGAGGCAGCAGTCTAAGCAAAGATGTTCAGACCTCCTGATCCACACACACTTCCTCCAGCTGCTCTTGGAGACCCTGAGGCAACACCAGGCCAGCTCAGAGACATGGTCCCTCCAGTGTGTCGTGGGCCTTCCATGAGGCCTCCTCCCAATAGGACATGGAAGGAACACCTCCTGAGTAAGGCGACCACCTCAGCTGGCTCCTTTCGACGTGGAGGAGCAACGACTCTACTCCGAGCTCCTCACCCGATCTCGAAGGTGCATTTTGATTTAAATTTCAAGTCACAGTTAATTATTTAGAAAGCTGAACCAGACTGTGGCTTCGTTAGAGGAACCAGAACTATGGTTGATAAACCTTTACTATAGTTCCAAACATTCCAGCAGCCATTCTTACTCTGACATGGTCTGCTAGACTTCCTCACAAAGCAGACCTTATCAAGTCTGGGTTGGACAGAACACCTCTGATGTCATCACCCTAAGCCCAGGCTCCCCTCAGGGCTGCACTGCTCTGAAGCTTCCACACAAATGCCTTTTTGCACCATGTCTCTCCCAAGATGTTTACATTTTGATCACAGCTGCACTTTATGAATGGAAATGTTCTTTTTCACTCATTCACTGTCAGAAAGCTGCATAAAATAAACTTCGTTTTATATACACCGTGTATACGCAATGACAACAAAGTTTGTCTAGGTGCAAGTCCTCTTAAGATTTAAACTAAAATCTGAATTTTATCAGATCAAAGCTTCAATGTAACAAATCCAAACCAGAACATGAAACGGAACATGGAGAGAGCAGCAGGAATTTTAATAGTCACATTTTATTTCAGTTGCAGTCATTTCATCAATATTGTTGAGGTGATCTGCTACAATAAAAACTCATAACATTAAATTAAAACAAAGGTCATTGTTGGAAGAAAATAACCGATCCAATAAAACTAGATCTTACGCTGGATCTCTAAAGTAAGGTCTAGAGGTACCAGAAGTGGATGGGAGCCTGGATCCGTAAGCACAAAGTAAACAACCTGACATCACAGATGATAAATGAGCCATGTAAAGGAGCATATTAGCATGGTCCACATGGCTTCGCCTCAGGAGGTGAACTGCACTGTGGGATGTTAATCAGGTGTGGGATCAGGCGCAGCCCGGCAGACCTGCTTTAAGGCAGCACCTTCATGAACGCCAACAGCTGAACGTCCCACTGAGCAGGGACACCTGAACGCAGCACAGCTGAGAAGACAGCAGAATGATGACAATCAATCCACAGCCTAGTAGAAGTTCATCCCTCTGTTAGCTTTAAGTGGAGGTGAAGGTCATGTGATCCGCTTGGTTCATCTTCAGGTGTGTTTCGAGGATCTGGAACATCTCCTGGATATTAGGCACGTAACCGGACTGCAGCTTGGACCAAACAGGAACGTCTGTGGGGGAAAAAAAAAAAAAAAAAAAAAAACAGTGTTACACCAGGAAGTGGCTCCTAAATGAAGACCAGGGTTCCATTGGGAGTCATCAAATCAGTATGGACTTAAGCCAAAGTGGAAGTAGGAAATTTGGATGCCATGATAAGTACAATAAGAATAGTATTGTGGGAAACAATGTATGAAGAGGAAGCAGGGCGATTCCTATAGCTTAGGAGCTATATGGACATATAGGCCCATCCCAACATGAAATCTCTTATGCCCTCTTTTCGACAGGCTTCATTTGGGGAAAGGAAGCCCCAATAAAGTAGAATAGGGTGGCCAAATTGTGACATGAACAGACTGATCATCACTGATCAGCCATGGATGATGAGAAACTGTTTTTTTTTTCTTTTTTCAGAAAAGGAGGAGGGGAAAAGTACAACTGAGGAGCGAAAACATTAACATCAAGGAACACTTTCACATGAAGCCATGGCCCAAAAATCAGATAAATACAAATTTATCTCATCTAAGCAATATAGTACAATGATCTGACATTAGTCTGGTATCAGCAGGTCACATACCCTTAAAGCTGTTCGGTTTTGTTCAAAAACTGAGGCAAAACACTCTCCTAAAACCAAATGTTTTAACTCCTAAAGGCAAACTTTGAGGAAACTAGACTGAAGAACACCTGAACATGAAGACTTGGAAGGACTACGCAATTTGAAACTCGGTAAAAACAGAACATGTGTTCTTTCCATCAGAGGACAGCAGTAACATGACTCAAACTGCCCTCATCCAGTTTATCCATCAGCAGCGATTCCTGGAACAACCTTCTCCATTCTTGGACAAGTTACTAATTCATGTTTTAGTAGGAACCCATGTTGGGTGCACCTGTCAGCACTTACCGTTCAGAGTGACCTCAAAGGCTCCTGTAGACAGGAAGTGAGTCTCCATCATGTTACAGACGAAGAAGGCCATCAAACACGAGAAGATCTGACAAATGGAAAACACCACCATCACCATCTAAACCATCTGTTGTTATGGTAACGGAAGCAAGGCTCTGGTACCTTGTTGTTCTGACTCCAGGTCCAAGCAGCCGGTGTGTCAATGCCGAGGAGTGGAAAGGGATTCTGACCACTGACGACAATGAGGATGGAGATAAGCTTAAGATAGGATATCAAGTTACCAAGAAACCTGTGAAGGAAGAGGAGGAGTTTTCGGATCAAGCTTCTGATTTTAGTTTTGGGAGGTCTAAATAAAGTACCAGGACTAGCTCTGAGTCAAAGGTTCAGGTTAGCTGGAGTTGCACCTGTTCTGAAGTGACGTCACACTGACCTGTTCAAGGGGGTCGGGGGGTAGTTCTCGCCCTGGATGCGAATGTCCGGATACACCTGGCTGATGGCCTGGGAGTATTCCTGGAAGACTTTAGTGTAACCTCAGGAGATACTAGAAAATACATACAAATCAACCAGCATGTGATGTCAGCATTGAAAACGTTTCCACAAATTAAATAGAACCTTTCAAAAAGACATTTCACATACCAAGCTATTTGATTTAAAACAGATATAATAACTATTTCATATTCAGCCCTTGATAACGTGATAGAACATCTTTAATTAAGAACTATTTTACCGTAGCTCAGATATAACAGCTTATAAAACAGTTTTGCCACTAAACTAATTTCTCATCGGCTTGTTTGATTGTTGTTTACGTCACAACTACTTGATAACTGTATAATTTATCCTTTATTTTCTGAACCCGAGCCTTTGATCACCATGTAATCATCTTTGTTTTGTTTTTTATTAATTTCCTCCAAAAAGAGAAAGTATATTTCAAGTAAAGCCCATCTTTTACATTAACTCATGTTTAATTAATCGGCGTGACGTCGTCCTGCTAATTGCTAGCCTGTATGCTAACTCACCAGTAACGGAACCGGAGCACAGGACCGGAGTACATGGCTGCTTTCGGGGTTTTGCCGGACTCTGAGTCCGTTTCAGCATCCAAAGATAATCCGCCTTTGCGGTCCGTCCGACCCACATAAACATCCCGCAGGGTCAGGGCCGTGAACAGCAGCAGAGCGGCGAGCAACCCGCCCGAGCCGAACTCCGCCATTATTGCGGCTGTTAACCTCAGGAGGCAGTGCACTTCCGTTAAAGACCGGTTCTTCTTCTTTGTCTTTTTTAATTGCGATAGGCAAGCAACTGTGCATTACCGCCATCTACTGGAATGGAGTGTGGATCGGGATAAGACTGTTTTCTTCTTCTTGGATTTATATTTTATCGGGTGGCACCTAAACGTAAAATCCATTATCGCTATTTACTGAGCTTGAGTTTATAGTTATGTTTTTTTGTTTTGTTTATTTGTTTTAAAACAAACTGTGTTAAAAAAAGAGAGAAAGAAATCCAAGTTTCCAATATAAATGATTGATGTATTGAAATAAACATTGGACGTTTATGTTGTTGCAACCCCTTACCACTTTCTTGAATAAAACCATTTTACAAAAAAAAAAAATGAATATAAAAGCGTGCTTTGTTTTAGTACATCCCGCTGTTAGACCAAAGTTGTAAAAGTAACATTTTAAATGGAAAAAACTTTAAATATCTCTCAAGAAAATATTTAAAAAATTACAATGAAAAGGCTTGTTCTGCGGTTTTAATATGAGTCACAGAGAAAACAGGAATTGGTATTAATGTTTTTTATACTTCATGCATAAGTTTGAAAATTTATTTATTCATTTTGGTGGGAAAAGAAAAGATATAGGGGTCTTATTTCTTTAAAAATATTAGAGTTTCTTTTTAATAATTATGATAAGGGTCTGTCTTTTTTTCCTACTGAGATGCAGGAAACAGAAAATTAAGCTCTTTTTCTTTATATTAAGGTTACAACACAACCTCTTCATATCTCATCATATTAAAGGGTCACCTATAACCAGAATAATTATTTCTTCATTTTACTGTTGATATTTCGCTTAAGATGCAACTTATACCACATTTCAGAGTGTATTCATTATATTTAAACTTTTGTTGGGTTACTTATTTAAATAATGACTTTATATTCTCACCTGCACTCATCAGGAAAAAAAAACAGATTTTTATTATGAAGAAAGGTTGCTGCAGCTAAAAATATTGTAAAAAAAAAAAAAAAAAAAACAGTATAAAAAAAAATTATTATTATTATTATCATTATTATATTTGTTGTTTTAGCTTTTTATCTATTTTTTTGTTTTGTTTTATTTTTTGTGTATTTTATAAAAAAATTAATTTCTAAATTATGTATTATGTCTACCTTCGCCATGACTTTTTGCACAAACAATTTAAGATGAATTCATGTGCATTTTGTGAGTCAGAAATTTGAGACGACAGAATATCTCTGTTTTTGAATTAAATCCTCTTTTAAAATTCTTATATAATAATGATTGGTCTTCTAACAGGTGATAAAGAAACGAACTATACGTAATAAGTGTAATCCTTCTGTGTTTTTAATATCTATTTTTAAATCACTTCTTCTTTCAACATCTTTATTAGTGGAATGTTTTTATTTCAAGACGCTTTAAACCATTGTTACAATCCGAAAGCCCAAATGGTGTTAAAATATATAAATAATTTAATTATAACATGAAAGTTCTTCTGTAAATGCAATACAGTTGTTTTGTTGTTCTAACACTCTTCTGTCAGATTTTTTTCTAGTTCTTCAGTATTTCTATTACCGCTCAGTCATAATATGTACGTTTGCATTCTTTATTATAATGTGGAAAATTGTTTGTAATAGCAGATTTGAATCTAAAATTAAAAAAAGGCTGAACATTTTTATTTCATTTTTATTTTGTAACATAGAATACGTCATACCCCAGCGCCGAAGTTATCATATTGACGTCATATTTATGTGACGCTTGTCTCGGCTGCAATGGACCGAAATGCCGATGAAGGTGAGGAATAAGTAAATACCCGTTTTAAAGGGCGGCTGAGACGCGCACGCGCGCGCTCCTGTCAGCCAAAGCGAAAGGCTCGAGGACACCATGATCGTTGTGGTGGGGCTTGTGAGGTGCAGAGTCCTGCAGTCGCGTGTTCACCAGTTTCTCGGCAGGTGGGCTTCCCCTGCCCTCACCTGTACAGCTGATTCACGTGTTAGGGCAGCCTCTAGTGTGAGTGGAACCAGCGGTGGATGGTATGGGGGCCTGGCAGACTCTGCTCCGGTTCACCTGTGTGAGAACTTCCTGGTCAGCGTGCAGCAAGGGACCGGGTTGCCATGGTGGCTGAGCATCGCTATGGCAACTGTGTCCATCAGGACTTTCATCACCCTGCCACTGGCCGCCTACCAGCTGATCATCATCGCCAAGGTGGGTTTACCTTTAACTAAGGCTTTATATTAAACTGAACCATCAGAATTAAGAACAACCCGGCTTAGTCCATAGAACTGATGTTGAAATCCACAAAACTCAATGTTTGGACGAGCTGGACTCACTTTAATAGACCTTCCAATCAGAGTAACCATAGTAACCTCTACACCATGGACAGGTGGAGGCCCTCCAGGCAGAGATCTCTGAACTGGCCAAGAGGCTTCGCTATGAGGTTTCAGTCCGAGGCAGAGAAAGAGGCTGGACGGACAAACAGAGCAGGTGAGGAATAAACAAGCAGGTACTCCTTGGTCACCATCACTGACTCACAATTTAATCATTTAATCCTACAAAGTTCAGCTCCTAAATTGGTTCTCCTGGAATAATTACACCAAGATCCATGCATAAATTCTGAACACATGCAACTTTTTATGACAACTGGTTGGCACATGTAGAATGGAAATGGGTCAAGTCTGAATCAGAACAATTAGAATGAGCCAGGCTCTGAGTTCTTGAAAAGTTCCTACATTATTGTCCTGATCATACTGCTCACAAGGTTCCTCCTCAAAGCATACAGGATATTTTTCACTCTCTGGATGAACAGAACCAAAATTAAAAATAAAGTAGTTCCTTCTGGTTTGTCTAATGAAAAGAAACTTAAACTCTTTTTCAGTTACAAATGAAAACATTGACGATGACCTGCTTCTGCCAGACATTTGTCTTCAGCAATGGGAGTGAATTTTGTTCCATTGTTATTGCATGCAAATCACTCATTTTGTAAAAAGAAATGTGGAAAAAAAACTTTTTGTAAAATTAAATAAATGAATAAAAAATTATAATAATAATAGAATTTTTTTATTGATCTCACATCAGAGAAATTTACCTCTGCATTTAACCCATCCCCTTGGGAACGGTGGGCTGCTATTATGCAGCGCCCAGGGAGCAGTGTGGGGTTAATGGTCTTGCTCAGAGAAAAACAATGAAATCCAGAAATTAAACTTTTTTTTTTTGCAATTTTCTCAGATTTTTTTTAAAATATATTTATTTTTTAAAATATATTTTTTCATAATTTTTTGGGACAGATTTTGTATTTTTTTTTTTCATTCAAGTTTTTTATGTTTTTATTTTTACAGGCATTAGTTTGTTTTTTATTAAACTTTCATGCATTTTTTAAAAATAGATTTTTCCAGATCAAATTCTCTTCACTTCTAGGAACATTTCCTCTGGTCTGCTTAACGATAGCAGGAGTATTTTTATTGGTCAATTGGCGCATTAAAAGTTAGCATTTTCATCAGCCTTGAAGTGAAGAGACGGTGCTGCAGATGCAATTTGAAAAGAATATTATTAAAAAAACTCAACCGGAAAAAGAGTAATTTAAAGAAAAATTAGAAAATAACAATAGTGGAACAAAATTCACTCTATAGTGAAATGGACCACGTCACACTGTTAACAAACCACAAAGCTTCTATTAATTCAAGGGTACCACTATTTTTTGCAGGCCTGTATTATAAATTTTTTCATTTAAAACCATACTGTTGAAACATGGTTGAAAAGCAATGTCTGACTTTCATTTGTTCATTTTCACAGATTTTTCTGTTATTTATTTTAATGTTGTCATATGCAACTCTGTGACCATTGTGGGTTTTTCTTTCATTAAACAAAGTGCACATACTTTTTTTGCTCCGTGTGTACATATGTACCTATACTGTTTGTATGTTTTGAGGCTTTTCTGAAATTCCAAACCATTTTAATCAAGCAATTTTAATTTACTGAAAGTACATATATTTTTAATTAATCAATTAATCTAAGAAGTAATCTATTGATTAGTTAATATAAAAAATTATAGATAGCTGACGCCCTAGTAGGTAAGGATTGCAGAAGGCCCATCTGTCAGAACACAGAACTGAGTTTTATTTCTGTGGGAGCATTTCAGTGTCTGAAACTGTTCTGGTTCTGTAAACAGGATCCAGTTCAAGAAGAACCTACGCCGTCTGGTTTCTCAGCTCTACATCCGGGACAACTGTCACCCCTTTAAAGCTAGTTTGCTGGTATGGGTCCAGCTGCCTCTCTGGGTCAGTCTGTCTCTGGCCCTTCGGAACCTCAGCGTGGTACAATCAGGTAGGAACCTGAGCCTAACAGATTCTGTATTGGTCCCGGTTCTGGGCTGAACCTGTTTTTTTGTGCAGCCCTCCAAAGAGAGCTGGCAGCAGGGGGCACTCTCTGGTTCCCGGACCTCACCCTACCGGACTCCACCTGGATCCTTCCAGTTTGCCTGGGACTCACCAACCTGCTCATTGTGGAGGTAGATTTTGGGCGGAGCTGGAAAACCCAGAGCTGTGATGTCATCAGAGAGAGTTAGCAGTTCTTCTTTTTCTTTAGGTGTTTTCTCTGCAGAGAGTCGGGGCGTCGCGCTTCCAGAAACTGGTTCTGAATGGGTTCAGAGGGTTCTCAGTTTTAATGATCCCCATCGCCGCCTCCGTCCCATCTGTGAGTAATCGAGCCTTCAGGCCGTCGGGTCAGAACAGCTCATCCATTCAGGTTGGAGGAAATCTGGGCTGGGTCATCCAAGCATAGGCCTTCTAATTGAGATCTGGATCAGAACCAGGTCCAGAATATGGGCTTGTTCTCTGTCGGGTCCATTTTCATTGATCAGAATGGATCCACAGGTTCAATGTATTTTCTCTGGATCAGCTGTTTGACCTGCTGTGTTCAATCTTTTATTTGAGTTATTTTATTCCTCTAACATCCTGTTTCTATCGTTCCAGTCCATGGCACTCTACTGGCTCTGCTCTAGTCTGGTTGGTTTCAGTCACAACCTCCTGCTTCGCTCGCCTACGGTCCACAGAACCCTCAGACTGCCAGCTCAACGATCAGAAACTCCCTATAGGGACCTGCTGTCATCCTTCATCAAAAAGTACTGGAAGTAGGAAAAGCCTGCCCCCAGCTTAGGACTAGTCTGGGTTCTACTTTGTTTTACATTCAGTACCAATCTTGAATTCAACGGAAAACCTCATCGCTCTTGGTTCTGATGGTGCTCTAATGGAGAAGCTTGACGTGAAACTTTTTAAATGTTCTGATGATCAGAAACCTGCTCTGATATCAAGCTTCTGTAGAAAAATCTGTATTTTTTCTTGATGATTTCTTTGGTTCTGTCCAACAAGGTTTTCTTTTTAAATCTTCTGCTGTTTTGACTCTGAGGACATTAAATAAATTAGAACCCAGGAATTATTTCTTAAGTTTTTGTATTTTATTTGTCCCCATTTGAATATGTTCTGGTCAGAAAATCTGGGTTTATGTGGGTCTGTGGGCGTTTATTAAACAATAACAGGAAGAAAACACTCACAGGCTTTGGCTGGAATGTTTCCTGTTTTCCCAGAATGGGAGTCCGGAACAAACTTGGATCTGAATGTTAGGAATGTGGAGAGAGAAGTTCCAATCAGAACCATCTATTATTTAATTACATTTATAATCTTCTAATTAATAATCTTATATCCTTTGACATTTAATCCTGTTTAAGTTTTAAAAAAACAAACAAGTGAAGCAGGAGGTTTTGCTTGTTCTGATCCGGGATTAGTTCTGGCAGTGAGGCGGAGTCAGCAGGCTGATCAGTTCTCACATCTCAGTCTTAGTCCAGATCTCATCTAAGCGCCATGAAGCCCTGTTCCTTCTCTCTGCTCCCGGTCTTGCTGCTGTTCCTGGTCCCGGTTCTGGCGGCCGGACCGGGCTGTGCTCCCTGCGACCCGACTCAATGCGCCCCCCTCCCTTCTGACGGCTGTCCCGCAGGCTCCCTGCAGGACTCCTGCGGGTGCTGTGGGGTCTGCGCCGCTGCGGAGGGAGAGCCGTGCGGTGGACGCCGCGCGACAGCGCGCCGCTGCGGCACCGGACTGGAGTGCGTCAAAAGCGACAACGACAAGAAGAGCAAGAGCGGCGTGTGCGCGTGCAAGAACAGCTACGAGGTCTGCGGCACCGATGGAACAACGTACAAGAACGGCTGCGCGCTGAGGAGCGCGAGCCTGTCAGCGCAGAAGGAGGGCAAAGAGGCCATCAGTGTCCTAAACAAAGGCCGCTGCGCTTCAGGTGAGACCATGGGCGTAGGTTTGCATAGGGACCATAGGGACATGTCCCTACCAATAATTCTATGTGAATAACGTGTTTATAATTTACAATACAGTGCTGTTGCAGCAGGCGCTTCTTTTCTCACAACTTGTATTTTGAAGTTAATATTTCAAATGCTCAGTGTCAGTTCCTCTTATAGTTCCCGCGTCCACGTAAATACAATAAATCTATTTGCAGTCCCTTGAATATGTTATTTTGCTTTGTTTTACAATACAGAGAATATCAACATATCAGATAAAATAAATAAGAGTGGGTTTTACCTGTTTACCTGCACAATACTATTTCTTGGATAAATACATAAACAACAGACATATTTAGACTATATTTGGTTAGAAAGGCACGCACTTATTTACCCTCTGTCTTAGTCACTCGTAAGTTCAAATGTAACCCTTTCCAAAGTGTTAAGTTGTCCCAATTTTACATTATTCTGAGCCACTGATGCTTCAAACATTCATAAACAGCATGTTGTGTGTGTAGTGCTTATAAAATGTGTATAAATGTATAAAAAAAAAATGCTGTTTTCTCTTTAAATGAAATGCGCCCTGATACATCGAGCATTAAAATAAATAGGAGCATGCATAATGAGTAGGACCAATGACATCAGACCAATTCATTTTAAGACCAGTAGTGTCCCTACCAAAGTTGAGATCAAACTTACACCCTTGGGAGAGACACACCTCAGGAGAGAGGATGACTAAATGTTATTTAAAATAACCTGATGATTCAGTATAAACCCCGAGTTTATAGTTTAAAGGTTCACATAAAATCTGGACAGATTTTTGCTCTATAGGTTCCCAGGAGACCAGAGGCTCTCCAGCAGATTGTATCAGCTCAGTTTTTATCCCCGTCATCTAGAGTCCTCTGGTGGAGAATGTTCTGCGTGGAGCCTTTTGATGATGATCTTTCCCCATGCTCAGAAGTTACAACCATTTCAGTTGTTCTTGTTGGTTCTGCTGCAAACACAGCAGTCATTTTCAGTCCCTCAGAAACTTGTTGACACATTGCTTCTTAAGGGAAAGTCACCCACTCCTGTCAGTTTTATTATTATTATTATCAATAAGATAATTATATTTCGTTGGTCTGTTTCTCCCTGTCAGAGTGTTTAACTGGTCTGCATGTTAATGATTTTTATCACAGTTCAAGGAATTATGCAGGTTTCTGATGGATGTTCCTCTGTGGGTTTACCTGTCTGCTCCATATCTCAGTAGTGATCTGCCTCAGTGGTTTTGGGACAGTAACTCCCTCTGAATGTACTGTGGTGTCTCTGATAATCTCCCTTCATCCTTTTCTAAACACAGCATTCCATTCTAGATGAAAAGACCTGACTGAGCATGCTCAGAAGACATTCCTGTCAGGTCACTGCGTTTCCATGATGAGGCGTGCTCTGTCCTGATCCCATCCCGTATAGTTGAACTCTGTCTGTCTGCCTCCAGCTCCTGTCATTGTCACTCCACCGGGTCAGGTGTACAACGTCAGCGGCTCCCAGGTGTTCCTGAGCTGTGAGGCTGTGGGTGTGCCCACACCTGTCCTCACCTGGAGGAAGGTGAATCCATCTGTCATTTGATTTAACCTGAAAAAAAAAAGATCAATAAGGGGACAGCTAGAGTTCGAACACACAATTAGATTATGAGAAATATTCTTTGATCTGATTATTTTGCTTCTGGTGGTACCTTTCTCAGGTCCTTGGTGGAAAGAGAAAGGCGGCGCTTCTTCCTGGAGATCGAGACAACCTGGCAATCCAGACCAGAGGAGGACCAGAAAAGCATCAAGTGACCGGATGGGTTCTGGTGAGGAATGGTTTCTACTTTTCCATTTAACAGCTTTTCAGCTGCTGGTGGTTTCTTTCAATCTAAGCCGTCTAGAAAAACTCAGAAGTCGGTCCTGACACCAGCTTAGGGGTAGCCAGCACGGCGGTCCTGTTCTTGTCAAATTATGTAATCTCTTGAGCTCATATCTGTACCAATCAGATGTGCTGGTCTTATTGTAGATCTCCCCTCTGACTGAAGAAGAAGATGGATCATATGAGTGTCACGCCTTCAACTCCAAAGGTGAAGCATCGGCCATTGGGGAGATCCACCTTGTCGAATCCATCAACAACATCAAGACGGGTAACAAAAACTCTGACATCATTATCCACAGATGAACACAAGCATGAACCTGCTTTTAATTGCCCCCCTAACCCTTTTTGTTGACGAACTTTTATTGGCTATTCACAACATCGATCCTTTTTTGGATAATTCTGACAATTACATTTATTGGTTAATACTCCCATTCATTCTAATTCCGGGTGGATCATCAAAATAAGTGGTCCTCCTAATTGTCAATCATTGTGGTAATATGTTTACGTAAGGCAGTCCTACGTGCTTGTCCCCATTTTCCCTTACCGGTGGAGAGTCTGACAAAAATCGCAAATCTTTTGGAAAGAAAGCTTGTATAAGCGATGCAAACAGCCACATTTAAACAGATCGTGCACGAGCACAAATGGGCTCATGCATGCTCTCGCACGTATTGAATAGGCGTTCCCTCTCTGGAGCGGGTACAGGGTCTTGCATGTGTTTTTTTTTTTTAAGTGGAAAGGACGGGTCTTATCAAATTCGCAAAAATCCTCCACTATACTTTTAATCATAACATTGATTCTGACATTAACTGGTTTCAACTCAAAGTTGAGTTGAAACCAGAAACAAACCATAGGGATTCCCATGTATCCCTAGGGCGAAATCCCTGTTTCTACAGGTCCTGGATCAGGAAAGTCCTGAGCAGCAGTCAGATGTTGGAGGCAGGTGTAATATCTAGTCCTCTGAGGAAAGCACAGTAAACAATAGAAAGAATGCTTATCCAATTTTGATTATGTGTCCAGTCCACTATCTTGGAGAGATGGTATAATTAGGACATGAAGCTGTGTCTGTCAGATGGATTCAGGTCATCAGTGAGTCATCTACTGATCTCTCCTCCCTGGTGCTGACAGGATGAGGAACTGTGAGAAGATTTCCCGTGTTTAGGGAAATAGCGATACAGTAATGAGGAGAGACATGTCTCTGACAAATAGCTTCTGACAGGATCTGACGTGAAGAAAAGGTCTACATATAGTTCCTAATTCAGAAAGCACCATCACCAGGGTGATGATCCGACAGGTTTGTTTCTCACACTGAGAACAAAACATGGCTCATTTATTTGTTAAATAGTCAAATATTCTGTCTAACCTGGACTGATGGAATTAAGGAGACGCAATAGAGCTACCAGGACTTCTCAGTTGCTAAGACAAATAGATTTCTGCCACATACATGGCTCTATGTGCTTCAGCTGCTGTTCTCAGAGCAGAAACTGATACCTTAGAAGAGTGATTTCCAACCAGGGGTACTAGTACCCCTGGTTGGAAATCTGCCATGCATTGCAGGGGTTATGTCAAAATATTTAATATTTTACTTTCCAGGTAAATAAATACAACAAAATAGGGGTGGGTTTTGCTCTATAAGGATTTCAGTACTAATTAAATTTCCATGAAACATATTTATGTTATTTTTATTCTAATTGAAAAGTATGAAATGTCTGATCATTAAATGTTCAAGTTAAAGAAATTAATTAAAATTATTTCATTTTAAAATCAGTTTTACTTTCTACTTTTGGAAAATAATCAACATGATTAAATGATCAAGGGGGTACAGAAGTCAGAAAAGGTAGGGAACCCCTGCCTTAGAACACCGGGTCAGAGAGGAACTCAGAACTGAAAGTTCTTTGAACCATTTTTACTTTTGCATGTGTTCTCCTTAGGCTTCTAATGTTCCACATCAATGCCTTCTGTTCATGTACTTGTATCCAGAAAGCTGTGTGCAATCAGTGTGTAAATCTCTGACTGGAGACTTCTTTATTTCAGGGCTCAAGGAGGATGAGCTGTGATCAGCGGGTCCAACAAACATTACAGGAAACTAAAAAACACATTTCTGTTTCTTCTTTTTATCTTTTTTCTTTGAATTAAAAATGTTATAATCCTTTTTTACTCTTTGCTTAAAGGGCTATGATGTATGTCTAAAGAGAGGTTGTTTTCCACCCATTTAACTTTCTTCTCCTGCAAAACATTTTGTGAGAAAATTCGTTTCTGTTGTGAAATAAAAACAAGACATGATCTTTCATCAAAAATGTTTTTTTTTTCTGAAAGCTGATACTTTTCTTTCCTGTTGATATAGAAAATAAAGTGTATAAATCAGATTGTAGCCAAATCAGACTCTGTTTCTATACCTTTCCCCAGTTGCAGTTTTTCTCTAGATATGTTAACTAGAATTATTTCCTTTTTTTTTTAAACAGCAGAAAGAGACTAACGTCTGCATTAGAGGCCAGCAGGGGGCACCAGAGCTTAATATAAACACCTGTTCTTCTGGTCTAGCCTTGCCAGCCAATGCAGGCATAAGGCTACCTCTGGTCCCATTCCTTTATCCTGCACACCAGAGAGCTGGTGTTCAGGATTTTTAAATAAATAAAGGACTATTGTTTGGCAGGTTTGTATATGTGTATCATTTTATTTTAAGTAAATGTAATCCATACAGCACTTTGTCCTAGGTTTTTGTTTTAAAAGTGCATTGTAAATAAAGTTGGATAGGATTGGGGGCTTTTCTCTTTGGGAACAACTGCAGCTTAAAACAGAATCTGCTTTGAAGAGGCTGCAGTTCATTTTCCAAGTTTACCATGACAGAGGTTAAGACTGTTATCATATTAACCTCTTTTACAGACAACAAGCCCGGTTGGGTCTGAGATTGAGAACCTGGTCTTAGGACAGATAACCAGGAGGTTTTCTTCTGAGATTTTAGATCCATCAGCAATAACTTCCCATCAGTTTTTTGCTGAGAACATTTTTCAGGCCATGAGTTTCAAATCCAACCGGCGCACAGACCCAAGAAAACGTATCTAAAATCTCAACAGTGTGCTTTCATTACACTGATATTAACAACTTCATTTAACATGTTGCATTTAGACAAATGCATCTATATGCATGCTGCATACACTGAACTACAGGATTGGATTGGTGAACACAAAGCCTTCAGTTGTGAACACGGGTTTACCTAACAGTCTCAGATGTAGCAACTTTTATTTCCTCTGTAGGTCTGATTTTGATGGGACCATGATGCTGCTGGTTGGATGCAAGCAAAATCCTGTAATAATTAAGTGGCTGAAGGAGGATGACTTTATAAAATGAATAACAGCATGATGAATTCTCAATTGAACTGTATGCAGTTAACTTGTTTACACAATATAAGTTTGTGTGCACAAGGGGAGAGCAGTGTTCTTGTGCTATGAAAGGGTTGCAAGTACCTGGTTCGATCCCCACGGCCTGCACTCTGACCCCCTGAGCAAGACGCTTAATCCCACACTGCTCCCCGGGCGCCGCACAAGGGCAACCCACTGCTCTCCAAGGGGATGAGTTAAATTCAGAGGTAGATTTCTCCAATGTGATATCAATAAACTTACCTGTATTTACCTGCTCCATTTATCTTTTCTGTGACTTGAGCATGCTGGAAACCAGTTTAACCAATCACAGTTGCTCATCTGATGGTACCAGCTCCTTCATTGGTGATTTTGTTAATGAAGTCTGGCAGTTTAACCAATAAAAGTTCAACTGTTTTCCGTTGTGTTATAGGTAGGTAAATGGAATTTCAAAAAGATTTTAAAATGCAAGTATGAAAAATAAATTCAATAAGGAATCATTTTTAAATTTGTTATTAGGAAAGCTATTTATAATCAGATTTATAAATTTGTTTTTTACATTTCCATTAAGAAATAGCCCATAGGAAAGCAAAATCCAAGAAGAGATCTCGTTGTTGTTTCTTTCATTTCTCCTAGACACAAATGAGCTATTTTTGATACTAAGGTGAGACCAAAGGTTTTTTCTCCTGCTTCTCAAATTCAACTCAGGAGAAACAATCACATATAATCTCATGTTTGATCAAAACAAGAGATCTCTATATGATCTGAAATATGTCTAATTTCAGCCTCCTAAACATGAGACCATGAGATCAAAGAAAGAACTCAAAGAAAACTCAGCTATGACTCCCAAGATCTCATTATTCTTCTCAAATATGTCTCAGTTTTCTCATAGTGACCTCAGAATAAACAACCAGAGTGTGTCTTACTCTGATCAAAAGAAGAGATCTCTAAATGGTATTAAATAAGTCTCATTTAATTCTCCCGTACATGGATAAGAGAAGCTCCATGAAATCTCATAAATAGAGTTACTTGCATGAGTATTTTGATTTTACATACTACATACTACATTTCAAATTCTGCATTGTAATTATTGTATTATATTACTGTAAGTTCATTACCTTGTAACTTACAAGAAAACAAGACAGAAAATAATGCACTTTTAAATTCCAAGTTTTCCAATTTATTAATAAAATAATAAAAATCAACATAACTAGACAACCAACCGTTTCAGTATTATATTTAGAGATTAATGCAAATTCTTTAAGGATGCATGTCAGTACTGTACAGAAATCATACAGAAAAAAGAAAAAAAAAATGTGGTTAAGAAACATGAATCCTCAGTGCACATACAGTGAGAATGAACTATATTTCAAATAATTTGTAAGTAAGGTAGTAATAATGGAAATAAAATATTCACTGGGCCAAAGACGAGAGCGGGATGGGTCGGACGTCTAGAGCAGCTGATTGGAGGTTTGAATTTCAAACTGACACTTTGAGCGGGACAGTCCAGTCGGGACCAATTAGGTCTGCAGTCTCTGAAGTGGCACCTGTTGACATTGTGCAGTGGAAGTTGTCTGGAGTGAAGGTAAGTTTTAAACTTCTTACATATAAGTTAGTTTTGTAACCGTCGACAGCATTATACATTGATAACTTGATAAAAATGCACGGATATCAGTAGTCAATTTATTTTAATTTTGGGCGGTGAATTTTGAACGACCATGCAGTCTCAAATCAAGCTAGCTACTAACATTACAAGTAGCATGGTTTCCTTTGATTTTTAGCAGACTTGGAAGTTGGTATCAATGTTGTGTTTGTGAAAATGTCCATATAAATTAACCTTTTAAGTAAGAGCGCCCACTGTACAAAGGGCTGCGTGAGATGCTTGCTGCATAGACGATCATTAGGAAGCTAGTAAGCTAACATGTAGCATACCAAAATGATGCTAACCACACAAACAAGGTGTCATATGAAAATAGAGACTCTGCTGCGTCACCAGTTTTCTGTCTTTTTGCCACGCACTCCCGCCACGCCATGTATTTGATTTTTCACGCTGAAAAAAATATAATACATTTCTCTGTTCTGTATAAAAGCTTGTGACCATGGTGAAGTCAGTTTCAGGTTGGATATTCGACACCGCTGAATCTACTGTACGCGACTACAGTATGTCTGACTAATCAACCTGAAACTAACTTCACCATGGTCATTAACAGCGGTGACTGTAAGAAAGCCGGTGAATCAGATCAATAAGACGTCAGTTTATGATTGGTTCACAGCGGTTACGTTCAACAGCACAAGACATCTAGAAGTAGAGTCTTTTATTGATGAGTAAAGACAGTTTAGTTATTTGAGGAAACATGATCTGAAGAAGACATGTTTAGTTTAATAAACCCAATGTGGACTGACTATATATATACGTAAATGTATGTATATGTAGTGTTTGTAATTTTCACTGTTGCTGCACTTTGCATGAAATCATATTTCTTATCTTGTATGTGATATATGAAAGCATTAGATTGCTAACATCATGCTTTTTAAACTGCCATTTACAGAATGACATCTGGTTCCAACTCAAAAAGACAGAGGTTACCTTCAACCAAAATGAAAGATCATGTACAGCTGGGAACTGAAGAGGAAGAGGAGGCAGCTGGTGAGTTATTGTTAATTTATTTACTGTTATTTTTTACTTTTAACTTATCAATTGGTAATTAAAGGAAAGTATAAGTAGAATAGCTGATTTTTAAAGATCCCCTACATGCTAAACTGTATACAGTATAAACTACTTGAATAATAATTTGAGTCTACTATGGTCTTTCCACAGAAACATTAAATTGTCTTGTTAGAAATCCTTAAAATTGTATCAGCACCTTTTCACACTTTAAAAATTGCACAATCAATTAATATATATATTTAATATATAATAATATATATTTAGCTGCTAGACTCAAGATGTGTCTTAATTCACTGTCAAGCAGCAGCGGCACCAGAAAATTATTATTGGGGGGGGAATGGCCACAACAAGTACCAACAAATAAATAATACTATAATAGATATAGATTTACTGTTCCCGGGCTAATACACTACATATTGTGAAATGCACATTACTAAATGATTATCATATGATAAGCACATACATCAACACTTCTTTTATCCTTTTTGTTTTTCAGAGCCAGAAGACATCAGAGTGGCTCGAGGATTTCTTAAAAATGTTGCTCTGTACCAGGAGAGCTCTGCAGCCTTGATCCACCCGTCACAGAAGGCTCTTCAGGAGCTCTTTCCCAATAGTGGCTTGTTCCTGTCATCCTTCAAGCTTGCCTCCATAATGCACCAATGTGACCATGACAGCCTTCGACTTTTCCATCTCCTTTTTGAACACTTCTTCACCGCAGAGGAGTGCACCAATGCAGTGGCTTTCGGACGACATGGCAAGATACCAGAGGGGAAGCAGCTGCTTGACCAAAGCAAAGTTGATGGAATTCTGAGTGAGTAGTTTTTCTGGTGTAATGACTGCAATGTTCTAGCTACTTTCTAGCATTTTGCTTGCTTGATTTGTTGTACACTAGTTACTTGATTGTTGTTGTTTTTTTTGAGTAAATATATTTTTAATATGATTAGATTATGAAAGTCTACAGTGGCCGACAAGGGTCAAACGGACAGCAACGACCCAATACGTCTTAGTTTGAGAAAACAGCTTCAAGTACAGAAACGAAGCAAAATCACAAAATCAAACACAAGTCTAAACGAGGTACAAAACGAGGAACGTGTTGCAAATGAAAAAACGCATCATCAAAAATGCATCACCATCAAACGCACTGCAAATGGAGAAACGATCTGTAAACCGAGAAAAGATCTGCAAACGAAAAATGCTGCATGCTCCAAACCTGCAGGGGGAGCCCTCAGCGTAACAGCTCAATAGAGAGACACACGGGATGGAGAGAGACAGAACAGCTGACTAAATCACAACGGTGTATGAAAATAGCAGGAATAGCAGGAACCGCTTATAGTGATCACGGATATAGTAATCAGCTGCTTTAGGATCCAGAGGACAGAATCATTTCTATACAAATGCTGTTTAAATAATTTGGTTATAGTGATCAAGAAATCCACTTATAGTTTCATTTTTGGGAATTTTATGAATGAAAACATGCAAAAACTATTTTAAAACTACGTGTATTTAATTTTTTACTCGCAGCAGGACATAGTGCAGCTGTCCCATCCAGAGCTGAGGAATGCAGTTCACATTTTAAAGGTCTCCTGCATGTTGGTTTTAAAAACTTTGACCTTTTACATGGTTTTGAAAAAGAAGTGAACTTGGTGTTAGGCAAAAGTAATTAAACTTGCATGATGCTTCTCAAAAGAAGCATTTGAAACGACTGAGTTTAAAATCAGAATAAAATTCAGTCAATGCTGAAGCTGTCTATTTCCATTTTTCTCATTGAAAAACGATACGAATGGCATTTAGATGATGTTCTGCATAAAAAATTAAGTGAAACAATAAAAATTCAGTTATAGTAATCAACTGCTTATTGTGATCATATTGACTCCAGACCAACGTGATCACTATAAGCGGTTTTCACTGTACAGCAGGAACGGTAATATGACTTTTACTTGATTTTATATATATGTTTATATATGTTTGCATGTAGATTAGCCTGCTTGATATAGGTATGGGAGACTGTGAAAAGAGGGCTTTTTAATGTATTTTTAAAGCGGGTGTTTTATATCAAGTAGGCTAATCTACATGCAAACATGTATATACATATATATATAAAATCAAGTAAAAGTCACATTACCGTTCCTGCTGTATTTTCATACACTGTTGTGATTTAGTCAGCTGTTCTGTCTCTCTCCATCCCGTGTATCTCTCTATTGAGCTGTTACGCTGAGGGCTCCCCCTGCAGGTTTGGAGCATGCAGCGTTTTTCGTTTGCAGATCGTTTGTCGGTTTACAGATCGTTTCTCCATTTGCAGTGTACCTGTTAGAAGTTAAAGTTTTGTACCTCGTTTAGACTTGTGTTTGAGTTTGTGATTTTGCATCGTTTCTGTACTTGAAGCTGTTTTCTCAAACTGAGACGTATTGGGCCGTTGCTGTCCGTTTGACCCTTGTCGGCCATCGTAAAAGTCAAATAAGAAATTGAATGATACTGAATGTAGCTCCTGGTGTGTTGAGAGATGCACAGGAAGGCTAAGATGGATATAAACAGTCCTTTATTTTAACCCTTTGATACACTGGCACTGCAAACCCATTCTAATGCACAAGATGGACCAAAAATTACCTGTACTTGTGTCATGCATAGCTGAGTGTTTCTTTGCCATATCTTTTAAAATCAATTTATTTCATCATTTAATATTCCTAATATTAAATGTTTTCTTTGCCACTAGTCATTATTTCCTCTTATGTTAATAATCAAAAACATTATACACTTAGATGGAACCATTGCTATATAGAAATGTCATTTTACAGATAGTTGAATGAACATAATAATGTATTAAAATATGCTAGGAAAATATCAAACTAATTTAAGTCTCTTTTCTCCGTTTTTTTTTTTTTTTTTTTTTTTTTTGCAGCCTATGTGAGGCGGTGCGCAACGATGGAGAACTGGAAACCAGTAGAGGAGGCCAAGCTTAAAAAGGCCCTCATAAATAAATGCTGTCACAGGTCAGTACAGTGACTGGCTTTACAGGCATAATGTTTACAACAGCCCCTTGTTCACCAGTGTGCCCTCTTGTTCAGCAATTGTGAATTTTTTCACCGTTTATTGACATGTTGTTACACCAGTGGTTGTCAATTGGGATAATGTGATTGCTGTCACTTTTACAATGTATGGCCTGGTTCACTCTTGTAAAATGGTATGCACACTGGTATGCGTGTTGAATTAATGCAAAATAAATGATGCTGCAGTTCATTCACAGTTGTTTCTTATTTCTTCCATTTTAATCTTAATTTTCTCTTACCTTAGTCTCAAAGTCATTCTGACATTATCTCAGTTTTTCTCCTAAGGGGAGGGGTTTAGGAGCAATAATTCAGATTGAGGTGATCTCAAGAAGAGAAGCAATTGAGCTCCATCTCACAACTCTTTAGTGCTCCTCCTGGCTTTTTAGGAGCAATAAGTAAGACATGAATGAGATCATAAAGATGGAATCCTGAGATCTCCTATGATCTCAGTTTTTCTCCAAGGTGTGATTTAGGAGCAATAATTCAGATTGAGGTGATCTCAAGAAGACAGGCAATTGAGATCTGTATTTTAACTCTTTAGTGCTCCAACCGGCTTTTTAGGAGCAATAAGCAAGACATGAATGAAATAAAAAAGATGCAATGATGAGATCTTATCTATGACTATCATTTCTCCTACAAGTCTCAAAAAGTCATTCTCACAATATCTCAATTTTGCTCCTAAGGGGGGGTTTAGGAGCAATAATTCAGATTGAGGTGATCTCAAAAAGATACACAATTCAGATTGAAGAAATCTCATAAAGATATTCAATTGAGATCTCCGTACTGTCTTGAGAGATCAAGAAAAGACTATCCTGAGCAAAAAAGTTTTCCTCTGGGAGGATTTTAAAAAACATTTTTATAATTCAGTATTTAATGATGGATTAACAAGTAGCTACAATCTATGTTTGTAAAGATTCTCAGTCATCCAGGTCATAATCATTCCAAAAAAGTAAAAAAAAACACTGGACTTTGTTTCCAAGTTTGAAGATGTTTCGCTTCTCATCCAGGAAGCTTTTTCAATTCAAAATGTATAGCATTGAGTTCGAGGTTTTATGGAGTGGACCAAAAACAAAGCTTTGTTTTGGCTTAAAAAGCATGTAAATTGAACCGAACGTACAGGTATCTATAGAAGTTTGTGTTGTTAACGATTAAAAATGTGGAGCAGGTTCAAGAGGTCCTTTTAAGGCTCTATGACTAAACATTTAGCTCTAACTGTCTAAACAAATCTGCAATTGAAGTTTCCTATGTTTGGTTGAGTTCAGTCCTAAAGGGTGTACTCCATTAGCTGAAAAGGTTTTAATAGACCTACCACAAAACAAGCTTAAACTGGAAGGTAATTGGACTTTGGCTCAGTTTTTTTGAAGATTTTTCAACACCTCTCCGGGACTCTTTGTTAATTCTGCCAACTGCCACAAGAGTCAGGTGCAAGCCAGCAGACAAAATTGAGCCAAAGTTCAGTTGCCTTACAAATTAGGCTGGTTTTGTGGTTGCCATGACCTGGATGACAATTTAAACAGGCACGTATGGCCATGGTGCGTTCAAAGAAAGCTCAGAAAAAGAAGTTACTGCATCCTGATAGCGATTTTAACTGTTGTAGCGGTTAAACGGCTGCCGTTTTGTGCCCGATTTAGTAAAAAAAAAAAAAAAAAGTGGGGCTTTCTTAAAAAAAACAATAGCGTAGGTGATTGGTCAACAATACAATACAACGCTTAGTGTTGTGTGTGTACTTTTTTTTGTGTGTGTACTTTTGGCGGCCTACCAATATGGAAAGCAGATTGATAGTTTCACCCGCCAATCACAAAAGTTACCGGGCATTTGGTGTGTGAGCGGGTGCCAATTTGATGCCCTGCTTGTTTTGACCAACTGTGTATAAAGATGAAAAAGAAGCAATTACGTCACCAATTTGGGACATTAGCAGATGAGGAAGATGTCAAACAGTTTGGGCTCATAACTACACCCATGGTCAGTTTAAGTTTATTCTATATGGTAATATTTTATATTTTTTGCAACTTCATAATCTGAAGGCAACTTAACAAAACACAAATGAAGCCAAAGTAGAGGGAAGGGAGACCTTCATGGTCCTCCATTTCCCATAAGTCAAAATATTTTCCTTTATAAGACACAAAAAATAACTTTGAAGAAGATTTTCGGCAAGAATGTTGCTTTGTTTAAACTAAAATATCTGCCCTGCTGGTAAAGATTTACCAGAATTTTAAAACAGACCTCCATAACGTCCTGATACCTGATATCAGTTTTCCTGATAAATTAAATTTCCTAAAATACTCTGGTCCCACAGGTTGATCCTGCATTAGGCAGCTGGTTTTAAAGCTTTTTTTTTATAAAATAAACAAATTACATCTTTTCTGGCAGGTTTTATAATGGGTTATATATGTATCATTTTATTTTTAACTAAATGTAATCCCTACATAAATTTGGTCTAGCTGTTTGTTCTAAAAGAGTTTTTTAAATAAATTTTGATTTGATTGGATTGGGTTTTTCTCATTGTGAACAACTGGTCCTCTGAACAGAACTTGCTTTGAAGATGCTGTAGTCCAGTTTCCACACTTAGCAGGACAGTGGTTCAGACTGCTACCATAGTAACCAGTTTCACAGACAACAAGATCTTAGTAATACAAATAACCAGGAAGTTTTCCTGAGATTTTATTTGTTTCAGATTCATCAGCAGTAACATCAGCTTTGATCTGTCTCCGTGACAACAGAGTGACCTCTAGTAATCTTTAAGTGGTTGGTCGCCGCTTGCAGAGGCGGAGCCTTTGGTGTTTATGGTAAATTTGAGGTCGATATCTGAAAACTCAAACACAAACAGAGGATAGAGCAGGAAGAATGATGTGGCCAGGGTCCACTCACAGATTGCAGTATAAGTAAGAAATTCACAGAAATGGAAAACAGTCACTGAAGGAGAGAATAGTTAAGGACAACAAGTGTAACAGCATAGAAACAGTAGTAAAAAGGAACATCCCTGTCCCATGATCTGTCTCAATGTAAGTTCTATGATTGACTAAAATAACTGAACTCAACTCTTTAATAACATTTTATGACTGTATGTCATTATCTATCATATAAATTATAGATATAGACATACATAGATATAATATATATAAATAAAAAGAATAGGTGTAAATATATAAAATCTACTTACAAAAAAAGAAAGGAACCTGTGCAGCAACAACCAATGAATCAGTGCTTCAATTAAGGTCTGATCTCAGCACCTGGATCATTGGCTCCACCTGGTCAGGTAAAGGCTGGTTTATACTTTATGAATCCTCTATCACAGTGTTTGCAGCATTTATACTCCATGTGGCTTTTTCTTAACCTGCCAATTTAGACTGATAATGTTTAGCTCTCAGGTTTAGTTCTACACATTATCAATCTGGGACTGCTGTCATCGAATCTGTTTGGGGAAATGGGAGATATCCAGCAGAGCTTTTTGAGTTGATTAGGCAAAGTGACCTGACCAACCAAGTGTGGTTTTAGCCAATCTGGGTAACAAATTAAATGGCAGTAGAGGCTATGAGAAAGCACAACAGCTTATGCTTTTAATGCTCTTGCTGTTCTTCTTTTAAAGACACAGATTCTGATAAAGCAGATGTGATAGGATGCTATGTTTTTTTGTTGGATTTTTTAAGGGTTTTTTTGTTGGCTGTGGCCTCTGGAATTCCATCAGCAGTTAAAATAAGTATTGAACGCCCCACCATCATTGTTCTCAGTTCACGTATTTCTAGAGGTGCTATATAGATGTCGGTAACAATTCATGCAATCCACAGATACAAAGAAATCAAACCATAGATGTCCAGAAATAAGTTATGTGTAATAATGTGGAATGGCAAAGGGGAAAAGTATTGATCACGTGAAGACGGGAAAGAGCGAAAAGGAATGGAAAGGCAAGACACCAGCTGAAATCTCTCAGTAATTAGAAAGTAATCCTGCCTCTTGTCATTGCAAATTAATATCAGCTGGTTCAGTCCCAAATGATGGCCTATAATAAGGTGTGTCTGGTATCAAACGAGAAACATCTCATGATGGGCAAGAGCTTTCCCAATACCTACACAACCTTATTGTTGAAAATCATAATGATGGCATTGGTTACAGAAGGATTTCTAAACTTCTGAATGTTCTAGTGAACACTGTTGGGACCAAGTGGAAAGAACTTGATTTTACCATATACTGACCATGACCAGGTGCTCCTCGCAAAATTTATGACAGAGTGCAAAGAATGGTAAGAGGAATTGTCCAAGAGACAAAAAACACTTGAGAGCTTCAGAAAGACCTGGAAGTAGCAGGAACAATTGTTTCAAAGAAAACAATAAGTAATTCACTCAAACGCCATGGCCTGTAATCATGCTCACCATGCAGGACTCCATTGCTGAAGAAAAAGTATGTTGAAGCTTGTTTAAAGTTTGCTGGACAATATTTATACAAGCCTGTGAAATACTAGGACAATATAATCTGGCCAGTTGAGACCATTGTTGAACTGAATAATACTGCCATGTTTGGAAGTCAAAGGGCACTGCAAACCAACCCAAAAACACAATACCCACAGTGAAGTTTGGAGGTGAGAACAACATGGCATAGGGTACTGGCAAACTTCAAATAACTGGAGGAAGGAAGAATGGAAAAATATACAAAGACCTTCTTGCTAAAAATCTGCTGCCAGCTACCAGGATGACAAAGATGTGGGTGGAAATTTTAGCAAGGCAATGACCCCAAACACACAGTTAAGGAAACTCTAAATTGTTTGCAGAGAACGAAAAAATAAAGCTGCTAGAACGGTGCAGCCAATCACCTGACTTGAACCAAATAGAAAATCTATGGAAATAACTAAAGATCAGAGTTCATAGAAGAGGCGCACGGAACCTTCAAGACTTGAAGACTGTCTGGGAGAATGGGCCAAAATCACACATAAGCAATGCATACAACTAGTTTCTCCATGCAGGAGGCATCTTGAAGCTGCCATTGACAACAGAGGCTTTTGGAACAAATGCGTATATAAATTTCAGCAAGAGTGTTCAATACTTTTTCCCGGTGCCATTTCACTTTATTGCAAATAATTTAATTTCTGGACATTTTTTTTTGTATATGTGGATTACATGGCTTGTTCTGTTGAAAATGTCAAGTCAATAGCACCTCTAGAAATATATTTACTGAGAAAAATGGTGCTGTGTTCAATACTTATTTTACCTGCTGTCTATGACCTGTTATTCCGTTTATAAAGGATACTGCAGATGATCAGGATGGTGCAGATGGAGCACACAACATACCCAATGTACTTCACGATCTTGTCGCTGATAAGAAACAGTTGAAACCAGAGGTAGACCAGGCCCCCAAAGAATGCCAGAACAGCACCAATGTAATGAAGAGAAACATTGTTTGAGACCTGAAACAGAACAGACATAAGAAGTAGATTTTAATCAGAACCAAGCACGTTTCTGATAGGTTACTAGTGTGTCTGCTACCTGGAAGTTTCCGGTGATGGACAACCCCACAGCTGAGAAGATTCCCAGTACAAAGCTAGCAATGTTATACCCTCTGTTTTTTGAATGGTTTTTAACAGCGAGGAAACGCACAGTGTCGAATATCAGAGCTGTTGGAGAAAGAAAGAAGGTTTTAGTTCCACTGTATAGTTCTGGGTAGGATTAGTTTCTAGAACACAGCTAGAAGCTTTCAACTTTCTAACAGAAGCCTAAAAGGTTTTACCCAAACCTTGAACCTATATAATAAATTCAATGATTCACAATCAGTGTTGTTTTTTTTTTCAAATGTAGCTTTTGGAATTCTGGTTCTGGTTTGGGTTTATTATATCTGGGGTCAGCATCACAAAGCAGGTTTATGGAAAACTCAACCTCTGTTTCAGTCACCGTAGTAACATTCTCCCCAGATCTAACCTGGTCCTTACAGCAGATCTCGCTGTTTTATTTCCTGAGTTAGTTAAATTTTTGTCGTAGATTTGTACATGAAAAAATGTATATATATCATTCTCTGGGTTCGTTAAACACATTAGGTTTTAAAAACAAACATATGATGTCCGTTTGAGGAGGATCTTATTAAAGAATGGTCAGCGCTATTTCACAGAGAATTAAATACACTGCTCAAAAAAATTAAAGGAACACTTTGAAAACACATCAGATCTCAATGGGGGAAAAAATCATGCTGTTTAATTATACTGATATAGACTGGGTGATGTGTTAGGAACAAAAGGATGCCACATCATTTGATGGAAATGAAAATTATCAACCTACATAGGGCTGAATTCAAAGACACCCCAAAAATTACAGTGAAAAAATACAAATACAATGATTTTGCTGAAATTTCATTGCAGCAACTCAAAATGGTATTCAGTACTTTGTATGACCCCCAAGTGCGTGTATGCCTGCCTGATAACATCGGGCCATGCTCATAATGAGACAATCGCGTCCTGGAGTATCTCCTCCCAGATCTGGACCAGGGCATCACTGGGCTCCTGGACAGTCTGAGATGCAACCTGGCGGCGTTGGATGTATCGAAACATAATGCTCCAGAGGTGTTCTATTGGATTTAGGTCAGGCGTGCGTGGGGGCCAGTCAATGGTATCAATTCCTTCATCCTCCAGGAACTGCCTGCATACTCTCGCCACATGAGGCCGGGCAATGTCGTGCACAAGGAGGAAACCAGGACCCACTGCACCGGCATAGGGTCTGACAAAGGGTGCAAGGATTTCGTCCCGATACCTAATGGAAGTCGTTGCAGTTTTCTAGCCTGTATAGGTCTGTGCGTCCCTCCATGGATATGCCTCCCCAGACCATCACTGACCCACTACCAAACCGGTCATACTGAACGATGTTACAGGCAGCATAACGTTCTCCACGGCTTCTCCAGACCCTTTCACGTCTGTCACACCTGCTCAGGGTGAACCTGCTCTCATCTGTGAAAAGCACAGGGAGCCAGTGGCAGACTTGCCAATTCCGGTGTTCTGCTGCAAATGCCAATCGAACTCCACGGTGCCGGGCAGTGAGCACAGGGCCCACTAGAGGACGTCGGGCCCTTATGGAATAATCAAATTATCTTACATTTAGCCCTTTTTTGGGATTATTGATCATACAGAGAGCAAAATTGTTGCATATATACGATAATTGTTGAATATACGATAAAAGTTTAATTCTATTCTATTCTATTCCAATTACCGTATACCTAGCAATACTGCCCTACACGTAGCAAAGCTAAGAACGTTTGGACCAACTTTAACATTGGTATACTTTGTGTACCCGGACAACAGAGAGTAGGTGAGACAGTGTTCTGTCAGATGAGCATAACCCATCAGACCAGCATACCCATAGTCAATAAACATGCGCAAGTCATCAGATTTGCGTTTATTCCTTTAGTTTTGTGCGAAAAATAGACTTTAAACTACCTCAATTGGCGTGTATCCCTTCAATCATGTACAAAAAAAGCAATTTAAGGTGAGATCATCATCCTTTTCAAAAAACACCAAAAAGTAAATAGATTTCTTTGTACATGACTAAAGGGATAAACGCTCGTTAGAGGTAGTTTAAAGTTTATTTTACATACAAAAATAAATGGGTAAACTAAAGGGATAGACAATCAACTGTTTTCACTTTCAGAGCTCTCTGAAGGTCTAGGGAACATTAAGAAGAACTTTTACCCATCGTGAGAAAGTGCTGGCGCTCATAAGAAATACTTTTAGTCAGAAGGCTCATGGGGAATAAAGGTTATCCTTTTTTTTTTTATTTGTCTTCTGATGAGGTTGAATAACTCATTCAAGGTTACATGTAGTTGGATTCAACCTGCTGTTTTTTTTTTGTTTTTTTTTACAAACCATATCAAGAGGAAATTCTCTGGTTTCACCTGTTAACCTTCTTTTGGTAATGTGTCCTGAGACTGCTTGTTGAAACATAAATCAGCCAGAATTAGTCTTAATGTAGGTGATCTTGGCTGTGTTCTCTATTAACTGGATGCAGATACATAAAGCTGCCTTTCTTACCTAGAATGCAGCCGTTGTTGCAGACCTGAGAGAACCAGCAGCTGGCTGGAGGTTTTGCCCCACAGTGACTGATAAAAGGAACAGACATCATCATTGATCATCTATTTTGTAACACAGACTCTTCTTCTAGCAGATTTTAGTTGAATTGATGTCAGATTTAACTCATTTAAATCCATAAACATAACTTTTCTTAGAGTAAATCTTGTTTTCTTACAGACCTTATGTAAGGAAAGTGGTCCGTCAGATTTACTGTTCCATTATGCAAAGCTATTCCATACCTGTAGGATGAAAACAAAACCTCACATCATAAATCCAGCAGATTAACAGATGTTGAAAAGGTGTCCCCTAATTCTCAATATCAACATACACATGTCAAAATACTGTGGGACTTTTGATAATTAAAATTAACTGCTTTTCCTGCAGGCTGGGATCAGGGTTCAGCTACAAGTGTTTTCAAATCTTTGAACTGTCTGGGTCCAAGAAACTCAGTTGAGATCTCAAAAGAAGAAATGGGGGAATTTGTAAACTAATCATAGAACTAAATGAAACGTCAGCTTATGTCCAGAAAAAGATCAAATCTGTGCCAATAGAACAGATGGAGAGAGGATTGGATCTAAAGGTCATTGTATGATCTGATTTGATCAGATTTAATTAAAGAACCAAACTAATTTTATGAATTGGAAATGAACTGGACTCGTTCTCTCTTGAAAGGGGTCTAAATTTGGCTTTAATTTTGATTTATAAACAAACTGAATAACAATCCAGCTCTGAAAAATGCAAAGCAATCATTTGGGAAACTCTTACTGCTTATTTAGTTATTTGATCAGGAAGTCTCCTGAGATGTTTTTCACAGGAGACATTACAGGTGCTGGTCATAAAATTAGAATATCATGAAAAAGTAGATTGATTTCAGCAATTCCATTTAAAAAGTGAAACTTGTATATTATATTCATACATTACATACAAACTCATATATTTCAGATGTTTATTTTGTTTAATTTTGATGATTACAAATGAAAATCTCAAATTCATCATATCAGAAAATTAGAATATCACTGAAGACCAATAAAAACAAAGGATTTATAGAAATGTTGGCCAACTGAAAAGTATGAACATGAAAAGTATGAGCATGTACAGCACTCAGTATTTAGTTGGGCCTCCTTTGGCCTGTATTACTGCAGCAATGCGGCGTGGCATGGAGTCGATCAGTCTGTGGCACTGCTCAGGTGTTATGATAGCCCAGGTTGCTCTAATAGTGGCTTTTAGCTCTTCTGAATTGTTGGGTCTGGTGTATTGCATCTTCTTCTTCACAATACCCCATAGATTTTCTATGGGGTTAAGGTCAGGAGAGTTTGCTGGCCAATTAAGAACAGGGATACCATGGTCCTTCAACCAGGTACTGGTAGCTTTGGCACTGTGTGCAGGTGCCAAGTCCTGTTGGAAAATGAAATCTGCATCTCCAAAAAGTTGGTCAGCTGCAGGAAGCATGAAGTGCTCTAAAACTTCCTGGTATGTGGCTGCGTTGACCCTGGACCTCAGAAAACACAATGGACCAACACCAGCAGATGACATGGCACCCCAAACCATCACTGACTGTGGAAACTTTACACTGGACTTCAAGCAACGTGGATGAAGTGCCTCTCTTCTTTTCCTCCAGACTCTGGGACCTTGATTTCCAAAGGAAATGCAAAATTTACTTTCATCAGAGAACATGACTTTGGACCACTCACCAGCAGTCCAGTCCTGTTTCTCTTTAGCCCAGGCAAGACGCTTCTGACGCTGTCTGTGGTTCAAGAGTGGCTTGACACAAGGAATGCGACAGCAGAAACCCATGTCTTTCATACGTCTGTGTGTGGTGGTTCTTGAAGCACTCACTCCAGCTGCAGTCCACTCTTTGTGAATCTCCCCCACATTTTTGAATGGGTTTTGTTTCACAATCCTCTCCAGGGTGCGGTTATCTCTCTTGCTTGTACACTTTTTTCGACCACATCTTTTCCTTCCCTTCGCCTCTCTATTAATGTGCTTGGACACTGAGCTCTGTGAACAGCCAGCCTCTTTAGCGATGACCTTTTGTGTCTTGCCCTCCTTGTGCAAGGTGTCGATGGTCGTCTTTTGGACAACTGTCAAGTCAGCAGTCTTCCCCATGATTGTGTAGCCTATAGAACTAGACTGAAAGACCATTTAAAGGCTTTTGCAGGTGGTTTGAGTTAATTAGCTGATTAGAGTGTGGCACCAGGGGCCATCAATTTTGAACCTTTTCACAATATTCTAATTTTCTGATATGATGAATTTGAGATTTTCATTTGTTGTCATTTGTAATCATCAAAATTAAACAAAATAAACATCTGAAATATATGAGTTTGTATGTAATGTATGAATATAATATACAAGTTTCACTTTTTAAATGGAATTACTGAAATCAATCTACTTTTTCATGATATTCTAATTTTATGACCAGCACCTGTATATTCGTAGATTAACTCATTAATTTTTGTAACCTTTATATCGTGAAAAATATCTAAAAAATTTATTTTCTGTAAAATCTGAAACTTCTGATTAGAGGAAAAAAATGAATGGATGAGGAAGAGGATAAAAACTCACACGGCCCAAATGCCGGCGATGCCATTCACTGCAGCAAGGATGGGAATAGCAAACAGAGGACCCATCTCTCTCAGATTCTCTCTTAGCTCGCTATGAAACCACAAACACAGTGGGGAAATCCTCTTGATTCTGCTCACGCTTTATGAAGATGGATGGAGGTGGATTATGTTCTTGAGCTCAGCACAGGAAATCTGAAGTGGATTAAAAAGGATGGCGAAACCTGTAAACTCAGAGAAAATTTGTAAAGTAAGTTTTAAATACCATGATTCACACATAAATATCCTCAACAGTAAAATCATCTCTGCTTCATGTCATCTGGTAGACTTCATCTGTTTGAACTGGCTAAGGGCTTTTTCATCAGCTGAACTTGTAGCTTCAGTCAGTTCAGGCCTTTATGCAAATTAAAAGTAAGAAACCAGAAAAAGAATAACCCCACCAGTCCCTCTCTTCTCTGTCTGTCTCTGTCGATACAGAGATCAGTTTCCTTACCTGAAATAGGTGACACCTTGTTATAAAGGAATATGAAGCAGAAACAGGGGTTTTTCTTTTACCAACAGTCTCTGCATAACAGGAAGATGTTTGGTTCGTCTTTTAAAACTTGTAAAACGGGGGGTGGGGGGGGGGGGGTGTATTTCTGAAGAATTTTAATCTTCCATTTCTAAGAATAATCAAGGAAATTGGGCATTACACATGATTTCGACACACAATGCATCATCAGCTTTGAGGTATAAACTTTCACCCTGGAAAACGCAAAACAGCGAACAGTTCCCATCTCAAAACACAGTCCCCGCCTTCTTCAGGTGTATAATGACAACTGTTTATCCCCTCCAGCCACTGACAGCCACCTGACTCTGGTATGTCGTCGTACCTGACTTCAGTGGACAAATCTTTAAATTCGTTGCGATCTGGCACGTGGGAGAGGGGCTCCCTTCATGGATGAATTCCGTTTACACTGTTCAGGGCAGATGGCAGATAGCATGTGCAGAGTAGTGTGGGTAAGCAGTTTTCTGATGTCAGTGTTGTGGATTGAGTGGCCCTTGGTGGCGGTGGGGTCATGGTATGTGCAGGCATCTGTTATGGATGAAGAACACAGGTGCATTTCATTGATGGAATTTTAAATGAACTAGATCCTGAGGCTCATTTTTGTGCCATACATCCAAGAACATCACCTCCCGTTGCAGAAGGATAATGCACACCCCCATGTTGCAAGGATCTGTACACGATTCTTGGCTGGAAACATCCCAGTTCTTGCATGGCCGGCATATTCACCGGACATGTCATATCACCCATTGAGCATATTTGGGATTCTCTGGATCAGCTCATATGACAGCATGTACTGCCAGTATCCAGCGACTTCGCACAGCCATTGACGAGGAGTTGACATACATTCCACAGGCCACATTTGACGACCTGATCAACTCTATGAGAAGGAGATGTGTTGCATTGCTTGAGGCAAATTTAGATCTTTGAGAAATGGGAGCAAACCAAAAGCATTGCCTTTATATTTTTGCTGAATGTATCAACTGAAAACTGTTGCAAAAACTCTAAGGCTAACTGTTATGCTGTTAGTGGAACACAAATCCAAAAATACTTTATTAATCCCAAAGGGAAATTAAATAAATAACCGTGTGAGATTTTTTTTTTTTTTCTTTTAACAAATCAACAAATATGATTTGAGGCAGACATGTTCAGACAGAAAACTCAATAAAAAACATTGGAGAACTTGCAACAACATTTTTGTATTTTCCTAAATTTCTCTTACTTTTTCTCCTACTGTGCGCTCCTTCAAGAGCCCCATATCATATTCAGCAAACTGGTATCTTCAGGTGCCTGTACAAAACTCAGTGCGCTTTATGAGAATTGCAAATCTGCATAATTACTGCCCTGTTAATTCCATATATGGCTACGACTTCCAGATTTTCTGATCAAGATGTGATTTCAATAGTAGTTTGATCCCATAAAGAGCTCACTGACTGTTCTTTTGATGAAATTACATAAAATTAAACCAGTGTCCCCTGGATACTGACATGCTAGCTGCAGTTGTAGTGACCCGATAGTTCTGTCATCATCGATTTCAAAATAAAATTTATAATTGAAGAATTGCACAATATAACTTGGACAATTGCTTCTAAATGTAACACATTTTGTAATTTTGTTTAAAAAAAAAAACAACAGGTTTGGATAACAGCAGACAGTTTGTGCAAGACTCCTATATTAAGTCTAGAGCACTTGTAAAATTTGTTTGTGCCTGAGAAGATAAAAAAAAATAGTTGTGCATGTGGCATTTTCTATTAAATAAGTTGTGCAAAACCATTTAAGACAAAATGTGTCTTCTTGCATGAGGCCCAATGTGTGTATGCATGTTCTTTACATACAGGCTGCAGGCCTAAACATGTATCATGGTTGCTTTGGTATACACTCACCGGCCACTTTATTTGGTACACCTGTCCAACTGCTCGTTAACACTTAATTTCTAAGCAGCCAATCACATGGCGGCAACTCAGTGCATTTAGGCATGTAGACATGGTCAAGACAATCTCCTGCAGTTCAAACCGAGCATCAGTATGGGGAAGAAAGGTGATTTGAGTGACTTTGAACGTGGCATGATTGTTGGTGCCAGAAGGGCTGGTCTGAGTATTTCAGAAACTGCTGATCTACTGGGATTTTCACGCAAAACCATCTCTAGGGTTTACAGAGAATGGTCCGAAAAAGAAGAAACATCCAGTGAGCGGCAGTTCTGTGGGCGGAAATGCCTTGTTGATGCCAGAGGTCAGAGGAGAATGGCCAGACTGGTTTGAGCTGATAGAAGGGCAACAGTGACTCAAATAACCACCTGTTACAACCAAGGTGGGCAGAAGAGCATCTCTGAACGCACAGTACGTCGAACTTTGAGGCAGATGTGCTACAGCAGCAGAAGACCACACCGGGTGCCACTCCTTTCAGCTAAGAACAGGAAACTGAGGCTACAATTTGCACAAGCTCATCGAAATTGGACAATAGAAGATTGGAAAAACGTTGCCTGGTCTGATGAGTCTCAATTTCTGCTGCGACATTCGGATGGTAGGGTCAGAATTTGGCGCCTACAACATGAAAGCCTGGATCCATCCTGCCTTGTATCAACGGTTCAGGCTGGTGGTGGTGGTGTCATGGTGTGGGGAACATTTTCTTGGCACTCTTTGGGCCCCTTGGTACCAATTGAGCATCGTTGCAACGCCACAGCCTACCGGAGTATTGTTGCTGACCATGTCCATCCCTTTATTACCACAATGTACCCAACTTCTGATGGCTACTTTCAGCAGGATAATGCGCCATGTCATAAAGCTGGAATCATCTCAGACTGGTTTCTTGAACATGACAATGAATTCACTGTACTCAAATGGCCTCCACAGTCACCAGATCTCAATCCAATAGAGCATCTTTGGGATGTGGTGGAACGGGAGATTCGCATCATGGATGTGCAGCTGACAAATCTGCGGCAACTGTGTGATGCCATCATGTCAATATGGACCAAACTCCCTGAGGAATGCTTCCAGCACCTTGTTGAATCTATGCCACGAAGAATTGAGGCAGTTCTGAAGGCAAAAGGGGGTCCAACCTGTTACTAGCATGGGGTACCTAATAAAGTGGCCGGTGAGTGTACATTTGCTTCAAAGGGCCTTTAAGAATCCATCAGAATGAGCAGCAGACATTGGTACTTCACACTATGGAGCTCCGTCTGCATGTTGCAGCAGCCCTGAGTAAAACTAAAGATCATACATAACAGAATTTGACCAACAAAACCTGGAATACAACAATTCAAATCAGTGTTGAAAGTCCTCTGACACAATCAAACCACAAATGAGGAAGTGTTGCAATCCTCTTGCAATCCCCTTAATATCCACAAAAGCAAAAACAAAACAAAAATAAATTAATAAAACTTGGTCTTTTCAGTCAGGTTCAGCAGTTCCAAACATTAAAAAATCAATTACATAATAAAGAGTAAACAATACGAAGAGTAAAATGAAAGAGGTTAAAAAAAACAATGTAGTTCCACTCCCCTGTATGAATGAAGCCAAAGAACACCTGAATCCCCAGTGAACAACCAATAAAAGGCTAATCATCCTGTACACATATTTTAACCTGTATATATAAATGTTTTGAACACTGGAAATATGAACTCAAATAAATCTTTTCACTTGAATTGAGAAAATAAATGAACATGTTCTTTAATTTATTAAAGAACATATTAATTCTCTAAATAAACACTAACTATTCTCTAAATAAAGACTAACTATAATTTCCTACAGCCTTTGCTAACAAATAGACGCATATATTCAAACATCCGTAATTTCTGAATAAAAGGTATAATGGATAAAACTCCTGCGATGGACTGGGGACCCGTCCAGGGTGTACCCAACCTCTCGCCCATTAACAGCTGGAAATAGGAACCAGTACCCCTCACGACGCCAATTGGGACAAGCGTGTCAGATAATGGATGGATGGATGGATGGATGGATAAAACTCAGTTTTGAGTTCTGGGGCGTAAATCAATCATCATTGTCATTACTTAACTACTTGTATCAATAAACATTCTGCATAAAATTGATATTTACAAGCACGTATATCTACATCAATTGATTATTTGATAAGTTTTTATCAAAATTGTTATTTATCTTTGATTTCACTGAAAGACTCCTAGATGACTTGCAGAGACACATTTTCTCTTTACCCCATATAAGACTAAATGTAGTTCTGAAAAGAGCATGAATTATGTATTTATCATCTTTGATGTTGGTATATTGATGTGTATGATTAACCACAAAAAAATAAAATGTTTTGAATATTCCACTTTAGAGTATTACTTCTGCCACCATCTGTATTAGAGGGAAATAAATGGCAGGGGTGGTCAATGATTGGCTAAGGGTGGCCATGGCCACCCCTTGCCCCCCATCTAGCTCCACCCCTGATGTTATCGCTAATATAGGATGGGCTTGCTTGTTATTTTATTTTAAAAGGGTTAACCTCTAATAGCATAGCTATAGCATAGCTGGGCCTTAGGATCAGCCTTAAGCTAGAGTTGCAATTGAAAGGTTAATGGTTTCTTTTAAATCTAGAACAGTTTTGTTTTGTTTCTTACTAATTATATTATTTCTAAACCATTTTACCAATTACCGGTATGTGTATCACAGCACAGATTGGTCCACCAACCTGTGTGAGGAGCACTGTGAATAATAAAATACAGTGCATAAATA